GAGTCTTGCTATGTTGCTCAGGCTGGTCTCGAAGTCCTGGGCTCAAGTGATCCTCCCATCCCTGCATCCCTAAATGCTGGGATTACAGACGTGAGCCAGCACGCCTGGCTACTGGCCTTATTTCCTTCTTCCTTTCTATTTTTGAGACAGGGCCTCACTCTGTTGCCCAGGCTGGAGTGCAGTGGCACAATCATGGGTCACGGCAGCCTCAACCTCTCAGGCTCAAACTATCTTCCCACCTCAGCCTCCAGAGTAGCTAGGACTCCAAGTGTAAGCAACCACACCCAGCTAATTCTTGTATCGTTTTTTGCAGAGACAGGGTTTCGTCATGTTGCCCAGGCTGGTCTCAAACTCCGAACTCCTGGGCTCAAGCAATCTGCCTGCCTGAGCCTCCCAAAGTCCTGGGATTCTAGGTGTGAGCCACTGTGCCTGGACCCAGTACTATTTCTTTCTTCTTTTTTTTTTTTTTTTTTTTTTGAGATGGAGTCTCACTCTGTTGCCCAGGCTGGAGTACAGTGGCACGATCTCAGCTCACTGCAAGCTCCACCTCCCAGATTCACACCATTCTCCTGTCTCAGCCTCCTAAGTAGCTGGACATACAGGCACCCGCCACCATGCCTGATTAATTTTTTGTATTTTTAGTAGAGACTGGGTTTCACCGTGTTAGCCAGGATGGTCTCCATCTCCTGACCTCGTGATCTGCCCACCTCAGCCTCCCAAACTGCTGGGATTACAGGCGTCAGCCACCGCGTCCGGCCCCTAGCACTATTTCTTACGAGATCTCGCTGTCGCTTTGTGTTGGCCTGAAGCTCCAATTACACAATTACAAGGTGCTCTTCTTCACGGCTGCAGGGCTTCCACAAACCTTTCTGGCCTTCCCTATGTCCAGGCCCACCTCAAACGCCAACGGGTGGGATCCACACCTGTTAGCCGAGGCTGCAGAACCACATCAGCCAGTAAGCCGACCACCGTGTCCAAGCCTTTGCTATCAGCAGACACAGCATACATCGTGGTGTCTCTGGAAGAAAAAACAAGCCCACAATGCCAGGCCCTGAGCTCACACTCTGCTCAACAGCCAGGGGATGCTCACGCTTTGCATGCCAGGGGGACAAATGCCAGGCCCTGAGCTCACACTCTGCTGAGCAGCCAGGGGGACGCTCAGGCTTTGCGTGCCAGGGGCACCTCCTACCCTTTGTTGGGGACTAGCAGACATTTCAGGGGATGCTTGAGGTTTGCGTGCCGGGGGCACCTCCTACCCTTTGTCAGGGAACAGCAGACACTTTTCCCCTTTCTCTTCTCCTGTCTTACAGTGTGAATGCCTGGTAGGCAGGACTCAGCTACACACAGCTTGAGTCAAAATGGAGCCACTTCTAATAGAGGTTTTTGTAACTATAGTCTCTCTCAAAAGGTGAAGTGTTTCATCCCAGCCTCCTGTTGACTGAATGAACCCACTGGTGAGTGTGAGTGTGGAAACACGGCTGGCCTTGGCTGGCTCGGGGGACAGCAATGGCTGGCTTGTATGGAGCTTCTGACTCACTGTAACATCTGTTCCCGGCACGAGGCACAGAACAGTCCGAAGCGCACAGAGCTGGCCCATGGGACAGACACGAAATCACGGGGTGATCTGAGATGAAGTGTGATCAAGTGAGACCACGTAGAACAGATGCAACAGCTGTGAAGAAGAGGGAGCTTGGGAGGCAGGACATGGCCACCAGTGCCTCTGAAGAGGGGACTCGGCTGGACCTTCACCCTGAAGAGGAGCCATTCTCAGTGACTTTGGCTCAGGTGAGGAGAATGGCAGAAACAAAAGCCTGAGCTGAGGGCGGGAGGGGCTGGGTCTGAGTCAGGACACCAGCCACCCGGCCAGAAAAAGGAGTTCATCTGGGATGAGTGAGATTCGAGTCAAGAGTCGGAGGACCAAACACACCAGGCAGGAGCCTGGCAGGGGCAGCTGGGAGTCAGGGGGTATTAAGAGGCCTTGTTTTAGAATGTGAGTATGTTACCTGCAAGCTTACTTTAATTCTTAGCATTTGACGTGTCTTTTATGTGTAATTTTTTTAGCATCCAAACTTAAAACATCAACCATTTAAAAAATCTGTGATCTGCATCCACCCATCTCACATTGCCCAGCACTTTCTGAACAAGCTCCACACCTGGCATGCAAAGACCACTGCACTGTGCTCCAGGCAACACTGTCCCCTCCCTTCACCAAGCAGCCGGCACCTCCCTGGCTCGGTCCCTTTGGCCCCTGCTGTCTCCTGGTCTGGAATGCCTTCTGCCCTGTGTGTCTAGCAACGTCCTTCAGGTTCCTTCAGGAACCAGCCCAATCCTGCGCTTCCTATTATTCCTTTCTCAACTCCAGACCAAGTCAGCTGCTCATCCTCCTGGCTCCTACCGCCTTTGGCTACTGGGTCCAGCACGTATGCAAGGCCCTCTGCTCTACCTGGGAACAGGGCCTGCTCTACATCCCTGGCATGCAGCCAACAGCCTGGATGGACTGACAGGGGTGAACTGAGGTCCTGAGGGCTGTGCTTCTCTGTGTAAGCGCTGCCCACCCAACTCTCCATCCAGGACAGGGCTCTTCTCCCTGTGAATCTCCACACCTCCCAATGGGAGGGGCTCAGACAGAATCTGAGCAACGACGAGGACGTCAGTTCCCACGGACGCAAAGTCACTTTGTACGTAAAAGCTGGTGTACCTTGACGTCTGGCAGTCACAAATACCCCCATGCTTTTCCAATGTAAGCAGAATTTCATCTTTGCTGTCAAATCGAGCAGTAGACTAGTAAAAATAAATAAGAAAACCTAAATAAGCAATCCAGACTACCCCTAAAATGCAATTTTTAAAATTTACTTTTGCTTTTAACGCTACGTACAAAAATTATCTTTTAACTTAAAAGTCTTTTATTAGCATTAACTTAGAAACTTAATAATTTATGAAAATAACCATTATAGAGAAGAAAAATCTCAAACATCCTTCAAAAGTATAGTATAAAAAATTACAAAACTGGGCACTGACCGAAAATGCCAATTTTTCCAAAAAGTGAGCAATTCCACTAAGATATTTTGCTTCATATCTTGATCCTGAATTAATAAGAACTAGTAGGAAAAAGAAAATTGACAGGTTAAAGCACATATTCAAAATAAAATTTAATCAAGAGAAACACTTTAAAATTTCAATATGACACGATAATCAGATTTAATTATATGAGAGTGATTGTGTTGATGGTTTCACAGGTATATGTGTAGGTCAACGTTCATGAAATCGTACACTTTGCTTCCACTCAGAGTACAATTCATAATTGGCATGCTAATTACAACTAACAGTCAACTAAAGCATGTGCACGTTAAAAATGCGGGACCACCCACAGCATCACAATAGTACTTACTTCCTACTGTACAAAACTGTCCAAACTTATTCTGAGATGCCACGTGAAGCCCATTATCCAATGTGGTTACTTTGGTTTCAAACTTTTCCTGTCCATCAACTGTAGCAAAAATAGGCTTGGGAACTCCAGGTAAAGGAGAAGAGAGGGGGATGTTGGGATAGGCACCACCACTACTAAACCGTCTGTACGCAGAAGGTCCAAACCTAAAACAGAGAAAGCGGCCCAGTTGCAACAGGCTTGAGACAATGAACCTGTGATGACCTCTTAGGTGTAGTTATGTTTTGTCTGCGTTAAAACTAAGTATCTGCCTTTCTAAACGACTTATTTCTATAGACTTTGGAAGACAAAGCAGAGACTGATAACAAAGGCTCAGCCACAGGACCTGGAGCAAGCTGGTTCCATCCTTTGGGTCTTAGTTGCTATCTCTGTAAAATAGGGCTTATTAACAGTAACTCACTAGAAGTGCAGTTTGTACACATAAAGCACTTAACGGCTCTGCCCTCCAACAGCATCGCTGAAATCTTAGAAGCCACACCCCTTATTAACCTGGTCCGAAGGTGGGGTGTGACTTGGTCTCTGTCTCCCTCTCCAAACTCATCTCTTGAACCCCCACAGCCCCATAGGTCCTGGTCACACTGATTCTTCTGTCAATTCCTGGAACACATTTGATTCATTCCAAAGCTTCTTCACCCCCAAAGCTTCTTCACTGTTCCAGGGCTTGCCGTTTGCCCATGTCTACCCCTTCTTTCATTCTTCAGCTCTTCCCTTAAATGTCAACCCGGATGGAGGACTATCCCTCATCACTCTAGTCTTTCCTGTTATTTCCTATCACGAAAGGCTGCTTGTTTACTCCAAAGCATTTACGCGATTGCCGATATTTTGTTCACGCTCCAGTCTGTATCCATCTCCTGGAGGCAGCACCTCCGCACCCCTGAAACAGCGCTCATTGTGTGGGGAGGGGCGATGCCTGTGCTGTCGGAACAAAGTTCCAGCGTGGGGAAACGCAGGCCCGGTCACTTGGGCGGGAGGGGCGGTGGGGACAGAAAAGGTTCTTAAACGTCTGAGATCAACGGACGCTCAGAGCGCAGCAACCGAGAGCCTGGACCCTCGTATCAGAACCGTGCGGGTCTAACAGAGCTGGGGCCCCACCGGCTCAGCCTCCTGAGGGAGCACGCGGCAGAAGCACAGGGGCAGAGATGAAGCATGGCCTCGGACAAGGCCCGTCGACCCGGGAGGTGAGGTGGGGGAGAGGACCCAGCAGCCGGCGAGAGAGACAGATAGGACTGCATCCCCGGGCTTGAGGCGCAAGGCAAGGCAGGGCCCCCGTCGCCTCGGGGACCACATCAGTGTCCCGAAGTGCGAGCCCGTCGAACGGGCGCCATGTCGCCTGTAGAAACCAAAGACGGAGCGTCCAGAAAGACTCAAGCCGCCCCGGTCCCAGGCCGAAGCCTGGTTCGCCTTTGGCTCACCTCAGCCGCGAGCCGCTCCAACAACTCGACCCCCGCAGCAACCGCGTCGCCACGAACACCACAGCCGCCATTTTGCGTCTCCGCCCCTGCTTCTGTCGTCACTTCCGCTTCCGCCCGCGGATTCCCCGCCCCCTCGGCGACAACTCAACGCGTTCCGGCGCACGCTTCCGGTGCTCGGAGCGGAAGCAGCGGCGAGAGGCTGGGAGGAGCGGGGACGGCCAAGCGGCGGGCGACGGGGGCGGGCGACACGGACCGCGGCCCGGGCGGAACCGGGGCCATGGAGCCGCCGCTGCCGGGCTAGGCAGGTCCTGCCCCGCCTGGCCCGCGGCGATGTCGGGCTACCCGCGCCGCCCGGGCGCCACCCCGCTGTCCCGAGTCCGGAGCCTCGCCATTCCCGACGGTGAGCGGGGCAGGGGCCGAGTCCAGCGGTTCAGGTGGGCGGCGGCCGCCCCAGCGCGCAGTGAAGTCGCTGTTGTCGTTGCTTCCAGCTCCAGCGTTCTATGAGCGCCAGTCTTGTCTCCCCCAGCTAGACTGTGAGCACCCCCATGGCAGGGACCTGGACTCCCCCTTCTTCGGCATTCGGTCGGCCTTTATGTGCTATGTGCCCAGCCCGGTGCTGGCTTCCGTGGGAGACACAGGTGAGAGACGAGGGCGCCGGCCCCGGGGACGCCTCCAGTTCCCGCGCCACCTGTGGCACCTCCGCTGCCGCAAGAGCTCGTCCATTGACCCAGCAATGAGCATGGCGCTCACTGCGTGCGAGGCACTCGGAATTCAAAGGCGGAGTCCCCTGCTAGGAGCTCGCAGTCTGGTTGCGGGGAGACCTCCCCCCAGACAGACAGTTCCAGTTCGGGATGGTTAGTGCCCAGGGAGCATAGGAGCCGGCCCGCTTTCCTCGTGGGGCTGAAGTGGGGGGGCCTTCACCCCAGTGGGCGGTGATTGGAAACGGAGCTGGAGCATTCCATCTGCCTCCACAGCCAGGCAGTGGCCAGACCTGGTTCATCCTCGTTCTACCCAAGCAGAAGTGCTGCTGGGTGCCCGGGGTGTGCGGGAGTGTTTGCGTGGCTAGACCAGGGTCTGAGGACATTCGGGGGGTGTCACAAGACAAGAGGACACGCTCGCTCCGACTGGGCTTCAAAACCTACTGAGGAACCCCTTTCAGACCACAGACACCAGGGCCAGTCTGTGCGAGTCAGGCCGTCTCCCGGGTCACAAGTCCGGGACCTCGTGTTTTTTAAAGTTCTCTTGACCGACCGGGCGCGGTGGCTCACGCCTGTAATCCCAGCGAGCCACCGCACCCAGTGCGGTGGGAGGCCGAGGCAGGTGGATCACGAGGTCAGCAGATTGAGACCATCCTGGCTAACATGGTGAAACCCCGTCTCTACTAAAAGATACAAAAAATTAGCCGGGCGTGGTGGCGGCGCCTTGTAGTCCCAGCTACTCGGGAGGCTGAGGCAGGAGAATGGCGTGAACCTGGGAGGCGGAGCTTGCAGTGAGCTGAGATTGCAACACTGTACTCCAGCCTGGGGGACAGAGTGAGACTCCGTCTCAAAAAAAAAAAAGGTTCTCTAGGCTGTGAGAAGCACTCCAGTGGAGACTCCATGTGCAACAAAACCAAAACACAAATGTGAGGTCATAAAGACTTCCTGCTGTCATGGTGGGTGACATTGTTTCTTTGCAGATTTTGGCTATGGAAAGGGGAAATATTCTAAGCAGAGCCCTTCAGGAGCCCATGAGACACAGTTTGGAGGTAGAGTAGTCGTCACCTTTTCTTCTTGTCTCCATCCAACACAGTGCCAGGCACGTGTCTGGTGGCAGGACTGTCGATGTGACGGGCTATGTGGTGTATCTGGAGCCCAAAAGAGCAGGTAGGGGTGGGATTTCAAGGGTTCAGTCTTGACCCTAGAGTAGGAGCGAGGCGCAAGGGCAGAAGAACCTGAGTGAGGGAACATCAGGGAGTGGGGAAGTCCCACCTCAGGGGCCTGGGGCCACAGGAGCCAGCTTTACACGGGGCTCGCAGCTGGGAGGGCCGAGCATGGCTGCTTAAGTCCCCGGAGGGTGGGAAGGCGGCGAGAGGGAGAAGAGAAAGGTGGGCGTTAGCTAGGTTACCTAAGTAGGAAAGTCAGGAAGAGGGTCAAGGAGCGCCGGATCCCCAGTTTTGCAGCACCTGAGGAACCTGTTGCTGCTGCTGTTTGTTTTTTTGAGACGGAGTCTCGCTCTGTGGCCCAGGCTGCGATCTCAGCTCACGGCAAGCTCCGCCTCCCGGGTTCTTGCCCTTCTCCTGCCTCAGCCTCCTGAGTAGCTGGGACTACAGGGGCCCACCACCACGCCCGGCTGATTTTTTGTATTTTTAGTAGAGATGGGTTGTCACCGTGTTAGCTGGAATGGTCTCAATCTCCTGACTTCGTGATCCGCCCGCCTCGACCTCCCACAGTGCTGGGAGTACAGGCGTGAGCCACCGTGCCCAATCACCTGAGGAGCTTTGAGAGCTCCCAGCACAGGTTGACTTCACACCAGGGAACTGGGTGTGTGCAGTGGAGCGGCCTGGGTCATTTTAAAGCTCCCCAGGGGAGTTTTAGTGGGCATCACAGTGTGGGAGCAGGGGCCAAGGGGTGGAAGGAGAAGATTTCAAATGCAGACGCACGTCCGTGTCACTGCCGACTTTCAGCCACCTTCACGCTTTTTTTTTTTTTTGAGATGGAGTCTCGCTCAGTCGCCCAGGCTGGAGTGCAGTGGTGCGATCTCGGCTCACTGCAAGCTCCGCCTCCCGGGTTCACACCATGCTCCTGCCTCAGCCTCCGGAGTAGCTGGGACTACAGGCACCCGCTGCCACACCCGGCTAATTTTTTGCATTTTTAGTAGAGACGGGGTTTCACCGTGTTAGCCAGGATGGTCTCGATCTCCTGACCTCATGATTCACCTGCCTTGGCCTCCCAAAGTGCTGGGATTACAGGCGTGAGCCACCGCGCCTGGCCTCCTTCACGCTTCTTAGTGCCACCTGAGTCATGGTAGAACGACGAGCGTGGCTACGCGATCTCACATGTGGCCATGCTCTGGAAAGACAGGTGAACAGGAAGGTTCCCTTTCAGCGCTCTTCAGTAGACTTTATGCATTTGTGATGTCGGTTATTTCAGATGACAAATTTGAAGACCTTGAAGAGGCAAATCCATTCTCCTTTAAAGAGTTTCTGAAGACCAAGAACCTCGGCCTGTCAAAAGAGGACCCGGCCAGCAGGATTTATGCAAAGGTAAATCCACGGCATTGTGGGCGATGGCTCCGTGGGACGTTTCTGTTCTGGCCTCTGCAGCTTCCTTTGGAGGAGATTGTGCACGAGTGTGGCAGAGCAGGGAAGGCATCAGTGCTGGGGAGCAGCTCTGGGCTCAGAAGCTGCTGGGCTCCTTCCAGTAGATGAGATTGGGCCTTTCTTCGTGTTCCGAGGCAGAACACAGAGAAAGGAAGATGCACTCCGAGTCAGAAGCATGGCCTCCACTGTTTTGTTGTTTTGTTTTGTTTTTTTCAGGAAGCCTCGAGGCATTCACTGGGACTTGACCACAACTCCCCACCCTCCCAACCCGGGGGGTATGGCCTGGAGTATCAGCAGCCATTTTTTGAGGACCCGACAGGGGCCGGTGACCTCCTGGATGAGGAGGAGGATGAGGACACCGGATGGAGTGGGGCCTACCTGCCGTCCGCCATCGAGCAGACTCACCCCCAGCGGGTCCGTGCCGGCGCATCGCCCAGCAGCACATACCTTTCCTTTTTCTCCACCCCGTCGGAGCTGGCAGGGCCTGAGTCTCTGCCCCCATGGGCGTTGAGTGACACTGATTCTTGCGTGTCTCCGGCCTCTCCGGCAGGGAGTGCTAGCGCAGACTTTGCCGCTCACGGAGAGTCTCTGGGAGACAGGCACCTGCGGACGCTGCAGATAAGTTACGAAGCAGTAAGTGAGCCTTGCGACGCCCTCTGGCACAGCGCCTGTCCGAGCAGCCTCTCCCAGGGAGAACCTAGGGCCACCCTGCCTCCTGGGTGGCCTGGTTTGATTTCCAGGACGAGACGACTTGCATAACAGCCTGCTATCCACTTTCCCTTTGACTTTGCCTCTGGTTACACGTGTGAATAGAACCGGCTAAAGAGGACTGGTGAGCTAGAAGCTGTGAATTGGATGCAGTTGGGCACTTAAAGGGCTGTACCCTCAGGAAAGGCTGGCTGCAGTTGTCAGCTCAGGGACATCTTGCTAAGTAGTCTAAGAGGAGGAAAATTGTTTACAAAATTATAATCACCTAAAAGGTTGTAAGATGTGAGTAAAAAAAATTTTTTTTTAGCCGGGCGCAGTGGCTCACGCCTGTAATCTTAGCACTTTGGGAGACTGAGGCAGGTGGATCATGAGGTCAGGAGTTCGAGACCAGCCTGGCCAACATGGTGAAACCCCTGTCTCTACTAAAAATACAAAAATTAGGCTGAGCGTGCTGACTCCAGCCTAGGTGACAAAAGCGAAACTCCGTTTCAAAAAAAAAGAAAAAATTTTTGTTTTTCCCTGAGACAGTGTCTCACTGTGTTGCTCACGCTGGAGTGCAGTGGCATGATCTCGGCTCACTGCAACCTCTGCCTCCCGAGTTCAAGTGATTCTCCTGCTTCAGCCACCCAAGTAGTTGGGACTGCAGGTGCCTGCCACCACTCCTGGCTAATTTTTGTATTTTTAGTACAGACGAGGGCACCATGTAGGCTGGTCTCAAACTGCTGACCTCAGGTGATCCACCCGTGTCGGCCTCCCAAAGTGCTGGGATTACAGGCGTGAGCCACTGCCCCTGGCCTCTGAGTAAAATTAACTGGCATCTGTGACCACAGGTCTTTGAAAAGTGCCCGCCTCCGTGGTCTTCCTCTGTAGTGCGCTGCAGGTGGATGCTGCACTGACCCAGCCATCTCTGCTCATCAGGAGGCTCTAGAGCCAGACCGCAGAAGCGCACACCCTTTTGAGTGAGACATGCTGACTTTCTAATAAGGATGTTCTCTCTCCACAGCTGAAAGATGAAAATTCTAAGCTGAGAAGAAAGCTGAATGAGGTTCAGAGCTTCTCTGAAGCTCAAACAGAAATGTATGTAAGCTTTTAGTTAGGAATGCAATCCACAACATCTAACACAGAGGGAAATCCGTTTTTAAATGATAATGAAGTAATCAGAGTCAAACCAGATCTGGGTTTTATTGTATATAAATGTTCAGCATCCAACACATTTCTATGTTCTGCATAAAAGTTTGTTTTGAGACAGGGCCTTGCTGTGTCACCCAGGCTCGAGTGCAGTGGCACGATCACGGCTCACTGCCGCCTTGACCTGCTTGGCTGCAGTGATCCTCCCATCTCAGCCTCTTGAGTAGCTGGGACTACAGGCGTTTGCCACTGCACCGGGCTAATTTTTAAATTTTATTTTTGTAGAGACAGGGTCTCACTATGTTGCCCGGGCTTGTCTCAAACTCCTCGGCTCAAGGAATCCTCTCGCCTCAAGCTCCTAAAGTGTTGGGATTATAGGCGTGAGCCACGGCGTCTGGCGAAGGTTTATTTTAAACTTTAGACAAAAAGCCACCAGATTCCTTGTTGGAGCAGCAGTGCTGTGAGAGCCCCTCCCTGCACGCCTGCCTGGTAGCCGGCTGCAGGTCTAGACCTGAGGCTGCTGCTGCCTCCCCACTGTGCTTGAGGCCCATTCCATCACAGGCTCTTAGCGGGTTTTATCTGGCTCATGAGGTATCTCTTTGTAGTCCTCTTAAAAGTAGCCACAGAAATTAACAACTCGGGTTTTTCTTTAACAAGGGTGAGGACACTTGAGCGGAAATTAGAAGCAAAAATGATCAAGGAGGAAAGCGACTACCACGACTTGGAGTCGGTGGTTCAGCAGGTGGAGCAGAACCTGGAGCTGATGACCGTATGGGTTTCTTTCTCTCAATCGGATGAGCTGGGTGGGGCAGGAGCGCTCCTGAGAAAGTGCTGCTGTCCTCAGCAGCTGCTGCAGCCTGCCCTTGGGAGCGGGCCCATGTGGCTCTCTGGGACTGGTGTCCCTTGACATCGCTGTCCCCCTGTGCCTGGGGATAGCTGGTCCGTGAGGGTGTCCATGGGGAGTGGGGGGCCAGAGCACAAACGCTGCATGGTGAGCCCTTCCCATGGGTGGTCTGAGAGTGGGGGCGGGACTGGGTGGGGCACAGGGGCTGTGAAGGGCCACAGCCAGGTTGGGTGACCTCCTGCTCCCTGCGTTGAGGCCCGTGTCCGGTATTAATGTGAGGACATCAGTGATACTTTTTGTGTGTGTTTTTTTTTGGGTAACAGAAACGGGCTGTAAAGGCAGAAAACCACGTCGTGAAACTGAAACAGGAAATCAGTTTGCTCCAGGTAATTAAAGGAAAGGACTTCAGTGTTTTTCTTTGATTTGTGGAATCACATAGAATCAGTTCGCTCCAGGTAATTAAAGAAAGGACTTCAGTGTTTTCCTTTCATCTGTGGAGTCACATAGATAATGAATTCAGGAAGACAGAGATAAAAGATTCTGCTGGGGTTTCCCCTAGGCCCAAGCAGAGAAAGGACTTCACATGGGGACAGCACCTGCTTCCTGTCGGGGCCTGAAGCAGAGGGAGGCCCTGGAGTTCTGTTGGGACTTTGGGGTCTGGCATGGGGCATCCACTTGGGAGTCCGTTTCCATAGAGCTAGGTGCTAGGCATATACTGGAGTGAAGGGGAAGCCGTTAAGCCCCCAGTCCCAGAGGCGAGCCCCCAGTTAGGCCAGAGCACCCGTCCTGAGTGCCAGGTCCCCATGGGTAAGTCCTCGCCTCGCTGGGTGGTGACTTTTATCCGCATTGCCTCGGAGCTGCTCTCTCCTTAGCCATAACCGTCCCCCTAGGTGCAGGTCTCCAACTTCCAGCGAGAGAATGAAGCCCTGCGGTGCGGCCAGGGCGCCAGCCTGACTGTGGTGAAGCAGAACGCCGACGTGGCCTTGCAGAACCTCCGGGTGGTCATGAACAGTGCACAGGCTTCCATTAAGTGAGTGCCTGGGAGGCACTGGGAAGCCTGGCAGGGAAAGGGGTGAGATTGGAGTGGTCGTCAGCGATACTGGGTGGGGGCCCAGGCTGACAGCACCGTGGCTGGAGGACCAGGGAGCCGCAGGGAGGGACGCGTGCTCAGTGGTCCCGATAGCTCTCTGGGTCATTTTGTGGACAGACCACCGGCTTTCTAACCCGCCTCGCAGTGTCTGATCCCACCTGGGAGGTGCAGACAGCCCCACCACCTGTGGACACTAAAGCTCTGAATAAAGGAAATAGTGGTAGTTTCCTTCCCGGTAAAAAAGCAAATTCCCAGAAGGCCCTTACTACTGTGCCTGGCTGGGGACATGTCAGCCACCATCACTGTGACAGTGGTGAGTGTCTGCCGCCCACTGGGCTGAGCTCTGCAGGGCGGTTTTGGCCCCCCAGAGCACTCCCTGTGGACAAGGGAGCCATCTCCTGTGAAGTCAGGTATGGGTCTCCTCGAAGAGGAGCTAGGAGTGGAAAACCTGTGGTTCTCCCTTGAGCCCCTCCCTTTCTCTCAGGAATCCTGTCCCTTTCTGCCCCACAAACCCCACCGCTTTCTCCCTGGAACCCCTCTCCTTTCTCCCCAGAACCCTGTCCCTTTCTCCCCCTGCAACCCTGTCCCTTTCTCCCCGCTGGCAAACCCCACCCCTTTCTCCCTGGAACCTCTTCTGTTTCTCCCCCACAGAACTCTGTCCCTTTCTCCCTGGAACCCCTCACCTTTCTCCCCCCAGAACCCCTCCCCGTTCTACCCTTCCCCTGTGGAACGAGGCCCTTCCCCCACCATGGAAACCCTCCCCATTCTTCCCCCTGGAATCCCTCCCTTTCCTTCCCCACCCTCCCCAGAATCCCTCCCCTCTGTCCCCCTCAGAACCTCTCCCCTTTTTCCTTATACCAACCCTTCCCCTTTCTCCCCCCACCCCCCCATGGAAACCGTCCCCATTCTTCCCCCTGGAGACCCGCCCCTTCCTGCCACTCAGAACCTCTCCCCTTCCCCCACCCCTTGGAACCCCTCCCCGTTCTCCCCCACCTCCCCTGTGGAACCCCCCATTTCTTCCCCTCCAGCCCCTCCCCTTTCTCCCCCCAGAGCCCCATTGCTGCCGAGTAGCTGCTACCGCCCATCCTGGTATCCGTGCTTGCTTTCAGGCAACTGGTTTCCGGAGCTGAGACACTGAATCTCGTTGCTGAAATCCTTAAATCTATAGACAGAATTTCTGAAATTAAAGATGAGGAGGAAGACTCTTGAGGACCCCTGGTTGTTTTCAGCAGGAAGCTCCGTGTATGCCCTGAGATCACCACCGCTCGATCTGAATGTGCAGTTGTGTCCTTAAATACGCAGTCTTCACCCAGAGTAAAGTGTTTATCGCAAGAGTCCAGTGTCGTGCCCTCAGCCAGTTCTTGGCCACTGCAATGGGAGCAGCCCTGGCCGAGCTGCCCCTGTGGTTTCTATGCAGCCCTTCGTGGCGAAATTCCTGTGGTCTTACAGATTGTAATGAGCTCTTGGAAGACAGTCATGAAAGCCAGCGATTTTACGAAAAAGAGCGGTTCTGGAATCTGTTTTCCAATCCCGTCCCAGAACATCAGTTGTAAGATAAGTACAATTGATTGTCCTTGCTTTTGTAAGTAGAACAAACACTAAATGCGCCTCTGAGGTGGCCACCCTGGGCAGGGACCTGTGCCTTTCACCGACACTCAGGGCTCCCTCTGGCTCCCGGGTCACTCTGGTGGCCCCAGCGGCTGGTCCCTGTGGTCATGGCCCGAGTGCGGAGGGGCCACTACATGGCTGCTGCTGTCCTCCCCCAGGACCCACGGGGACCATGGCCACACATTCCGTGCTGTGAAGCTGTCCAGATGCGCCTCTTTGGCTGGGGGTTCTGGTGGATGTTTCAAGTAGCATTTTGTACAATGCAGTTTAGAATTCAGGAATTTCAAGTATGTGCAGAGCCCGCCCGCCCGGGTGTATGAGGTCCTAGCTGCCTTTCTGACGGCCTCCGGCAGAGGGAAGTTGACGAACACTAAATGCCTTTTTGACTTTTTTCCTATAGAATTTTTTTAAAACTTTCTTTTTTCCTCCTGTTCCAATTGATAGCTTTTTTATTTAATAAATTCTGCAGTTCACCGCACTGTCTCTTCTCTGCTGACTTAGCCGGTCCTTGGAGAACGTCGTGGCCTTCCACACCTCACTTGCTCTTGCCCTAACTGGTGCCTTGTGCTGGCAGGTTCTCGTCAGGTCCTCAGCCCTCAGGGTCAGGGGCAGACTCAGACCACTGCTGCCTGGGCCTGACCACAGGGACCCATACATGATGGACGTGTGAGTCATGCAGCTGCACGGTTTCAGAGCTGGACAGACTGGATTCTAGCGTTGGGTCATCCTTTCAGATCATGTGCTTGAATTTTTTAAACAAGGCGTCTGAACCGCTAGACCCCTCGTCTTAGCTACAGGCGAAAGCCAGGGCTTTCCAGCAGTCACTGTGGAGGGTCCCGCTGCCTGGCCCCTTGCACCTCCCGCTCCTGCCGGTTGGTGAAAGCAGGCTCTGGATTCTCTTGGCAGAGCTGACTTGAGACAGGGTGCTGTGGTTGGAAAGTGCCGGAATGAGGTTCTGAGTGTGCAGTCAGCTCAGGGAGCCCTGTAGCGGCAGGATGGGGGCGTCCTGTGAGGATTCCTCAGGCCACAGACCTTCCCTGAGGCCCTTCGGGAGAGAGCATTTTATGGGGTGGGAGTCACAAAGGCCAGATGGCCAGGCAGGTCCCATCCATCAGATGCATGTGAAGCAGGGTGGTCCCTGGGCCTCATGCCAGCGGCTCATGGAGCAGATGGGGCCCAGGGAAGCGCGGTGGGGATGGGCATGTGGGTTTTGCACACCCCTCTCATTTGTTGTCTGTGTTTAAAGTGTTGGATAGTAAGAAGTTTAAAAATGCAACTTATAGGCCGGGCGCGGTGGCTCACGCCTGTAATCCCAGCACTTTGGGAGCTGAGGCAGGCGGATCACAAGGTCAGAAAATGGAGACCATTCTGGCTAACATGGTGAAACCCCATCTCTACCAAAAATATAAAAAATTAGCTGGGCGTGGTGGCGGGCGCCTGTATGCCCAGCTACTCGGGAGGCTGAGGCAGGAGAATGGCGTGAACCCAGGAGGTGGAGCTTGCAGTGAGCCGAGATCGCGCCACTGCGCTCCAGCCTGGGCGACAGAGCAAGACTCCGTCTCAAAAAAAAAAAAAAAAAAAAATACAACTTGCCTGCCTCTGCCTCTGGATTTCGAGCCCCGCTCAGGCAGGTCACCACGACACAAGGACTGAAACGAGGCGCTCGAGGAGCCCACAGCCACCCGGTTCCATCCCCTCCATCTGTTTCTTGCCAATCCCTAGCTCCCAGCCTGGCCTCACCTGGGCCTAGCCCTTTGCCACCAAAAGCCCACCTCCTGGGCAGACGGGGCAAAAACCCCCATTATAGTTCTCCAGCTGGTGTCCCCAGCCCTCCATAGGCTGGAGTGGAGGCCCCCTCAACTGGCTGGGCCCAGGATGTCTCTGCAGCACCTCTGGTGCTTACAAGCTCTCAGGAACCAGGAACTGTAGGCCCCTGCCCAGTTCCCGGCTGAGTTAGCCCTGGCACATTCCTGAAGGAATGAATACCCCCTTAAGGGAGTTCCCCGGGGCAGCTCTCCAGGCCAGGACAACCTAGAGGGCCCAGAGGGTGGGCACAGGTGACCAGGGAAGCGAGTTCTGCGTGGTGTGGGCCCCCACCCTCTGGCCTCAGTCTCCTGCACGTGCCTGGCGCTCGGCCTGGCCTGGGCGGTCCTAAGCACGCAGGGCAGGCTGGGGAAAAGCCCTTCACGTAGACTTTCTCATCCGCTACTTAACCAAACCCCAGGATGTCCATTAACAGAGGATGAAACAGGCACAGAGAGGTCCAGCGGTGGCCACCGAAGGTCACAGCCAGTAAGGGCCGGTCTTCTGGGTCGTGACCAGGTGGCCGGGTGCCTGTCCTCGCCTGTCCCCTGCCTTGGGGTCCTGCGTCCACCCGCGTCCCTCCGGAGCGCGCGGAGGCGGCCCCCAGGGCGGCCGCGCGAGGGCAGCATCGAGCCGTTCGCCCCTCTAGTCCCTGCAGGGACAGCGGCCGTCCCGGCGTGCCCCGCGCCTCAGGAGGCGGGACTTCCGGCGCGCGGCGCTCTTGTTCTGCAGCCGCCGGAAGCGGCGAGTCTGCGGTCGCCCGGGCGACGGCTGGGTCCGCGCGAGCAGGTAAAGTCTGCGCATAACAGGTAAGGCGCGGGTGGCGCTGGCAGCTCCCGGGCTTTCCCCGCGGAGGGGGCGCTGTCCCGAGGAGCGGACATCCGAGGCCCGGGACGGGGGCGGGCAGCGTCCAGAGTCGGGGAAACTGAGGCCCGGCGTGGCCCCGTCCGGCTGAGCCTGCGCGCGCGAGGATTCCGGGCCCGGGAGCCCCTCGGCTGGGAGCGGGCTGCGGCCCCCGCGGGCTCCGAGGAGGCGCCGGCGGGGCGGTCCCGGCTGCTGGGCGCCCGCGTGCGTCTCGGGGACTGCGCCGTCGATTCTGCGGTGGCCGAGCCTCGGAGGGGGTTTCCCCAGGTCCCGCAGCTAGCAGGAGGCGGAACTGGGCCTGGGCCGGGTCTGTCTCCCAAGCCGGTGCCTAAACGTCCATCGCCCTGGCGCTTCCTGGGGTTCCCTGGGCCAAGCCGAGTCTGAGTGGCGTCCCCGCAGCTGGGTCGGGAGGGACCGCCTGCTGCGTTCCGTTTTGGTGGGCAGCCCTCATGACCAGCCCTTGGGAGAGGGGTGCGGGGAGAGGGACAGCCCCTGATGTTGGTGGCTCAGCACGTGTGACTTTGACCTCCTTCCTGCCCATCATTGCTCTCCTGAGCAACTCGGGGAGGGGAGGCAGCAGCCGCCTCTTGCGTGAGGCTTCCAGGGGAAAGCGTCTCCGCCGGCCCGGAGGCTCTGAACCGGCCTGCGGTCGCTGCCAGCTCTGCTTCTGGCCGGCTGTTAGCTGAGTTTACAGGTTCACAAGCATTTCGGGCTTTGTGAAGGAGTGAGGGGACCTGGGCTGCTGATGTGGCTAACAGTGCTGGCGGGTGGATGCTTTGGTTTTGTTCTAGTTGGGCAGCGCCCCAGTCAGTCTCCAGCAGGGAGAGCCATGCCAAGGGCAGGGGAGGGCGTTTCTCTTTGTTGTTGAGTGTTTTGGGCTCCCGGGTCTGTGCTAGTGTTTCCTTTAGACTTTCTCTGCTGATGCTTCATTCTCCTACTCCCTCTCTCTAGCGTCTTACTCCCTTCAGACTTCCTAGACCACAGTTCCTAAGGAAAAAGCTTGACAGACATTTGTTCAGTCTCAGGCACTGCCACATTCCAGGTGCTGTTATGGATGCACAGAGAACAGCCAGCCTTGCCTTTGGGTTGCCTTTGAGAGCTTCCTTCCATGGGGGAAGTGCCTGTCACCTGGGCAGTCTCAGTGTGTCTCTGAATTTTTCTCAGATGCCCTCTGTGGTCTGGCTCTGTGCCATGGGAGAGCAGGATGGCCAAAGCGGGTCACGGGCTGTGTCCTTGCCCTGTAGTGACTTTGCCTCTGCACCCCCACACTTTCTATATTGGGTGGCCAGTTTCCGCGTGGCTTGGTGGGGGAGCCAAGACAGGACAGTGGGGCCTGCCCTGTTCGTCCACTCCCTGCCTGTGCTGGTTGCAGCCCCAGAGCAGGCGGGAGACGTTCTTGGGGCTTAGGCTCCTGGCAGAGCACAGAGCAGGAGTTCGTGGGGTCTGAGGTTGCCACTCCAGGGCTCCCTGATTCTGGGCCTGGCCTCTTAATCTTTCTCTGGGGAGCCCAGTGCCCGCTGCCGAGCAGACTCCTGCCATCCCCTGTGGGCAGGTGTGTCTGGAGGAGAATGGGATCCCAGCACAGTCTTGGTTTCTAACATCTTGGGGTGTGTTTTGGAGGCAGGCAGAAGTCATGGATGTAGATGCTGAAAGAGAGAAGATAACACAGGAGATCAAGGAGCTGGAAAGGATTTTAGATCCCAGCTCCGCGGGCACCCACATGGAAGTCTCAGAATCAAGTCTCGAGTCAGATTCTGAAGCAGGTGAGCCCCTTGCACCTGGCCTCCTGGGGTCCTGGTAAGAACAGCTGGTCTGCCCCTGGGTTCCTCTCAGACACATTAGGGTGTGATGGTAACTAGGTGTGGTCTCTCAGGCCTGTAACCCCAGGGACTCCGGAGGCTCAGGGGAGAGTATTGTTCGATCCCAGGAGTTCACGTCCAGCCTGGGCAATGCAGCAAGACTCTGCCTCTAAAAATAATAATAACAATAATAAAACGATGGCTGGTACTGCTTGAACCAGGCCCAATTTTTTGCCAACACTGGTGTCTGCCTGTACTCCAGCCAGAGAGCTTCTGACAGTTCCATGTTTGCTAGCCCCTGAACCAGCTGACTGTGTGTGTTCCCTGGGCTCTAGTCTTCCCAGGGTCTGGCCCTGGCCTCCTTGGGCCTGTGCAGGGCTTCTGGAGTGGACCATCCTGGGAGGAAGGGGCCAGCCTGGAGTTCACCCGATGGCAGCCTGGACAGTCCATACCTGATGGTCACCACAGCTCACACCCCCAGCATCTCTTCTCTTCACATGCACCACTCCCAATGTGCTCCCCACCCCAATGTGCTCCCCACCCCGCGCTCCCCTTCCCACACGCTCCCCTCCCCATGTGCTCCCCACCACACATGCTCCCCACTCCATGTGCTTCCCACCCCATAGGCTCCCCACCCCACAGCCTCCCCTCCCAACATGCTCCCCTCCCCATGTGCTCCCCTCCATACTGCCTTTATCTTCTGAGCCTACCCCAACCCCACCAGCTGCTCCCTGACAGGAGACCTCCCAGCCTTACTTCCCACCTCTCCCAGACCTAGGGCTTGCCTCTGAGGCAACCTGCTATCTTTCTCTGTGGTCAGGGCCTCTACGTCCATGCCTTCCATCTGAGTGACGGAGCTCCCGAAGGACAGGTCCATTTTCTGCTAGGCTTTCTCTGTCTGTCTCTCCAATGCGAGATAGCCTGTGCCGTCCAGTGAACCCTGTGTAGCTTTGTCCTGTGTGCCTGGAGGGCCCCAGTGTGTGGCCAGAGTCTTCTCTATCTAGCTAACCCGGCCTTGGTCCATTGCCCACCCTGCTGTCAGAGAGGGAAGGTCCGCTCATTGCAAGCCTCAGCCTGAGGCGCTCTCACTGCTTCACAGCCCCAGGCCCTCTCCCCTCTGCCCAAGAAGCAGTGGTGAGCTGCGCCCCCACCCCGACCCAGACGCTGGTCACCAACACTGTGTTGCTTGTGTTTCTGACAGAGTCACTGCCTTCTGAGGACTTGGACCCTGCCGATCCCCTGATCTCGGTAACTGCTGGCCTGATCTGGCTGTGCCACTGGGTCAGGCCTGCCAGCACCTTCCAAAGTGGCCTGGGAGGGGGTGTGGTTTGAACTCATATTGGTTTTTCTGCATTATGAAAATGATGCGTGTTTGTTATTAAAAAAAAAAATCAGAAAGTATTTGTCATTGAAATTGTCCCTAGAAATAACCACTATTAACAGCTTGGTGGTCACACCCCTTGGCTTTTTTCTGAGTTCATGGCTGTATGCTTCCGTCTCCTGCATGGCATCTGTCACTCATGGAAAGCTGTGAGTTGTGCACCTGGGTCCTGCCCCTCACAGCTCAACGCTCTGTGCCTCAGATTCCTGTGGGGCAGCAGGGACGTTTCCAGCACAAGTCAGCTAACACGAGCAGCTATACAAAAACTAGCTGGTGCAGTGGCACGTGGCTGCGGACCCAGCTACTTGGGTGGCTGAGGCGGGAGGATCACTTGAGCCCAGGAGGTCGAGGCTTCAGTGAGCTGTGATTGCACCACTGCCCTCCAGCCTGGGTGACGGAGTGAGACCCTCTCTCAAAAAAAAGAAAAATACACGAGCACCTAAACAGCACGTGGCAGCCGCTCTGTGAGGCCAGTCATTATCTTGTTAGCTGCCTTTTGTTTACGTTGGAAAACGTTGGCGATTTGCTGCTTCCTTTTTCCACGGAGTTAGTAGATACTGAGTCGCCTCATGTTAGCGTGGCCGTGTGGTCTGCCTTCTGTGGGTGAGCACCCTGCCGTAGCCCGTGGGCGCCTCCCCGGGTCCCGACGGGCGTTTTCACCGCGTCCCCTTCCTGGCTGTGCGGAAACTTTCCTCCCACACACGCCTGCTCCCCCTGCTTCGCTGGTGATTCACACCACAGGGGCTCAGGACAGAGTTCAGGGTTCACACCGACGCCTGTGGTCCTGGAGAGCTCCTGCCTCCCAGCAGCCCCAGCCCTGGCGCGTTCCAGGCAGGAGGCTCCACCTGCCGTGGATTAGGACAGGCGCACACGGGCCACCTCGAGAGCAACAGGCTCCGCTCCCAAACTCACACGCCCTCCTGCTGCCCACCAGGGTCACTTCCTGCTGCCACATTGGGTGTTGCTATGCTGGAGCTGCCTCGGTGTCCCAGAGGCCCAGTGATGGGCGCCTGGCTCCCGAGGACAGGGCAACATCCATGTCTCATCCCCTCATGTGCCATTTCTTGCTTGTAACCAGGAAGAAGAAAGGTGGGGTGAAGCCAGCAATGACGAGGACGACCCCAAGGATAAAACCCTCCCTGAAGACCCGGAGACCTGCCTGCAGCTGAACATGGTCTACCAGGAGGTCATCCAAGAGAAGCTGGCTGAGGCCAACCTGCTGCTGGCCCAGAACCGGGAGCAGCAGGTGGGACGGGCCTTGGCCCCCAGTGCCCACGCCTCCCCACCCCCAGAGCCCCCCACAGCTGGACCTCCCAGGTCCAGGGCTCCCCAGCTTCCTGCCTCTCCTCTGCCCTGGGTCCCCTCCACAGGGAGAGTCGCTGCTGCTGGTCCACAGAGGGGTCCCTGCCTTGTGTCTGTCACAGGAGGAGCTCATGAGGGATCTGGCTGGGTCCAAAGGCACCAAGGTGAAGGATGGCAGGAGCCTGCCCCCAAGCACATACATGGGGCACTTCATGAAGCCGTATTTCAAGGACAAGGTCACGGGTGTGGTGAGTGGCCCAGGCCCTGCTCTTGTCGGCAAGGCTCTGTGCACCGTGGGAAGGGCCCTTGTCCCCAAGTCCTGCTGCGGGGAGTCGTGAATTCCCGTGAGTTCAAGATAACATTGGCCAACCTCCTTCAAACTGCCTCCTCCGTGGTGGGCAGGCTGCCCTCTGCTCTGCGTTGGGCTGCCCGGACTGCCCTGTGAAGCGATGAGCGAGCCCTCATGGAGGTGCCAGCGTTGCCTGTGTGAGGCCTGACCTCAGAGGCCTCATGGATTGGCCGGCAGGGTTGCACCCGCCAGCCTCACAGTACGGGAAGACAGGAGGCAGGGGGTCCGAGTCCTTTTGTGGGCTCTGGAAGGATGTGCGGGGCCTGCAGGGAGCACACGTGGTCTGTGCCTGTGGTGATGCTGTGCACCCTGACAGGGGCCCCCTGCCAACGAGGACACACGAGAGAAGGCTGCCCAGGGGATCAAGGCTTTCGAGGAGCTCCTTGTGACCAAATGTAAGAGCCCCAGCCGGCCATGCGGCACCTCTGAACTCGGGGGACCCCTCCCCACGGCCCTGCTTTCCCCAGTTTCTTCTCAAGTTCTCAGACCTTTCTCTGTTGTGATCTCATGGCTCCTTCAGGCCTTGACCACTGGGACTGGCTCCTTGACCCCTGCCTTTCCACACTGAGCAGGTCCTTTCCAGAACGCCAGTCATGCGGGACGGGCCAGGTTGCACCGTACCGTCTTACTCAGTCTCCTTGCCTTGTCTTGGGCCGCAGAGCCCTGGCAGCTCTGCCCGTGAGCTGGCGCCAAGCCTTGGGTGGAGCTATGTCGGTGGGTGGAGGGGCCGCACCTGTGGGCCTGGTATGCTGCTTACTCGCTGTGGGGCCCCCACCACTGCCTGGGGAAAGTGCACACCGACCACGGGGGTGGGCCGTGGAGAGGATCCAGACCCTCAGTGATGGTGTTGTGGCTTCTCCTCAGGGAAAAACTGGGAGAAGGCCTTGCTCCGAAAGTCAGTGGTGAGTGACCGCCTGCAGCGATTGCTTCAGCCCAAGTTACTGAAGTAAGTCTAAAAACAAAGGTCAAAAATGGCCTTCAGGCTGGGTACAGGGTTCATGCCTGGAATCCCAGCACTTTGGGAGGCCAAGGCAGGAGGATCTTTTGAGCCCAGGAGTTCAAGCCCAGCCTGGGCAACATGATGAGACCTCATCTCTTCAAAAAGTAGAAAAAATTAGCCGGGTGTGGTGGTGCACGCCTGTGGTCCCAGCTACTCGGGAGGCTGAGGTGGGAGGATCGACTGAGCCCAGGAGGTCAAGGCTGCAGTGAGCTGTGATCGTACCACTGCGTTCCAGCCTGGGCAACAGAGCCAGACCCTGTCTCAAAAACAAACAGCCTTTCCCAGCCAACAGGAAAAGTCAAGGCTGGCTGATGTGGGCTTGGCAGAGGTTCAGCTCGGCTGCGAGCCTGTTCTCTGCAGCAGGTCCTGCCAGCCCACGGAGAGATGCTGATGCCTGGACTTGATGCCCTTTCCCCCTGAAGGGGGCTTCCTCGTGGCCAGGTGGCCAAGCACAGGATCAGTCCACACAGCCACATTGAGGGGCGTGGCTCGGGGCACGGGGTGGTCCACACAGCCATGATGAGGGTTGTGGCTCGGGGGTGTGGGGTGGTCACCACGGCCATGATGAGGGTTGTGGCTCAGGGCGCGGGGTGGTCCACACGGCCATGATGAGAGTGTGGCTCGGGGCGCGGGGTGGTCACCACGGCCATGATGAGGGGTGTGGCTCAGGGGTGCGGGGTGGTCACCACGGCCATGATGAGGGGTGTGGCTCGGGGGTGCGGGGTGGTCACCACGGCCATGATGAGGGTGTGGCTCGGGGCAGGGGGTGGTCACCACGGCCATGATGAGGGGTGTGGCTCGGGGGTGCGGGGTGGTCCACACGGCCATGATGAGGGTGTGGCTCGGGACAGGGGGTGGTCACCACGGCCATGATGAAGGTATGGCTCAGGGTGCAGGGTGGTCCACACGGCCATGATGAGGGTGTGGCTCGGGGCGCGGGATGGTCACCGTGGCCGTGATGAAGGTATGGCTCGGGGCGTGGGATGGTCACCACGGCCATGATGAGGGTGTGGCTCGGGGCGTGGGATGGTCACCACGGCCATGATGAGGGGTGTGGCTCGGGGGCACAGGGTGGTCACCACGGCCATCATGAGGGGTGTGGGTCGGGGCGCGGGGTCGGTCCACACAGCCATGATGAGGGGTGTGGCTCGGGCAGCTTCTCTTTTCTGGGCCTTTCCCCGTGCCTGAAACCTGGTGTTTGCTGATGGGATGATACCATGTGACCAAAGCAAGGCACAGCACGGCCTTACTGTTCACACGCGATAGAAGGCGCTGCTGTCCTGATAACTTTGGTCAAAGACAGAGCTGTTCCCAGAGCCCAGAGACCCAGCAGCACCTTGTTGGCCACTCTGTCAGCAGCACAGCGGGTCCCCACCTGTCTTCTGTGCGGCCACCATGAGCTCTCAAGGCAGAGCAGGTGCCTTTAGGATACAAGCTGCCAGGACATTTCTGGGCACTGAGAGGCCTTTGGCCAGGCCAGGGGTCCTGGGGCCCGCCTGCCAGCCATGGCTTGATGTGTATGGTCAGGGTTTGCAGTGACGACGGTGGGTCTCTCCTCAGGCTTGGGGAGAGCTGGGTTTTCCTCCCTGGCCTGCTCGGGGGAGTGGTTCTTTACTGTGACCTCACAGCCTCCAGCCTCACTGGGCACCAGTCAGGACATCTGCCCATGGCTGTGTCTCTGTGCCAGGCACAGGCTGGGAGCTGGGGCACTGAGGCTCCGGAGGGCTGTGCCGAGGCTCTCAGACATGGGGGCCAGCAGGCAGTAGCCTCTGTGTCAGCAGACACTGTAGCTCTTCCCACCCCAGTGGCACCCTGGAGGTGGGTGCTACGGCTTCCTTTATGGGTGAGGAGGCCGAGGCAGGGAGGGTGAGGGAGGCTCGGAATCTCTGCTGAGCTCACACTCTTTGCTCTATACTGCGCAGAGAACCCGTCCCCGCCCCCCAGCAGCCCTTCTGCCTGCAGCCTTTCTGCCTTTGCTCTGCTTTGCAGGCTTGAGTACTTGCACCAGAAGCAGAGCAAAGTCTCCAATGAGCTGGAGAAGCAGGCCCTGGAGAAGCAGGCCAGGGAAGCCAAGAAGGAGATCCAGGACATCAAGTGAGGAGGCCTCCCGGGAGGGCCCAGGGGAGCCCACAGGCCAGGCGTGGCACCAATACCCTCATCCCTTCCTCCAGCCAGCTTCCGGAAGAGGCGTTGCTGGGAAACAGGCTGGACAGCCACGACTGGGAGAAGATTTCCAATATTAACGTAAGTCGGGGGCAGGTCTGAGCCCCAAGCAGCTCGCAGCACAGCTCCCTGTAGCCCGGGTGCGGTTGGAATTGGGTGGTAAGGCCACACCCTCCCTGGCACAGGTTCCGCTGTGACCCCTGCCCACCCGGGTCAGGCACATGTCTGGCAGTTGGTAGTGGTGAGTGGCCTCAGGGCTTTCCCGCTGGTGCATGGCCCCCTTTCTGAGACAGTCTGGAAGGCTCCTGGCACTGCATTTGGAGCCAAGTCTACGTATTTGGCCGTGCAAGGCCTAGTGAGTTGGACGAAGATTCCGCTTACTTACAGCCGTGGAAGCCTCCAGCTGGCACAGAGCAACAGCTCAGCCTGGAGCTGCATCTAGGGTGCCCTGGGGTCAGTGGCCTGCAAGGCTGAGTGTCTCTGTCCTTGCAGTTTGAAGGCAGCCGTAGCGCAGAGGAGATCCGGAAGTTCTGGCAGAACTCGGAGCACCCCAGCATCAACAAGCAGGAGTGGAGCGGGGAGGAGGTGGAACAGCTGCAGGCGATCGCGGCTGCACACGGCCACTTGGAGTGGCAGAAGATTGCAGAGGAGCTGGGGGTAAGGACCTGGCCTGGACCCCAGGGGCCAGGAGACCTGAGGGCGTGTGGGCCCTATAGCGGGAGGTGGCTGGACAGGTGCAGGGTCCTCAGTCCTCACTCACCACCAGGTTTCTGTGTGTTGCCACCTCCAGGCTGTGGCCCTGGGGAAGGAGCCTGCCCAGCCCTCTCTGCCACTAGGCTGTTGCCGCAGCTCCCCTGGGCCTTCATAGTCCCCCAGGTCTCCCCATACAGCAGTGCATGCCCAGCTTACCGGAGTCTGTCTCCTTCCTTATTTCCCGTCTTCCTCTGTCTCTATCAGCCTCGGGAGTTTGTTCTGTTGATGTTTCTAAGGGATGCTTTTTCCTAGTGTGAGTTCTTGCCGCTTTTCTGGTTTCCTGAGTAAGGGCTCAGTTCTTTACTGACTTGTGTCTCTTGTCTTGATAACGAGGCTTGTTAGGCCACACTCTTCTGGGAGCAGCTTGGTGTGAACTGTTCTTTTCGTAGATTTCCAGAGTAGCTCTAGTTTCCATTTTTATTGCCTCTTTGGACCTAGGTTTATCTAGGAATGTATGTTTCCATTTTTAAATAGTTGGGTTCCTGGGAGTTCTTGTGGTGGTTCTTTATCTGAATTTGATTGGAACATGAACTAAGGGCGTGATGTGTAAAATCTCCATCTTTCAAATAGGTTATTTTTTTTATGGCAGAGCACCTGATTATAGCAGACCAAGCTAAACTTGCCAAAACTGTTTTTAAGAAAAAGGAGTATTCTCTGTAAGTAGGGCCTATCAGCTATTAAATTGAGTTTGCCTTTAAAGATGTTTAATTGTGCCAGACGCAGTGGCTCACCTCTGTAATCCCAGTACTTTGAGAGGCCGAGGCCGGTGGATCACCTGAGGTCTGGAATTCGAGACCAGTCTGACCAACATGGAGAAACCCCGTCTACTAAAAATACAAAATTAGCTGGGTGTGGTGGTGCATGCCTGTAGTCCCAGCTACTCGGGAGGCTGAGGCAGGAGAATCGTTTGAACCCAGGAGGGGGAGGTTGCAGTGAACTGAGATAACGCCATTGTACTCCAGCCTGGCAACAGAGCGAGACTCCATCTCAAAAAAAAAAAAAAGTTTAATTCTGAAAAGTTATGTTGATGTCACTTGACTATGTTCTGACATCATAATATTAAAAATCAGTTTTTCGGCCGGGCGCGGTGACTCATGCCTATAATCCCAGCACTTTGGGAGGCCGAAGCAGGCGGACCACGAGGGCAGGAGATTGAGACCATCCCGGCTAACACAGTGAAACCGCATCTCTACTAAAAATATAAAAAATTAGCCGGGTATGATGGCAGGCACCTGTAGTCCCAGCTACTCAGGAGGCTGAGGCAGGAGAATGGCGTGAACCCGGGAGGTGGAGCTTGCAGTGAGCGGAGATCGCACCGCTGCACTCCAGCCTGGGCAACAGGGCAAGACTCATCTCATAAATAAATAAATAAGTATATATATAATTGTCAGGTTTTCTTTTATATATATTTTGCTGCTACATAGTTTGGTAGACAACTTTTTTTTAATCAAGGTCTACTTTCATTTTTTGTTTTTTATATTTTTTAAGTTCAGGGGTGCGCGTGCTGGATGTGCAGGTTCATTTCGTAGGTCAATGTGTGCCATGGTGGTTTGCTGCATAGAGCAGAGCCCATCACCCAGGGGTTCAGCCCAGCATGCATTAGCTCGTTAGCTCTTTTTCTTTCTTGCTTGCTTTTTTTTTTTTTTTTTTTTTTTTTTGAGATGGAGTCTCTCTGTTGCCCAGGCTGGAGTCAGTGACGCAATCTCAGCTCACTGCAACCTCTGCCTCCCGGGTTCAAGCGATTCTCCCACCTCAGCCTCCCGAGTAACTGGGACTACAGGCATGCACCACCATACCTGACTGATTTTTGTATTTTTAGTAGAGATGGGGTTTCACTGTATTGGCCAGGCTGGTCTCGAACTCCTGACCTCGTGATCCACCCACCTTGGCCTCCCAAAATGTGGGATTACAGGCATGAACCAACTCGCCTGGCCGCATTAGCTCTTTTCCATGATGCTCTCCTCCGCCCCTACCCGCCACCCCCCACTCCCCACACACATAACTTTTTATGTAATTAGTAGAGACCTGGTCTTGCCATGTTGCCCAGGCTGGTCTTGAACTCCTGGCCTCAAACACTCCTTCTGCCTCATCCCAAAGTGTTAGAATCACAGGTGTGAGCCACTGTGCCCAGCCCACATAACTTTATGATGACTGTTTTTCGTTGGTTTTTTTTTTTTGAGACAGAGTCCAGCCCTGTCGCCCAGGCTGGACTGCAGTGCCACGATCTTGGCTCCCTGCAGCCTCTTCCTCCCTGGTTCAAGCAGTTCTCCTGCCTCAACCTCCTGAGTAGCTGGGATTACAGGTGCCTGCCACCATGCTCAGCTAATTTTTGTATTTTTAATAGAAACGGGTTTTCACCATGTTGGCCAGGGGTCTCAAACTCCTGACCTCTAGTGATCTGCCCGCCATGGCCTCCCAAAGTGCTGGATTACAGGCGTCAGCCACTGCACCTGAGGTCTGGCCATGATGACTGTATTTACTTTGCAAATTATGTTTTTTTAAAAAGTCATTATCTCTCTATTTCCCTTATTCTTTTTGAGCTTAAATTCCATCTTCCTGGTAGAAACGTCGCCACTCTTGCTTTTTTTTTTTTTTTTACATTTTTTGTCCATCCCTGTATTTTCTTTTTTTTTTTTTTTGAGACGGAGTCTGGCTCTGTCGCCCAGGCTGGAGTGCAGTGGCGCGATCTCAGCTCACTGCAAGCTCTGCCTCCCGGGTTCGCGCCATTCTCCTGCCTCAGCCTCTCGAGTAGCTGGGACTACAGGGACCCGCCACCACACCCAGCTAATTTTTTGTATTTTTAGTGGAGACGGGGGTTTCACCGTGTTCGCCAGGATGCCTGACCTCGTGATCTGCCCGTCTCGGCCTCCCAAAGTGCTGGGATTACAGGCGTGAGCCACCGCGCCCGGCCCATCCCTGTATTTTCAGCCTTTTAACGCATCATCATTTCCAGGTGTTTTCATGAAAGCAGCGTGCCGCTGGGTTTCGCTTTCCCCCCCTGCCTGAGCAGCCTCTGGCTTTGTTAGGAGGTTGGGTGTTCCTGGTGCCCTCCCTGGCTCTGGTGTGTTGAGTCCATTTTACTTGGTGGCCTCTTTTCCTTCCACTCTGTCTTGCCGGTTTGCTGAAACCGTAAGTCCAGTTTTTCTCCTTGTGATTTTTGGGAATTCTGTGTTCCATCCATTAATGGCTTTTTCTTCTTGGAACACGTAGTCAGACATGCTTCTCTGTTAATACCAGAAAGCGCAACGCCAGCACTTTCCCCGCCAGATTCTTTCTCCTTCCTGGGAAGTGTTTTTAGTAACTGTCAAAGCCAGGCTAAGGCCTCAGCAGCCTCCCTCTATCCTCCCTCCAGCCTCACTCCATCCTCCCTCTATCCTCCCTCCAGCCTCACTCCATCCTCCCTCTAGCCTCACTCCAGCCTCACTCCATCCTCCATCCTCCCTCCAGCCTCACTCCATCCTCCATCCTCCCTCCAGCCTCCCTCCATCCTCCCTCCAGCCTCCCTCCAGCCTCACTCCATCCTCCCTCCAGCCTCCCTCCAGCCTCACTCCATCCTCCCTCCAGCCTCCATCCTCCCTCTAGCCTCACTCCATCCTCCATCCTCTCTCCATCCTCCCTCCAGCCTCCCTCCATCCTCACTCCAGCCTCCCTCCAGCCTCACTCCAGCTCCGTTTGAGAGCTCCTGCTCTCAGCTCTCCCAGCAGGGCCCAGCTCTGAATCCCGCCCCACCCCCAGTCCTTTGCCTTCCCGGATCCTTCGGCAGGCTTGGGATAGGTGTGAGAAGGGTCTCTCTTTCCACTGGTTGGGAAGCGCCAGCTTGAGTATAGGAGGATGGGTGAGGCCTCGAGTGTGTTGATGCTCCCAGAAGCGCTCCCGTGTGGGCGTGGGGGCGAGGTTCACACATGTTGACTAGGATTGCCCTGCAGCTCGCACACCCCGGGGTGGTGGTTTTGTTTGTGGTGAATGAGTCTCAGATTGACCTGTGCTGTAGCGAGCTGGGAAGGATTTGGTGGGGAAGAAAGCCTTGGAAGCAAAATTCATAGTTTGGCAGCACCACGTCCAGCCCCGCTCCCCTCTGCCACCCAGCAGCTCACTTCAGAGAACAGGGTTCAGGTAACACAAACTTCACAGCTCAGCACACCGTGCCTAGCCCTGTGCGCCCTCTGCCACCCACAGCTCACTTTCAGAGAACAGGGTTCAGGTAACACTCATCAGCTCTTGGAAAACCCCTTCCCATAAGGAGATGCGTGAGGAAAAGATCTGGGCAGGTGGTCCACCGTGCGGACTGAGGGTGGGTTTGCTGAGCTGAGCCACGCAGGGAAGCTGGGAGAGTCATTTTGAGGCACTCCCTTCTGAGGGCGTCTCCTGAGACACAGACACCACACCAAGGGCTGTCCTGTACCTCCTCTACCCCACACCCCTCAGCTGCGAGATACCCTAGAGCTCGAGAAGGGAGAGAAGGTGCTAGCAGCTGCATTTAAAGAACATGCCACACACAGAGCAGCACATCTCCCAGCCCTTGCCAAGCTGGGAGTTTCTGTTGAGTGAGTTACAATGTGGTTTTGGAGTCATATCAGTTACCTACTCTGAATTTTTTTTTTAATATTTTCTTAAGTGAAGGTTTGATTCCTCTCTCACCTGGTCCTTTTTGGTCCTGTTTAGTGAGTGTAGCGTGTTCTTACCGTTACCGTGGGGTGCTCTCCATCAGCCCACAGGAGTCTGGGAGAAGGAGAGCTGGAGTCTGCAAAAGGGTCACTCCAGTGGCTCACGGGCCTGTCTGTGCCCTGGGGCACTCTCAGAGCCAGATCTGGACATCCTGCCGCACAGTAACACTCATTTGCTTTTGTTTGGGACTTGGGAAGACCAGCCGCAGCGCCTTCCAGTGCCTGCAGAAATTCCAGCAGCGGAACAAAGCCCTGAAACGCAAGGAATGGACGGAGGAGGAGGACCGCATGCTCACGCAGCTGGTGCAGGAGATGCGCGTTGGCAGCCATATCCCCTACCGCAGAAGTGAGGCCCCTCCGCCCCGACGGCTCTCAGTCTGTCACAAGGCCCCACATCAGGACACTGGAGGCTTGCAGGGAAAATTCACAGAGAGGCAACAAGACAGGCGAGGGCTTAGACAGTCCTGGCTATTCCACAGTTCGCTTCTTGGTGACTAAAGTGACTTTTTTTTTTTTTTTTTTTTTTTTCCGACATGGAGTTTTGCTCTCGTTGCCCAGGATGGAATGCAATGCCATGATCTTGGCTCACCGCAACCTCCGCCTCCCGGGTTCAAGCGATTCTCGTGCCTCAGCCTCCCAAGTAGCTGGGATTACAGGCATGCGCCGCCATGCCCAGCTAATTTTGTATTTTTAGTAGAGATGGAGTTTCTCCATGTTGGTCAGGCTGGTCTCGAACTCCTGACCTTAGGTGATCTGCTGGCCTCTGCCTCCCAAAGTGCTGGGATTACAGGCATGACGCCACCGCGCCTGGCCAAAGTAACTCTTTTCTGTGTGACCCATCTGGAGGGTGGGTGTCTCGGCCCCATGGAACCCCCTTGTCCTTAGCTGTCTACCGAACAGAGGGTGGGTGTCTCAGCCCCACAGGACCCCTGTGTCCCTAGCTATCTACTGTATGGAGGGGTGTGTCTCGGCCTCACAGGACCTCCCTGTCCCTCTGCCTCTAGTTGTCTACTATATGGAAGGGAGAGACTCCATGCAGCTGATTTACCGATGGACCAAGAGCTTGGATCCCGGCCTGAAGAAGGGGAACTGGGCCCCGGAGGAAGACGCTGTAAGTGTGCGGGCCCTCGGAGAGCTGGGCTCTGGGAGGGTAACGCGGCTGTGCTCAGCGGTGGTCCCTTCTCTGACTGGGTTTGGGGTGGGGAGGCTGTGGCCGTTCTGCAGAGGCTTCACTTGTCTGCCTGTCCCTTCCTGCAGAAGTTGCTTCAAGCTGTTGCCAAATACGGGGAGCAGGATTGGTTTAAAATCCGGGAAGAGGTGCCAGGTAGGAGCGATGCCCAGTGCCGAGATCGGTGAGTCGCACAGCGCTGGGTGAGGGAGGGGCTGGTGTGGGTCAGTGGCGAGGTTCACTCTCGTGTAGGCTGTGGGCAGGCTGGGCGACGGCGGCCAGAAGTGATTTGCTGTCACAGGAGCAGGGCGTGGCCTGTGGGTGCTTGGTGTGCCAGGGTTGGCCCAGATAAGCTATTTTTTCCAACCCTGACTTCTTTATTGCTTATTTGCCCAGAGCAAGGCACAGCCTCCACTTGAGACAACTCCCTGGGCAGCTTTTCCTGACCCTTATTGTCTGAGTTCTCTCAGACTGCAGATGGTCAGGACCCCTGGGCAGACAGCTGCAGCTCTCTCCTTTTCCTGCTTGTTGTCCTTTCAAAAACAGCTTCATTGAGAGAATTCACACACCATGCAGTGCGTTCATTTAAAGTGTATAGTTCAGAAGCTGGGTGCAGTGGCTCACGCCTGTAATCCCAGTACTTTGGGAGGCCAAGGCAGGTGGATCACTTGAGGCCAGGTCAACATGGCAAAACCCCGTCTCTACTCAAAATACAAACATTAAGCGGGCGTAGTGGCGGGCGCCTGTAATCCCAGCTACTTGGGAGGCTGAGGCAGGAGAATCGCTTGAGCCTGGGAGGTGGATGTTGAAGTAAGCTGAGATTGCGCCGCAGCACTCCAGCCTGGGTGACAGAGCAAGACTCTGTCTCGAGAAAATACAAATTAATTAATTAAAATGAAGTGTAGAAGGCCAGGTTCAGGGGCTCACGCCTGTAATCCCAACACTTTGGGAGGCTGAGGCCAGCAGATCACCTGAGGTCAGGAGTTTGAGACCAGCCTGACCAACAAGGAGAAACCCCGTTTCTACTAAAAATACAAAATTAGCCGGGCGTGGTGGTGCATGCCAGTAATCCCAGCTACTCGAGAGGCGGAGGCAGGAGAATCTCTTGAAACTGGGAGGCAGAGGTTGTAGTGAGCTGAGATCACGCCATTGCACTCCAGCCTGGGTGACAAGAGTGAAACTCCATCTCAAAAAAAAATGAAGTGTAGAGGTCAGTGGTTTTTAGTATTTAGTATTCATTGAGCTGTGCAGCCATCATCACAATCAGTTGTAAAACATTTCATCGCCCCAAAAAGAAAGCCGTTCAACAACAAAAACAACCCAATCTAAACGCGGGCAAAGAACTTGAATGGCTGTCTCTCCAAAGAAATGCACAGATGGCCAGTGAGCATGTGCAGTGACGCCCGGTGTCATGAGTCATTAGGGAAGTGCAAGTCAAAACCACACACACGTTGGGATGGCTGTTAATTTTTTTTAAAAAAAGTCACTGTGTTGGCAAGGATGTCGAGAAATTGAAACCTTTGCACATTGTAGAATGGTCCAGCCTCTGTGGAAAGCATGGCAGTTCCTCGGAGAGTTAAACATAGAATTACACCCCCAAGATTGATAAGCATAAAACCCAAAAGAATTGAAAGTAGGAACTCAGATACAACAATGTCCACAGCAGCAGCGTTCACAACAGTAAAAGGCCGGACACAGCCCAAGTGTTCATCAGCAGATGAGTGGAAAACAACATTTGCATACAAGGGAATATTATTCAGCCTTAAAAAGGGATTGGCAGGGCTTGGTGCCTCACGCCTATAATCCCAGCACTTTGGGAGGCCAAGGCGGACAGATCACGAGGTCAGGAGTTCAAGACCAGCCCGGCCAATATGGTAAAACCCTGTCTCTGCTAAAAATACAAAAACTAGCCACGCATGGTGGTGGGCACCTGTAGTCCCAGTTACTCAGGAGGCTGAGGCAGGAGAATCGCTTGAACCTGGAGTCCCAGTTACTCAGGAGGCTGAGGCAGGAGAATCGCTTGAACCTGGGGGAGGCAGAGCATGCAGTGAGCCGAGATCACGCCACACTGCACTCCAGCCTGAGCTACAGAGCGAGACTCTGTCTCAAAAAAAAAAAAAGGAGTGGGATTCTCATAAAAATAACCACATTTCTGTAAATTCTGGTACAACGTGGACGAACCCTGAAAGCATTCTGAACATTTGCTTGCACTTTTTTACATAGATATCTATTCATTTTTCTCAACTGTATCCTGTGAGGGAAATTGCTGGGGCAGTGGTAACGCTGTTTTTAACGTTTTGAGGAATGACCAGACTGTTTTCCAAGGGGTTGAACCATTCCGTATTCCCACTAGCAACCTATGAGGGTTCTGGTTTTCCACACTGTCACCAGCACTTGTGATCTGTGATTCTAGCCATCGTAGCAGGTGTGAAGTGGCGTCTCGTGGTTTTGACGTGCGCTTCCCTGTGGCCGATGTTAGCGGGCGTGAAGTGGCGTCTCGTGGTTTTGACGTGCACTTCCCTGTGGGTGATGTTAGCGGGTGTGAAGTGGCATCTCGTGGTTTTGACGTGCGCTTCCCTGTGGCTGATGTTAGCAGGTGTGAAGTGGCGTCTTGTGGTTTTGACGTGCGCTTCCCTGTGGGTGATGTTAGCGGGTGTGAAGTGGCATCTCGTGGTTTTGACATGCGCTTCCCTGTGGCTGATGTGGAGGCTCTTTTTCATGTGGTTGGTGACTGTTCATAGAAATAGATTTTTAGAGAAGTATCTCTTTAAGTCCTTTGCCCATTTTTAACGTTACTTGTCTTGGTATTACTGACTTGTAAGAGTTCTTTGTATGTTTCAGATACAAGTCCTTTACCGGACACGTGATTTGCAAATGTTCTCTCCCAGCCTGTACGCGGTCTGCCTACTTATTTGATGGTGTCCTTTGAGACACAAAAGCTTTACTTTTGATGAAGTCTACTTTCTCTATCGTTTTCTTTTGTTGATTGCACCTTTAGTGTCGTATCCAAGAAACGACTTCAGTGTTGTATCCAAGAAGAAGCTTGGGGCAGCGGTGGGTGGCATCTTAGCATCTAAAATGTTCTTTGCTTTTCATGTGACTTTCAGGTATCTCAGGAGATTACATTTCAGCTTGAAAAAGGGACGGTGGAATTTGAAAGAGGAGGAACAGTTAATTGAATTAATAGGAAAATACGGTGTTGGTAAGTTGTTGATAGTTTGTTCTTTTAGTTTCTTTTTTTTTGTTTTTTGTGTCTTAGAAAAGAGATCAAGATAAAGACAGAACAAGCTCTGTCGTCCAGGCTGGGGTGTGGTGGCGCGACTATAGCCCACTGCAGCCTCAAACTTTTGGGCTCAAGCCATCCTCCCGCCTCAGCCTCCGAAGTAGCTGGAACTGCAGGTGTGTGCCACCACACCCAATGAGCTGTGTTTTATAGCTAAGTCTTTGCTTATATTTGCAATGTCTCCTTAGAGTAAATCCTAGCTGTGCTATTGCCATGTTCAAGGACACACCAGATAGTACGGCTCTGCCCTGTGAGAGCAGCACCCGTGCTTCTCCCGCTGCCCCACACTGTGTGAAGAGCGTGAATCGTGGGAGATGGCTGGTGCAGAAGCCTTGGGGGGAGCAGATATGTGAAGGCTGTGTGTGTTTAGGGACGATTCTCCTTCTCAGTTACACTTTTGGCAGAACTTTCCTAAGGGGCTGAGCATCCAGTGAGAATCAGATGCTGCCAAATTGTCTGTGCCCGACATGCTTGACCCCGGGTTCTTGCCCAGCGTGAGGATGCACCGGAGGCCCCACTCTGATGGGGCCCACAGCAAGTCTCCTGGGGAACAGCCAGCCTGTCTTGGGGAAGAATCTTTGGATGAAGCCATTTCATGGGGTTTGGCTTTTGTAGGTCACTGGGCAAAAATAGCTTCTGAACTGCCCCATCGGTCCGGCTCCCAGTGTCTGAGCAAGTGGAAGATCATGATGGGGGTGAGCCATTCGCTCTTTCCTTGTCTGAAACCAGATCGCGGCCTGGTCGATGGGTCCAGCAGGCAGGAGGAGGGGAGGGAGGTGGAGGGCAGGGAGACAGGAGCGAGCAGGGGGGCAGGAGGAGGGGAGGGGTCGGGGGGCAAGTGGAGGGGGGGCCAGTAGGAGGGGAGGGGGGCAGGTGGAGGGAAGGGGGGCATTCGGTTTCTGGCCTTGGCATTTCTTCTGGGTGGCCAAGGGCAGAGGGAGACCTTGGCCTCGGCAGTGGCTGCCCTTGACCCCAGAGGCGCCCCACTTGGGCCTCTCCCCAGAGGGCTGGCCTGCTTGCTGCCTTCATGGGTGAACTGGGGTTGCCAAGGCCTCTAAGTAGCCCTTTCCTCCCCTCAGAAGAAGCAAGGTCTCCGGAGGCGGCGGCGGAGGGCCCGTCACAGCATCCGGTGGAGCTCCAGCAGCAGCAGCAGCAGCAGCAGTGGCAGTGGCGGCAGCGGAAGGGGCAGCAGCAGCAGCAGTGAGGAGGAGGAGCCAGAGCCAGAGCAAGCACAGACTGGGGAGGGTGACAGAGCGCTGCTGTCCCCACAGTATGTGGTCCCGGACATGGATCTGTGGGTTCCTGCCAGGCAGAGCACCAGCCAGCCATGGAGAGGAGGGGCAGGGGCCTGGCTGGGAGGCCACGCTGCCTCCCTCAGCCATCCCAAGGGATCCAGTGCCAGCCAAGGTGGCAGCAAGGAAGCTTCCGCCACAGCCGCGGCTCCTGGAGAGGAGACGAGTGCAGCGCAGGTCCCTGCCAGGGCCCACAGCCCTGTCCCGAGAGCTGCCCAGGCCTCCCACTCGGCAGACACTCAGCCGGTGGGCGCAGAGAAGCAGGCCCTCGAGGTAGGCCCTGGCCCCGGTGCGCCATGGGAATGAATTTTCGTCACTGCGCGCCAGGGCTGACGCTCGGGGATGGTGCAGCAGCAGGGGCCCCAGGGTTCGTGCGCATCAGAACGCGCTGCTTCTGGCTGAGCTCTGGAGAGCTGCGCGTGGTGGGGACTGTTGGGGAAGCCTCCATTTTTCCCAGTTCGTTGATTGTTTCAGGGATATGGCTGAATGGGCACTTGGACCTAGAGGCATCTCTGAAACGTTTCACCCCCAAGTCAGGGTTGGGGAGGGCAGAGGCAGCAGCGGGAGAAGCCCCTCCTCCCTCCCCGTGAGCCTGTGCACCTGGAGGCCCTCCCTGGGAAGGGCCTGTCCACCCACTTAGGACCAGCCTGGCTCATGGTGCGTCTGCCCGTCTTGGTTGGTCTTCACCATGTCAGGCCCTAGGTGCAGGCCCATCTCTGGCCGTGCCTGTGGGAGCAGTCAGAGTTGAACAGGTTCGTCTGTCCTGGGAGTTGTTGGCGGGGACAGTGGACACTGAAGCTACTGGCAGAGCCAAGTGCATGGCACTCGCTGCCACACAACCAGCATCTCCCTAGGCCGGGGCGTCACCTGGAAGGGCTGCTGCTGTCAGCCTGAGGAACTGACTGGGGGGCGTGGGACCCTGTTAGTGTCCCAGGAGCCAGGCCTTGCGGGGAGGCCCTGCCTGGGGACCCCACACTTCCCATGGTGGACGTTCCCATGAGGCAGAGCAGCTGTGCACAGCCACGCTTTGGAGCCTGCGTGAAGAGGCGGTTGCATGTGGGCGGTGAGGGGGAGGCCCCCATGTGCCCCACACACCCCACGTGCCCTGCCTCAGGCCAGTTTCTTATCAGGGAGGGAGGCTGACAGTGCCTATGGAGACCGTGCTGAGGGTGCTGAGGGCCAACACGGCTGCTCGGAGCCACACACAGGTGAGGCCTGCCGCAGACACCTGCACCCACGCCACCACGCACCCCGCCCTGGTCTGAGTGATTCCTCTCCCTGCCAGTCATGCCCTGACGGGTGGAGGGCAGCACTGGCCACCGGGCAGGGTCCACTCCAGGGGCCGAGCCTGGCCAGGGGCCCCAGGTGCCGCCTTCTCTTTACAGAAAGAGCAGCTGAGACAACTGCCCCTGCCCACCTCGTCCCCAGGGGTCAGCTCTGGTGACAGCGTGGCCCGGTCCCACGTGCAGTGGCTACGGCACAGAGCCACCCAGAGTGGGCAGCGGCGCTGGAGACACGCTCTACACCGGAGGCTCCTGAACCGCAGGCTGCTGCTGGCTGTGACCCCTTGGGTGGGGGACGTTGTCCTGCCCTGCACACAGGTGCCCCAGAGACCCGCCGCAGTGCAGACTCAAGGTATGGCCTAGGGCTCCTCTGGGGGCTGGGGTGAGGGTGAAGAGTACATCCAGCCTAGCAGACGGTGGTCACTTGGGGAAGTGGCCTCGGCAGGGGAGTCTTTTTGGGAGGGCCCCACCTCTGGTCAGCTTCCCATCCCTGAAGGTTTTCAAAACACCCAGTCAGAGCCAGCCCTCCCTTCCTGCCCCACCACTCTTCCTGGGCCAAGCACATGGCAGCTGGGCTAACATTGTTTTGTGTGGTGACAGGGCTCAGAGGGCCCACCCTTGTCCAGCCGTGGCTGTGGGGTGCTGGTTCCAAGGCTTCCCTCCCACGCTGGCCTGGCTCCCAGTCTTGAGGGCTCCCAGAGCCTCCTCGAAAGGCCCGTGGGAGCTGGAGCTGCTTTCTACCTGTCCCCCTGTACCCGTGGGCGCCGGGACCATTTCCACTTCTCCCCCTGTGCCCACAGCGGATGGCCTCAGGGAGCAGCTGCAGCAGGCCCGCCTGGCCAGCACCCCTGTGTTCACCCTGTTTACCCAGGTAAGCTACCTGGGCAGAGCTTCGTTTTCCTTGGCCTTGTAAAAAGTTCTTGGTGAAGTTTTGAAATCTGCAGTAGATTCATTCCTTAAAGTCTAGTTATCTAAAGTTTTCTAGTCTTGAAAATGCACTTTCCATGCCTTACACTGTTAGCAAGTGAATGTGGAAGGGGGTGCCAGCTACAGCGTGCACTGTCCCCGACTAAACAGTGTCTGGGGAAGGGGGTGCCCGGGGCCCCAGTATGAGTGGAAGATGCCAGGGAAGGAGAGCAGGCCTGGGGCTCATGGGAGGCCCTCCTGGATGTCCACAGCCTCACTGCCTCCCTCGCGTCTGCATCAGACGGGAGGCTAGCACAGCCTCAGGGCTGCCCCGGGCTCTGCCTAGGCCTCTGGAGCTTCTGAGCTGCTACCGAAAGCAGCTGCGGTTAGGCCGCCTCCCGTGTCCCTCAGCTGTTCCAGATCGATACTGCCGGCTGCTTGGAGGTCGTCCGAGAGAGGAAGGCCCTGCCGCCCAGGCTGCCCCAGGCTGGCGCTCGGGACCCACCAGTGCATCTTCTGCAGGTAGCAGACGCTCGGGGTGAGAAATGAGGGTGACCCCTGCCTGCCCCACCTGCTCCGCCGTAACCCCTTGGGGAGGCATCTGTACTTCCCACCTGAGGGGACGCAGCCCTGAGAGGCCGGGGGAGGTCAGGCAGGTGCAGGTCGGGGCTGACACTGGGGCCCACGTGGCTGTGTTCCCCCATGGCCCTGCTGGGTGGTCATGAACATGGGCGGTCTGCTGGGGGTGCCTGGTTCTTGCCTTTCTGCTCCAGAAACCAAACTCACACAAGTTCAGCGAGGCCTCACCCCGAGCCCCGTCACGTGGGGGTGGGGTGGCAAAGCAGTGTCACTCACTGGAGGAGCAGGGACAGCAGTGGGATACCCCTGGGCCTCCAGCTCCCAGCCCCCTGCCTTTCCTTGTGGACCCCACCCTGTCCCCAACCCCCCGGAAGAGCTCTCAAAGGCGCCCTTGGGAGGAGCTGCACTGAGGGGTGCACAAGGCCAGGCCTTTGCCTGCTGTTGCCACATGCTTGGCTGCTCCTGTGGCCCCGGAGTTCCTGCAGAGGAGTGTGGGAGGCCAGCAGCAGCCCTTGGGGCCTCGTCCCCATTTCAGGGAGTGGCAGGGGACAGCCCAAATGCTAGGAGAGGTGGTCCAGGCCCGCGAAGGACGTCTGAGCTGCTGACTCTCCTCTCCTTTTCCAGGCGCCCTCAAGTGCTCAGAGCACCCCAGGTAACCCTCTGCTTCTCTGCCCTGGTGGGGAAGAAGTCTCACCTGGCCCTGGCTTTCACCTGCAGCCCCCAAGCAGCACAGCCTGTGGCCCCTGGTGACAGAGATCCCTCGAGTCCCAACACAGGGATGAGAGTCTGGCTGGGCCAGCTTGGAGCTCCTTGGGCCCCCCTTGCAGCCCTGAGGCTTCCTCAGCATGGGGCCCGGAGGCAGGGGTCGTCTCGAGCGAGGGTCCGCCCGTGCCCAACGCCAGCAGCATCAGACAAGGCCTGGGCTCCCAGCTGGTCTCAGCCAGCATAATTGGCTGGGCTTCCCAGAGTGCCCACTGCCCTGGTTTTGACCGGAGCGTTGGGGTCTGGGGTAGCTACTGTGACTCAGGAGACCCAGGACATGCCACTTGACCCCTTCTTGGCTCAAGACCCTAGACTCCTCATGGGATCCCTCCTGATGAGGGGATGGCAGCGAGGGTCTGTCCCTGGGCCAGATGCCTGGGGCTCATCAAGCATGGGTCTTTCCTCCCCACAGGCCACCTCTTCCCAAATGTGCCAGCTCAAGAAGCCTCAAAGAGTGCCAGCCACAAAGGGAGCCGAAGACTGGCGTCCAGCCAGGTGGAGGGCACCCTACCCCAGGCGTCCCCACTGGCTTCGACTGGCCCCCGGCCCAAGCCCAAGACTGTGTCAGAGCTGCTTCAGGAGAAGCGGCTTCAGGAGAAGCGGCTTCAGGAGGCCCGTGCCAGGGAGGCCGCCCGGGGCCCGGTGGTGCTCCCGTCCCACCTGCTGGTCTCCTCGCCTGTGATCCTCCAGCCCCCTCTACCGCACACCCCACACGGCCGCCCAGCCCTGGGTCCCACTGTCTCAAATGTTCCACTCTCGGGGCCTGGGACCCCCACAGCAGCCAAGCCTGGCACTTCAGGCTCCTGGCAGGAGGCTGGGCCTTCAGCCAAGGACAAGAGACTCTCCACCATGCAAGCCCTGCCCCTCGCTCCTGCCTTCACAGGGCCCGAGGGCACAGCCCCTGCTGCTTCTGGAGCCCCTGGCCTAGGCCCCAGCCAGGTCTCTGTGAGCTGCCCTGGGAGTGGTCTCGGACAGTCGCAGGCCCCCAGTGCATCCCGGAAGCAGAGCCTGCCTGAGGCATCACCCTTTCTCCCTGCAGCCCCCAGCCCCACCCCACTGCCTATCCAGCCCCTCAGCCTGACGCACGTAGGAGGTCCACGTGTGGCAGCCAGTGTCCCCCTGCCTGTCACCTGGGTGCTCACAGCCCAGGGGCTTCTCCCTGTTCCTGTGCCAGCTGTGGTGGGCCTTTCCAGTCCAGCAGGGACGCCTGGCCCCACAGGGCTGGTGGCCACTCTGCTGCCTCCCCTGACTGAAGCTCAGGTGGCCCAGGGCCCCGGGGCCCCAGCGTTGAGTAGCTCTTGGCAGCCCCCAGCCAATGTGAACTCAGGACCACAGCCTTCCTGCAGGACAGTCCCCCCAGCCCCTGCCACACACGCCGCCTCCCAAAGTCCTGCAGAAGTGGATGACAGTGTGGCTGTTGTCCCTGGAGAGGCCCAGGTGGCCAGGGAGATACCTGCACCCAGGACGTCCTCCCAGGCTGACCCCCATGAAGCAGAACCCCCCTTGCCCAGGAGGCTGCCACCCCTTGGTGGTGTCATTCCAGCAAGTGAGCCAGGGGGGACGCTGGGGTCCCCCTCAGAAACACAAGAGCCCAAGGGGCTGGACCTGGAGAAGCCATCCCTGCCCCAGCCTGGGCCTGAGAAGGGGGCCCTGGACCTGGGCCTGCTGTCCCAGGAGGGCGAGGCGGCCACACAGCAGTGGCTGGGAGGCCAGCGTGGGGTGCGGGTACGTCTTCTGGGAAGCAGACTGCCCTACCAGCCCCCGGCCCTGTGCAGCCTTCGAGCGCTGTCCAGCCTCCTGCTCCACAAGAAGGCCCTGGAGCACAAGGCCGCCTCCCTGGTGGCGGGGGGCGAGGCTGAGCGGCCAACTGGAGCGCTACAAGCCTCACTGGGGCTGGTGCGGGGGCAGCTCCGGGACAACCCAGCCTACCTCCTGTTGCGGGCGCGGTTCCTGGCGACCTTCACCCTCCCTGCGCTCCTGGCCACCCTGGCCCCCCACGGCATCCGCACCACCCTCTCAGCAGCCTCGATAGCAGGCTCCGAGAGTGACGATGAGGACCTCCTGAGCGAGCTGGAACTCGCAGACAGGGACGGGCAGCCGGGCTGCACGGCGGCCACATGCCACATTCAGGTAAGGGGCGTGCCCGGCCCCACTTCCCCACGGCAGGCGGCGGTCCCTGGGGCGCCCTTGCCTGCCTACGGCGGTGGGATGGGGGCCAGTAGAAGTTGTGGGCAGGAAGGCTGGCTGCTGGGTGTCTCAGGAGGAGGAAGCTGGCTCTTGGCCTGCCCAGTTGCGTGTAGATTCTGCAGAAGTGGCCTCCCTTTGGGGCAGTGTGGAAAAGAGAAGAGAGGCCTCATTCTCATGCAGGAGCCTCCGGCTGTCCTGGTGCTGCCCAGCCAGGTGGCCTTGTCAGTGAGAAGCTCTGGGGCAGATGCTCACCCAGCTCTGAGCAGGGTGGGCCATGGGCACAGTGGAGGGTAGTGGCTGTGTTTGTCCCTGGATTTCTGGGGTCCCAAAAGTCCCTCTCAGCTGTCACCTCTCTCAGTATCCTTGGGAAGTTTTCGAAGCTCTGTAGGCAAAACCATGTTCGGAACCCTGAAGCAGAAAGCACGTGGATGGGGCCCCCAGAGAGGCCTTCTCACCTGGTGCCAGGGTGCCCACTTGCAGCAGCCGGTGGCTGGCCTCCCTGAGAAACCACCAGAAGCAGGCAGCCTCAGCCTGAACCTGTGGGCCTGTCGTAGGGAATGTGGCAGGCCTTCCATCTCTCCCCAGGGTTGTGCTTCACAAGTCACTAGGCTGAAGTGAGGGAGGAAGCAATGCCTGAGAGTGGGCGGAGGACCCCGGCCAGCCAGGGGAAGAGGCCCCCCGTGCCACATCTGTGTACAGCCTCCTGCCCTGCCGGGGTGTGATGGCCGCCCCATGGGGGAGCAGGAGGCCTGCCACAGGGATGGCTTAGACAGGGTCAGAGCCCCTGAGGGAGGGAGAGCACAGTCATGTGTGGCCCCAGGAGTGCCTGGAGTAGCTCCTGCCCAAGCTGAGGGTGCCCGGTCCCAAGTGGTACACTCGCCCACAGGGCCCCTTCTCCCTGTCCCTTCCTCGCCCATCATGGCGCGGGGGATGGGGGTCACTCGGGTCCCCACTGCCTGGATTTTGTTTCAGGGACCCCCAGACTCTGGTAGATGCTCTGCCTCCTCCTGCCTGGATGCTTTTAATGACCTTGATGTTGACGACCTTGATGTGCTCAGAACCCGGCATGCCAGGCACACCCGGAAGCGGAGGCGGCTGGTGTGAGCAGCAGGTGAGTCCTGAGTGGGGAGGCCGCTGCCCCACGGCCCAGGGGACAGAGTGGTCCAGACAGGGGGTCTTGCCTCTGCTCGGCCTTCAGCGCCCACAGCAGCTGTGCTGGGTTAGGTGGGCAGGTCCGGGGTCCTGGAGGCCCTCCAGGGGGAGAAGCATTTAACCTACATCCTTCCTGCTGGCCACCCGCGCCTCGGGCCTCGGCACCCCTGCGCCCCTCACCACAGGTTCGTTCCCTACCTTTGTTGGGGTCTGGGCTCCTCCCTGGCCGCTGTGCTCTGGTGGTGCCCGGTTCCCGTGCATCGCTCCGTCATCTCCCCACCATCACCAACCACAGCCCACCGGGCTGACTTCACTGCTGGGGCCCTGGTGCCCAGACAGCAGGTGGCCTGGCCCTTGGCACATGTGGGTCAGGTTCACCAAGCAGACCAGGAGTGACTGGCGCTGGGGTGGCCTTGGTTTCTGTCTGTCTGTCCTAGCACTGCCTGGGGTCTGGCTGGGGTCGAGGGCACCCCACCATCTGGGTGTTCTGTGTTCCAGGACAAGCACGCCTCAGAAGCCCGTGGCCCTGCTGACGAGAAACAGCCCACACCCAGCCTGCGAGAGAGGCAGCCAGAGGCCAGGCATCTGCTGGTCACCCACCGACCAGGTCCGCAGTGAACAGAGGCAGGCCTGCCAACTGACCGTGTGGCACGGGGCACAGCTGTTCCCCAAGTGTACACCTGAACACTTGGAGGAGTAAAGTTCTGTTTTTAATTGTGGAGCCGGACACAGGCTGTTGTGGTTTTATTGTCCTGAGATACTGGGCAGTGTACAGGGATCCCCCACCCGACTGGGGTCAGGCCACTGCCTGGTGGCTGAGCCACCCTAGTGCAGGCAGTTCAGGGACACGCAGGGTGCTGGGGGCCCAGCACTGGGGTCCTCGAGGCCTCCTGTACCCTGGCTGCCCTCCCAGCAGAGAAGCAGGTTTTTGCCCATTTCATGGAAAGCACCTGTGGCTTTGTTCTTCATGCTGAGCCGGCCCCCTCCCCAGATGGCTGCCAGCCCTCGCACCGCCCCAGCTGACCCAGGGGGTTCCCTGGAACAGGTGACCTGGCTGCCCAGACACGATGGCAGCCCCCACAGCTTTCACTGTTCCTTTTGCATGGGCCTTTCTTGGCATAAGACAGCCATCTTCTTCGTCTGTCCCCTCACTCCCTTTCCTTCGTCTCTGTGGCAGCAGCGCCCCCAGGCCCTTGGCTGTCTGGGCTTCACTCCCTCACTGGAACCACCATGGGGCCTCAGCCCTGGGCGCCTGGCAGACAGGACGGTCCCATGGCCGGCCGCGCTCCTGAGCATGTGTTGCTGTGCCTGGTTCTCTAGTAACTGGTGCCTAGTCTCCTGGTGGCCACTCTGACCTGTGGGTTATTTAGTGGTATATTATTTAATTTCCAAATATTTAGGGATTTTCCAGATATCTGTTACTGATTTTTAGCTTCCGATATGGTTAGAGAACATGGTATGTGTGTTAATTCCTAAGGACACACACCACAGGGAAATCACTGGGGTCCCTCGTTTTACAAGCTAGGGAAATACTGGGTCATGAGGGCCTGGCGCCAGCTCGGGCCCACTCCCCAGCAGGGCCCAGGACGGCATTCCTGCCTGCACACTCGCTCATGCTGCTAGTGAGGTGCCCAGCCTGGAGTGTGGCATTCCCGAGAGCCCCAGAGGACCCCTAACTCCACTCCTCAATGCGTGATGTCAGGCCTGAGGGCCGGGGGCTGGGAACAGTTAGGCGAGCTCCGCACCAGCTTCCTGGCCTTCCAGCCTGGCGGCCCCTTCTCGAAGCTGTTGGGTGGCAACTCGGCTCAACCAGCTTTACCGGGTGAGGCGGGGCCTGGGGGCTCCCAAGCCTGCGGTTATGAGGCTCCAGCAGCCCACACGCTGAAGTGCACAGTTCAGGGCAGATTCTGCTGCCCATTGTCCGTGGATGGGGGGCAAGCTGTGCCCTGCCGTCACTGGTGCTTCTGAAGCTGGTTTGGGGGACCCTGGGAGTGGCCTCAGTCCTCACGTGCATCCTGGAGAAGAGCAGAGATGCCTCGTGACGAGGATAATGATATCGAGCGACACTTCTGAAAGGGACGCTTCTCCCCTATGTGCAGCTGGGTGGTGGCCGGTGCCATGGCCCCTGGCAGGCTGCAGTGGCCTCCTGGGTTCCATAAGGTGGGCTGCAGCCCTTTCGTGACCAAGGCGTGTGCTGGCCATGCTGTGTGGCTGTGTGCCCCCCTGCACATGCCCTGCCCCGCTGTCCCGAGATGCTGGCAAGGGCAAGGGTGTCCACACAGGACAAAGCATGCCCTCCTGAAGAAGCCTCCAGAAACCTATGACCAGGTCAAAGCGGCTGGGTGTGGTCTGGCCTCATCCAGCCTCCTGAGGGTCTCTGCTGTCTCTTCTACTTGCCAGGTGCCCGGGCTGGGCCTCTGGGGCATTCTCAGGACCCCCGGCCCCCGGCCAGGCTGGGAGGGCTGGGAGGTCTGAGAGCAGTTTTCCTCTGGAGGGCAGAGGACTTCCACTTCCGCCTGCCTCTCGGGGCCTCCTGGGCTGGGCGAATCAGAAGACAGGCCACCAGGGACTGTCCCCCTGTGGGAGGACTGGCGGGACTGTGGAGTTAAGCCATCAGGAAGTGCACAGGCGTCCGGCGCGCTCCTCCCTCCTTGCAGCCCTGGGCAGCATCTCCCCGAGGCTCCGCGTCCCAGGCTTCTGGTGCGTCTGCCGTGCAGGTGGTTCCTGGAAGACCCTCAGGTGGGTGGGTCTGGTACTTTTCTGGAAAGTGACCAAGAAGGTCGGCGCCGGCTTCGTTCAGGATCCTGGCGCTGATCCCCGCAGAGCAGCATGAGGCTTCCCACAGGCAGCCAGGCAGCCTCCGGGGTGCTGCCCCATCCCTTTCATGGCCACTGGGCAGAGACGTTCATTTCAGTGGCATTACGGTGGCAGGTGGGACCCTGCATTTCAGGCTGGGGAGGCAGGAAAGGGGCCCAGTGTTCCCAGGACTGTCCGCTGTGTGGCCGGTGTTTCTATTCAGCCCCTTGTCTGTCAAAACTGTCCTGAACGGGGTCACAAAGTACAGTGGGAAGTTGAGAAATTCTTCAAAAAACCAAGACCAAACACTTTAAAAGACCAAGTGTCTCCAGGAGTAGTGACCCAGCTCCTTTAGGCTGGAAACCAGCATTTCCCAGAGGGGCTGGAGGCTGAGGACCGGGGACCTGCGTGGGAGGCAGGACCATGTGGTGGTTCCCAACCTTGCCCCAGTCCCAGTCCCAGAGGGAGTGGCTTTCAGCGGCTGAGGCTTCCGCCGCGCTGGCAGAAAGGGACAGCAGTGCCTGGTCCCAACATGGGTAGTTCTCTTGTTTCAGCCAGTGGGATGGGGGTCGGGCCTCATCTGGGGCAGGAGGAGTCCAGAGATTCACTGGTGCGCAGCACCTAAGAACCTGGAGAAAGCAGCACTCCTGGCCAGCCAAGGGCAACAGCCCCTCCCAGGGTTGCGGGGCCACCGGGGAGTGACAGAGACACGCTCCTGTGGGCAGCTCTTCCCGGCCAGTGCAGCGACCCTGGCAGCTGTGGCAGGGCTAGGTGGCCACTCTTGCATCATCAACAGCCGGCCGTGGAGGAGGGAGGGAGGGCACAGCCCGGGATGTGAGCAGGCGTCGGTCAGGGGAATGAGGAAGTTCCACCAGAACCGGCTCCCCCAGCTGCTGCCCTAGTGGGAGGGTCATTGGCCAACCTGCTCTCACCCAGCTTGGGCTGGCCGTAGTGCCAGGCAGGTGCCCACAGCTCCTCCACCCATGGAGGTGGCTGCCCTTGTAGGCTCCAGGGCGCGGTGGGAGTGTCCAGGAGGCAGAAGCCAGAGGCGGGTCATGCTGTGGAAGCAGTTCCTCTCTCAGACCCCATCTGTGTCTCCCCCGCTGCATATTTGGGTGACACGGATGGCCAAGGGGCAGGAGCAGGGGCTGGGAAAGGCTGTGGAGGGGCCCTCGGCTGCTCTGGTGGGGAGCGGGTCACTGTGTCTCTGCCGCCTCCCTGGGGGATCCAGCGTGGGGATGGGACATGGAGCTGGGCACCTCTCCTGGATGCCCCTGGGCTGACCCCCTCGACAGCCCTGATGAGAGCCCTGGCCCAGCGTCTGAGAAGGAGCGGGAGCCGGGCCTGGGTAGGGGCAGGAGCCGGCGTCACTCTCAGCGGCTGCCCCACACCCCCCAGCCTGCCTGCGAGGCCATGTCGGACTATGAGAACGACGACGAGTGCTGGAGCGTCCTGGAGGGCTTCCGGGTGATGCTCACCTCGGTCATCGACCCCTCGCGCATCACGCCCTACCTGCGGCAGTGCAAGGTCCTGAACCCCGATGATGAGGAGCAGGTGCTCAGTGACCCCAACTTGGTCATCCGCAAACGGAAAGTGGGTCAGTGCTGCCCCGCAGGCCCCAGGCCCCAAACCCAACCAAGGAGCCCGCTTGGAGGTGGCTGCACGCTCTGCCACCCTGACCCTTGACCCCGGGAGAGCCCTGCCTGGCTTTGCCCCTGGCCTCCCAGTGAGGCCCAACCTCAACCCTGGCACATGGCCACCCTGTCCCCCAGCCTCTCCTGCCAGCTCGGTGCTGCCAAGAGGGGCAGTGGGGCTCACACCACAGCGGGGGCTCCTGAGACAGCCAAGGGACGGGTGGGCAGCACTTTGTCCCCAGTCTAGTACGAAGATCCACAGGGTGCCTCACCCAGGACCCAGACCACAGCACACCTCATCTGCATCCCAGCCTCCACCTGTCCCTGCCCCCAGGCCCACCCACCCCAGCCCTCTGCCTCGCCTGTGCCCCGCCCCCAGTTAGGCCCCTCTGGCCCGCAGGTGTGCTCCTGGACATCCTGCAGCGGACCGGCCACAAGGGCTACGTGGCCTTCCTCGAGAGCCTGGAGCTCTACTACCCACAGCTGTACAAGAAGGTCACGGGCAAGGAGCCGGCCCGTGTCTTCTCCATGATCATTGGTGAGTGACGGGGAAGGCGGTGGTGGGGGCGGGCAGTGGTGCTGGGTCCTCTGCCAGGCCCCCATCCCTAGGAGCCCTGAGCTCCTGCCACAGCGCAAGGCGTGATAGAGCTGGGCCACCGGAGAACACAGGCACCGTCTAACGCTGGCGCGGCCCACAGACGCGTCCGGGGAGTCAGGCCTGACTCAGCTGCTGATGACCGAGGTCATGAAGCTGCAGAAAAAGGTGCAGGACCTGACCGCGCTGCTGAGCTCCAAGGATGACTTCATCAAGGAGCTGCGGGTGAAGGACAGCCTGCTGCGGAAGCACCAGGAGCGGGTGCAGAGGCTCAAGGAGGAGTGCGAGGCCGGCAGCCGTGAGCTCAAGCGCTGCAAGGAGGAGAACTACGACCTGGCCATGCGCCTGGCGCGCCACAGCGAGGAGAAGGGCGCCGCGCTCATGCGGAACCGTGACCTGCAGCTGGAGGTGCGCCCACTGCCCCCGGGGAACCAGGCCCCCCTTGCCTAGTCTGGCGGGGTCTGCAGGCTGGGGCGGTCAGGGGTGGCTCCGCGGGTCTGTTGTCACCGCCTGGAGGGGATAGCCGGGCTCACCGGACCTTCCGCAGATTGACCGGCTCAAGCACAGCCTCATGAAGGCCGAGGACGACTGCAAGGTGGAGCGCAAGCACACGCTGAAGCTGAGGCATGCCATGGAGCAGAGGCCCAGCCAGGAGCTGCTGTGGGAGCTGCAGCAGGAGAAGGCCCTGCTCCAGGCCCGGGTGCAGGAGCTGGAGGCCTCCGTCCAGGTGGGGCCGCAGGCAGGGCGGGTGCAGCCCGGGCAGGACAGCCAGGGCCTTCCCAGCCAAGCCATTGCCTTTTGCCCCCTTCAGGAGGGGAAGCTGGACAGGAGTAGCCCCTACATCCAGGTACTGGAGGAGGACTGGCGGCAGGCGCTGCGGGACCACCAGGAGCAGGCCAACACCATCTTCTCCCTGCGCAAGGACCTCCGCCAGGGCGAGGCCCGACGCCTCCGGGTAGGAGGGCAGGCAGGGCGATGCGGCTCCTGAGGCCAAGCCACGCTGGGTGGGCTGAGCTCCGCCCACTCTGTGCCTAGAAGGTGGGGCCTGGGGACTCCTATGGCCTCCCCCCACAGCCCAACTGGCCTGACCACATGCTCCTGAGCCCCTGCCCCGAGTACACCCCAAGGGCCAGAATGGGGGGCCTCAGGCCTGTGGGGGCTGAGCTGCCGCCCCTTGCAGTGCATGGAGGAGAAGGAGATGTTCGAGCTGCAGTGCCTGGCCCTGCGTAAAGACTCCAAGATGTACAAGGACCGCATTGAGGCCATCCTGCTGCAGATGGAGGAGGTTGCCATTGAACGGGACCAGGTGGGCACCTCACGGGGCGGGCAAAGCACCCCACTCACGGGTGGGTGCACAGGGCCACACCCCTTGAGGGCAGTTGTCACGGAGTTTTTAATCTTTCTTGTTTTTGAGATGGGGTCTTGCCGTGTCACCCAGGGTGGCCTCAAACTACTGGCCTCAAGCAGTCCTCCGGCCCCAGCCTCCCAGAGCGCTGGAGTTGCAGGCTAAGCTGCCACACCTGGCCTGTTTTTTAAATGACAGAAGTAATATTTAACATTAAAAAAAAGTAAACAATGATGAAGTCAATACTTCCCCACCCCAGCCTGCTCTCAGGGAAAACCGTGTTCAACCTTCCGGCTCCACCTTACAGACTTTTACCTGTCATCCATCTATCCATCCATCCATCTATCTATCATCTATCTATTTATCTATTAATCATCTATCATCTATCTATCAATCTATCTATCATCCATCTATCATTTTACCTGTCATCCATCTATCCATCCATCCATCTATCATCTATCTATTTATCTATTAATCATCTATCATCTATCAATCTATCATCCATCTATCAATCATCTATCAATCAATCATCTATCATGCCATCCATGTATCATCTATCTATTATCTATCACCTATCTATATATCTTTTTGATTTTATTTTACAAAAATGAAAACATTCTGTTTTGTTTTACCAGTAGCTTTTTTTAATCTTGAAAAAAAACTTGGCTGGACACAGTGGCTCTTGCCTGTAATCCTAGCACTTCGGGAGGCTGAGGCGGGCAGATCACTTGAGCCCAGGAGTTCCAGAGCAGCCTGGGCAACATGGTGAGATCCCAACTCCATAAAAAATACAAAAATTGGCCGGGCATGGTGGCTCATGCCTGTAATCCCAGCACTCTAGAAGGGCAAGGCAGGTGGAACACTTGAGGTCACGAGCTCAAGACCAGCCTGACCAGTATGGTGAAACCCCGTCTCTACTAAGAATATAAAAATTAGCTGGGTGTAGCGGCGGGCATCTGTAGTCCCAGCTACTCAGGAGGCTGAGGCAGGAGAATCACTTGAACCCAGGAGGCAGAGGTTGCAGTGAGCTGAGATCACACTGCTGCACTCCAGCCTGGGTGACAGAGCAAGACTCCAACTCAAAAAAAAAAAAAAAAAATTGGCGTGGTGGTGAATCCCTGGGGCCCCACCTATTTTTTTTTTTTTTTTTTTTTTTTTTTTTGAGACGGAGACTCGCTCTGTCGCCCAGGCTGGAGTGCAGTGGCGCGATCTCGGCTCACTGCAAGCTCCGCCTCCCGGGTTCACGCCATTCTCCTGCCTCAGCCTCCCGAGTAGCTGGGACTACAGGCGCCCGCCACTGCGCCCGGCTAATTTTTTCTATTTTTAGTAGAGACGGGGTTTCACCGTGTTACCCAGGATGGTCTTGATCTCCTGACCTTGTGATCCGCCCGCCTCGGCCTCCCAAAGTGCTGGGATTACAGGCGTGAGCCACCGCGCCCGGCCTGTGGTCCCAGCTATTTAGGAGGCTGAGGCTGCAGCAAGTCACCATTGCGCTACTGCACTCTAGCCTGGGCCACCGGAGTGAGGCCTGCAAGGCCTCGAGTGCTACATGCTGTGAGCTGGATGGAGCGTCACGGGGCAGGGCTGTGTCTGCTTCCTATGCCCCGTCCTGAGTCCCATCCTGGAGGTTGTCTCCAATGGACACCACTGCTTCTTCGGCAAAAGTCTGGATGGCAGTTTGTCCACATCGGGAGCCTTAAAACGAGACCCCTGGGGCCATAAAGCAAGCCCTGGCCACCATGAGAGCAGCACAGGCTCAGAGCTCCTGTCGCGGCCCCACCACAGCCTCACTCGTGCCTGGCCCACCCCAAGATGGGGAAAAAAGGGCAGATCCAGTCATGCCCCCATGGGGGTTGGTGTGGCTCCCAGGGCGAGGGCTCCCACCGGGCTGTGCGGGAGCACGTTGGCCAGGGATTAGGGAAGCTGCCAGCCGTTGCTCCAGTCCAGGCGGCAGGGGTTAGGTGAGGGCCTCCCAGCCTCGTCTGCAGGGGTGGTCAGGCCGTCTGTTTTCACGTTCGCTCCTGTACCTACCTCAGCATCCGCAGTGGGGATGGGGTGGTAAAGAGTGCTGCGCTCATGAAGGAGTTTTAGCCATGGACAGTCAGGGTCTCCATATCAAGCCGCATCCAAAATTTATCAAATGTGCACGTGTGTATGGCGGGGAGAGGGCAGTGCACAGCACATGCTGTGTCCACCGGGGATGCAGGCTTGGGAGGAGACAGAAGGGCAGCAGGGACAACTGTCACCTTTACAATCCCTCAGATGCTGACTTCATGTTCACAGAGCACAAAGGGAGGGGCTGTGGCCAGCCTCCACACCCAGCGGCTTGACGTCCTCCGGGGCCTCTGCTCGGAGCTGGGCGGCCAGGCCGAGGGCCCAGGGCGAGCTTGGGGGCCTCACTGAGGGTCGGCCTTGCACTGTCCCGTCAGGCCATCGCCACACGGGAGGAGCTGCACCTGCAGCACGCCCGGGGCCTGCAGGAGAAGGACGCGCTGCGCAAGCAGGTGCGGGAGCTGGGTGAGAAGGCGGATGAGCTGCAGCTGCAGGTGTTCCAGCGTGAGGCGCAGCTACTGGCCATGGAGGGCAGGCTCAGGCGGCAGCAGCTGGAGACGCTCGTGCTGGTGGGTCTGGGGCCTGGGGCAGGGAGGGGAGCCGGCGGGTGGGACTCAGGGCCGGGGGAACATGGGTCTTCCCAACCCAACCCTCCTCTGTGACGCCCCCCACCTAACCGAACCCCTCCTCGCAGTGGGGTGAGGGCACAGGAGCAGCTCAGGGCCCCAGCAGGAAATGGGGCTGCAGGGCCGGCGTGGGGGCTGGGCCTGGCCATCAGGCAGCCTAGCATATTGTTCTGGGCATGGAGGGGGCCTGGCGTGGCTAAGGGCATGCCCAGGGCTCCCTGGAGGATCCCGCTCTGTGCCCTGCCCACCCTGTGCCTGGGGAGCCCTCTGCCCCCACAGCCCACCCACCCCATTTTCTACGACCACAGAGCTCCGACCTGGAGGATGGCTCACCCAGGAGCTCCCAGGAGGTGAGTGAGACCCCAGCCGGCACGAGGCTGGCCTTCCTTCACCTGGGGTCCTGGCTGAGCCGCCACCAGGCACAGCCTCACACTGCCCGTCACGTGGCCCTGCTCAGTGGGCTGGGCTCGGTGGAGGAAGAGCAGGTGGCCAAATGCTAAGGCCTCCGAAGGCTCAAGGGGTAAGGCAAGGCATGGACAGTGCCCAGCTCCTGCATCCTCATGGCGGGACCTTCCTGGCTGGGCTCCCCCACGTCTGTCTGCTGAGCACCTGAGTCTCTGAGAAGCTCTGTGCACGGGGTGATGCCAACGGCCGCACCCAGCTGAGGGCCAAGGGCTGGGGTGGGCAGTGTGGCCGGGTCCAGTCCTTGGCGGAGTGACCTAACGGGACATCTCGCCTCTCTTCGGAAGCTCTCGCTCCCCCAGGACCTGGAGGACACCCAGCTCTCAAACAAAGGTGAGGTGGGGACGACAGTGCACCCGGAGGCCTCCCGGCTGCCCCAAGCGAGGCCCGTCTTCAGCACAGGCAGCCCGTGCCGCAGTGCCTGTCTCAGCCCCCACAACCCCACCCCACAGACGGAAACTAGGGCTGGGGATAAGTAAAATGGCCAAGGTCACCCAGAGAACAAACTACAGAGCCCAGTGGAATCCAGGCCCAGCTGGTGGGATAAGTGTCCCTGGGGTGGAGAGCGTGGGGCCCCTCTGGCAGCCCCCCGGGGTGCAGTGGTGAGCAGGCCCACTGTCCCAGCTGCTCCAAGCTTCCTCCTGGGCAGAGGGAGGTGGTAATGAGCAAATGCCCAAGGGCACAAAGCTAGAAAGTGGGGTGAGACGGGGCCCCATGTGGCTTGAGGGACAGGGCCGAATGCAGGGGTGGCCAAGGGCCTGCTGTGTCCCGGTGCAGTGGGGGTAAGGCAGTGGTGGGGGCTTCTAGCGGGCAGGGCAGGCCCCCTGTGCCTCTCTGGGGGAAGAACTGGGGTGGCTGGCTGGGAGCAGCCCCCGAGTGCCCAGGAGCGGGTATCGGTGATGGGGTAGGTGTTTGCTCTGAAGGTGGTGTCAGGTGGGAGTCGGGGAGGGCCCAGCAGAGGGGCCCTGGGAGGCTGCATGGGAGTTGGACGAGCTTCCCAAGCACCAGGCTGTGGCCTCCAAGCAGAGGCGGAAGGGGAAGGAGGAGCTGCAGATGGGGAAGTGAAGACCAGCACCTTTGGCCGCAGCCCAGACCACTTGAACTTGGGGACGCCAAGCCCCCATGTAGGCACAGAGGCGAGCAGACCCAGGAGTCCAGCTCAGGCACTGCCCCCATCTCCCTGGGTGGCCGTGGCAGGAGTGGGGGCAGGCACGAAGGTCCGAGGGTGAGCAGGGGAGGGGCTGGCTCTAAGGAGGGGCTGCCAATGGCCAGGACAGCCCCAGCCTGGCCCTCCCCACAGCGGGGCTGAGACTAGACATGCATGGTTTCTGTCCAAGGGTCCTGACCCCTGGTCTGCCCAGGTCCTGGTGGGTTCTGATGGGGTCTAACCACCTGAAGGTTCTCTCCCAATTGTGCAGTACCCCTGCCCCCACCTCAGGAGGACGCAGACAGCCACTGTAGCTGTTCCCAACTCTCTCCCCAGGGCCGCCATGCCCACAGATGCTTTGGAGTGATGGAGGACAGTGCTGCTCAGGCCAGGGTTTAAGCTCCCCTGAGGTCTGGGAGGCCTTCCTGCCTGGGGGGGCAGCCAGGTTGGGGGAGGGATGGTCATTGGCAAGAGCGCTGGGCCTGGGCTGGCATCTGGCAGCATCCTGGAGCAATGAATGGGCAAGCGAGGCCATAAGGCCTCAGTCTCATCTACAGAAGGCAGAGTCTACACTGGACCCATGTGGGGACCCCACCAGGCCCACAAGGTGTCCGCAATGCCGGGGAGGGGTAGGGCACCCTTGCTGTATGTGGCCCTGCAGGTGGGCAGGCCCCACAGGCACGACTCTCCTTTCCAGGATGCCTGGCCGGTGCGGGGAGCCTGGAACAGCCCTTTGCAGCTCTGCACCAGGAACAGCTTTCGCGGACCCCTCATGTAAGGCTTCCTCAGGGTGGGGTCCCCCCAGCTGTGAGCCTCAGGGTGACCGATCACAGGGAGGGTGGCTCCTTGCCCTAGGCACCCCCTGCAGTGGCCCCGACAACGGCTGAGGGGTGACCACAGGGTCTCTGCCCTCAGTGCTTGGGGTGCAGTGTCTGGGACACGAAGTGGATCCCCCTCCTTTCTTGGGTACTGCAGCAGCTTCGGGGGGCTTGGAGGTGGATGTGCCTGGTCCTGGTTTCTTTGGGGCCTTTACAGTGGATGCGGCGTCAACCCTGAGTAGGTGAACACAGGAGTCCTGAGGGCAAGGACTACCTCGGGCTTTGTTGTAGAAACAATGGCCAGGAGCCCAGGCCGGAGCGTGGCTTGGCCTCCTGCGTGTGTCTTGGCATCTGAAATGCAGGCTACCCACACCAGCTCACTCCCCGGGTACAGGCAGGTCCCAAGCGTGGCGAGCTTGGCGCTGAGCTGAGGCTGTCTGACCTCCTCGCCTCCCCACCAGTCTGCAGTTACCCGGGCCAGTGGGGGTGCGAGAGAGAAGGGAGGGTGCCCTCAGGGGAGCCGTCCGGAGCCCAAGCCTTTCCCCTTCTCCAGGACGCAGGCCTGAGCAGCGGGGAGCCGCCTGAGAAGGAGCGGCGGCGCCTCAAGGAGAGTTTCGAGAACTACCGCAGGTAGGCGGGCGGCCCCCAGGCTTCTCCAAAACGGGCTGGGGAGCTGCAGCCGGGTCTGCGCCTGAGACACGTGTCTTCGCAGGAAGCGCGCCCTCAGGAAGATGCAGAAAGGCTGGCGGCAGGGGGAGGCGGACCAGGAGACCACTGGCAGCGACAACACGGACACTGAGGGCTCCTAGCCGCGGCAGCGCAGGCCCCGTCCAGGGCACACCCACCGGCCCGGCCTCCCGCCACCTGGGGGTGCCGACGCCCTGGGGCGCAGACTTCCCAGAGCCGTCGCTGGCTTAGCCTGGAACGAGGAATCTGGTGCCCTGAAAGGCCCAGCCGGGCAGCCTGGCGTTGGGGCTATTTGTTAAGCGGTACTCAGGTTGAGGAGGCCATGCGGGTGCTCGCCACCCCCATGCACACGCCATCTGTGTAACTTCAGGGTCTGTTCTATTTCACCATGTAACACACAATACATGCATGCATTGTAGAAGTGTGAGAAAACACGGCAGCTTAAATAAACAAACAGCACGGGTGACCCGCATTCCCGCTCGGACACTCGCGCGCAGCCCCGCGGCCGTCCCTCCTCGCTGCGGGGCCTCGGTGTCCTCGGGCTGCGAGCTGCACGTGGACGCCGGGCCCCATCAGGCCGCCAGGGGGCCGCAGAGCGCAGCGCGACCCCAACCCGGAGGACGGAAGCCCAGGAAGGCCGCTTCCGCCTAGTGCCCACTTCCAAGATGGCGGCGGGGCGGGGCCGGGGCGGGGCTGACGGAGTCGGCGAGCGGGATGCTGCGGACGGCGCTGGGCGGCGCGCCGAGGCTGCTGAGCCGCGTGCAGCCCCGGGGGCCCTGCCTGAGGCGGCTGTGGGGCCTCGGGGCCCGTCCAGAGGTCGCGGGGAGGCGGCGCGCCTGGGCCTGGGGCTGGCGGCGCTCAAGCTCCGAGCCGGGGCCGGGGCCCGCGGCGGCTCTGGGGCGCGTGGAGGCTGCGCACTACCAGCTCGTCTACACCTGCAAGGTGGGCACGCAGAGGGACGGAATCGGGGACGGACCCGCACGTGGCGCTACACGGCCTGCGGGGAGAGGCGGCGCGCCAGGGCCTTCCTGCAGGGGGCGGGGTCAAGTCAGAGGAAGGGGTGGAGCCACAACTTGGGGCGAGGTGGGTGTAGGGCCTTCTGGGAAGGAGGGGAGGTGGACCATGAGGAGGAGTGGAGCCGTTCCTGGGGCGGGGCCTTCCCGGGAGAGGGCGCGGTTGGGGGGTGGTGGGTGGAGCTATTTCTCGGGGGCGGGGCCTTCCCTGGAGAGGGCGCGGTTAGGGGTGGGTGGAGCTATTCCTCGGGGGCGGGTCTTCCCGGGAGGGGCGTGGCGGCGCTCACAGCCTCACCAGCTGCCCTGTCCCAGACAGGTCTGCGGGACTAGGTCCTCCAAGCGCATCTCCAAGCTGGCCTATCACCAAGGCGTGGTCATTGTGACCTGCCCTGGCTGCCAGAACCACCACATCATCGCGGACAACCTGGGTTGGTTCTCGGACCTGAATGGGAAGAGGTGAGGCCTGTACCCCAGGGCTGGGCCAGGAGTCCACCCAGAAGGTCCCTGGCCTCCCTGGGGGAACCGTGCCCTAGTGTGGAGGTCTATAGATCTCACCTGGGCAATCCAGGCACCTTATCAATACAAGATACACAGTTAAATTAGAATTTCCTATAAATCCCAGATAGCTGTTTAGTTTAAGTATGCCTGAAGTAGGGGTTGCGTTTTCATTTGCTAAATCTTGCCAGCCCTGTGGCCCTGCCTCCCTGCCTTTGCCTGCCCTCTGCCCTCACTGCCAGTCTTGTCTCTCTGGCGTGGTACTTTTTTGCCCTCTGCCGTCTCGGAGCGGCTGGCCCACAGCAAAGTGTGGAGTGTGGGCCAGGCGGTGTGGCCTGGGCCCTGGCTGCTGGGAGAGCAGTGGAGGTGGTGTTGGGAGCCTGGTCCGGGCCTTGCCTGGCCGGGAGGTCCTGGGCAGGACGGTAACAGTGACAGCAGGTCTGAGACCAGCATGCTGGGCACTTGGTGGTACCTGGCCCTTGGAGCTGGGGCTGTCCTCCCATCAGACCTGGGGCTGCAGACTCTTCCCTCTGGCGCATAGGGGGCAGGAGCAGGACTGGGTTCCTGAGGTGGCACATACTGGCAGAGACACAGGGTTGGTGAGGGCACACAGGCCAACATCTGAAGTGCCCATGTGGCCTGATGCCACAGGAGTGCTGGTCCTGGTGCTTGTAGCTCTGGCCTGGCCAGGGGGCACCCTGAGGGGACTGAAGTGCAGGGCGAGCGGGGGCCCCCGAAGAACCATGTTGCCTCCCTGCCTCCCAGAAATATCGAAGAGATCCTGGCGGCCAGAGGTGAGCAGGTGCACCGTGTGGTGGGCGAGGGGGCCCTGGAGTTCGTTCTAGAGGCTGCAGGGACCCCCACATCCACTGCTGCTCCAGAAGCAGGTGAGGATGAGGGTCCCCCCGGGCCTGGCAAGACGGAGCCGAGCTGACCCCTGCGCTCCCCAGCACCGTGGGACTTCTGCCTTCCAGAAGGATGTTTTGGCCCTGGGCCTCTCTGGACATGGCCTATTTTCTATCAATAAACAGACATTACTTCCGGATGCTGGGGCCTGTGGCCCTGGTGGCATTTGTTTTTCTGGAGTTAAAATGACTGCTCTGAATCCCTGGTGCTGCTGGGTGGACACTGGAGCCACAGGACCTCTCAACTCACCAGTTCCTCCTACACGGAGTCGCCTTGGACTTGCACACAGGGGCCACAGTCACCTGGAAAGGGGGCTGGATGTGGAGTCAGAGCCCCTCCTATTTGTCACTGTGTGACTTTGAGCAGGTCACCACCCCTGTGAGCCTCGGCCTTCCTCTGCAAGCCCCTTGCCATCCCCCTGGCCAGCTCTGGCGGCCTCCCTTCTGTGAGCCAGTGCAGACCTGAGCCCTGGCCCTCGGCTGCTGGCTGTCAGTGAAACTGAGCAAAGTGGGCTGCTTGCTGGCCCAGGCAGGACGAGCAGCTATGGCGTGGCCACGTGTCGGGAGCTCCAGGCCCCTCCCGGGGGAGCCATCTGGGCCTCCTCCCCTTGGTGGACAGCACTCTGGATGCCTCAGGGCCCTCCGAGGCACGTGGGGTTTGTCTCCCAGCCTTGTTTGTGCACAGGATGTTCCTGTGTTTATGAAAGCGAGCAAACACAGGAGCCTGTTTATTTGCAGAAGCGTTCTGGGCAGTGTGACCTTCAGCATTAATCACCCACCACACTCTGGCAGGAAAGAGAATGGGGTGAGGTGGGAGGTGGAGGCAGAACTGAGCACGACAGGGACCCAGTGCAGCCCCTCCCAGCAGGACCCGGCTGGGACTGCCAGCTCACATCCGGCCCGTGGGAGGCCGGGACCTGGTGGCATTGTTCCCAGTGCACTTGCAGCGTGGGCTTTGACTCGATTACCCGTCCTCTCAGCCAACAACCCTCTATTATTCCCACTCAGAACCTTATGTGCCATTTGTGGAAACTGTCCTCCTCTCGCTGAGCCACCTGCACCCAGGCCTGCTTCTTCATGGAGGCACTGACTGGGGGTCTCTTGGGGGCCTGGAAGTGCAGGGGCCAGTGGGCTGGGCTTGGCTTGGGTGCCTCACTGCCTCCTGAGGGCCTGGACCAGCACGTGGGGAGGTCCAGGGAGCCGTCGGACCTGGAAGTGCAGGATTCGAGCGAGGAGAGCCGCTCGGGCCAATCCCTCCTCTTACAGTTGGGGAGATGGAGGCCAGTAGTTGGGATGCGGACGTTACCGTGTCTTTTTTCTCTGGTGCCAGCACCTCTGGGCCCAGGTTGGCTCTGGAGGGACACCTTTCCCAAGGCTGGCACATTCCTAGAGTAAAGAAGACCTATGGCCACCCCCGGTGTGCCAGACGCATCCCACCAGCTTTTGCCTGGGGTCCCCCTGGACCCTGTCTTCCTCCGCCCTTCCCTCCCCCCAGCCCCACTGCCACAGCCAGGTTTCTGCAAGGGGCTTTGCCATCCTGATCTCCCAGCACTCTGCCCCCCCTGCCTCCAGGACATCCCTGCCTCCTGGGGATGGCTGCTGGCCTGGGCATCCCTCACCACCGTGTGCCTCTCCAAGAGGACTCCTCAGCCGCACCTTCGGAGGCTGTCCCATGCGTCAGCCAGCGGCGAGGGGCACTGCTGCACCTCCCTGGCTGTGATCTGTCCTAGGCCCTGCACGGTTACTTGGACCCTGTGTGCATGTACCGCCACCCGTAAGCCGGCCGGGACCCCGGACCTGGAGTACACATTGATTCTGGTTCCGAAGGCCCCTTCTGAGGTGGAGGAGGCAACGGAGTCAACCAGCACAGAGGCTGTGGCTGCCGACATGGCCAGATGGGCTGTGGCGAGGGGCAGCCGGACTGCCCGGCACAGCTGTGTGTCCCGCGACAGGGACCCCGTGGGGGTGCTGCCCACCACAGGCAGTGCCCAGACAAGCCCCCAGACTGCCGATCTGCCCCCAGCTCCTATACTGTGGTTCAGTGTCCCCACCCCGAGCCCAGCCAGATCAGACTCCAGGAAAGGGCCTCCCCGCACTGGCTGCAGGGTGAATGGCAGCAGGCTGGGTCCTCACGGCGCCGTGGGGCTGACCTGGGGGTTGCTGCTTTGGGGGCTGGCCTCAGTCACTCGAGTGTCAGCTCAGAGCATGCTCTGTTTCCCTAGGGGCTGGCAGCGTGAGAAGGCAGCGGTGCAGGAGTCACTGGTGACAGCAGACAGCTACTTCACCCCTCTGTGCCCCAGCTCCCCTGTGGTTAAATGCAGTGGGAACTCCATCTTTCTGAGGTCTCAGAGGGCCCAGCCCGTGGGTATCTGTGGACACTCTGTACAGTGCAGCCTCTTACCTGGGTCAGGCCACCCCCGGGACTAAGGCCATACGGACCACACTCACTTGGCTGACTTTATTTTTCAGGAAAAAACAGAAAAACAAATGTACCTCTTGGGTTGGAAAGGACCCACTGACAACATGGCACACACATGTGAGCAATAAATACGCACATACATTCAAGTATGCAGGGGGGCGCTACGTCCTGGAGACCCTGTGTTCGGGCACCTGTCCCTGCCCTGGGGTGCGGCCCTGCCCCTCCAGAAGCAGCTCACCTCGCCGGGCCCAGGACTGCCTCTCCATCCCAGCCTGAGAGCGGGGCCTAGAGGCACCCTCCTAGATGGAACTGCCAGCCCTGGGGGCTGTGGGGCCATGGTGGGGCCCCCGGGAGATGCCACGGCTGGGTCTGGACAGGAGCAGGCAACCTCAGGCCCATCTCAGGCTCCAACAGGTACTGCCAGTCTCAGGATCCTGAACTCAGTGCCCTGTGGGCCCCCTCCCCATGGGGAGACAGAAGTGATGTCATCTCCCCCAGCTGGTGGGAGGAGGGGGGGTTCTCATATCGGGGGTTCTGCAGGGTTGAGCTGAGTGAAGCCTCCCCAGCTTCCACTGACCCCCCGCCTCGGGTGAGGGTCACAGAGCCTGGTGCTGTCTCCCGCCCTGACTGAGCACTGTGCCCGCTGCCAGCAAGCATCCCCAGGACCAGGCCCTGCCCTTTTTCCTGGCTTGAGGGTTTGGAGTGTTGAAGTTCATGCCCAGCCATTCCCTCTGCTTTACAGACAGGCCCAGCTCCCGTCAAGGCCCCTGCAGGGGGGAGGCACCTCAGAGCTGCCCCTGTGGCCTGGTCTGCCACGCCTGGTCTGGGGGGTCTTCTGTGATTGTAGACCTCCTCCGGCCCGGGCAAGGAGTGGGGAGATAGGCTTGGAGGGAGCCCTGCCCCGGGACGAAGCTGGAGGGGACGAAGCCTGCCACGTGGCTGTCCCAAGACCAGCTCTGGGGGGATAGAACGTGGCCCTGTCCTTGGTGGCCCCGGGAAGAGGCTCAGAGACACCTTTGGGGAGAGTAGGGGAGACAGCAGGTTTCACATTTGGCAGGGCAGGACAGAACGAGAAGGGTTTGGGGGAGAGGGTGCGGGAGTCTGACAGCACCGGGTCGGGGCCGACATGCCGAAGACCCCATCCGGCCTGCGGCGGGGCAGGAGGGAGGAAGTCCAGGGCCATGGGGGGCCAGCCCAGGATGGAAGAACGCCCTCCCACCGCGGGCAGCTCGGCCCGAGCCTGCTGCTCTGGGTCGGGGAGGCCATGGGGCTGCGTGCCCAGTGCCTGTCCTCAGCGATGGCCTCGGGAGGACGTGGCTGTGACTGTGAGCCCAGCGTCTAGGAGCGGGGGCAGGGCGGGCCTGGCAGTGGGCACAGGGCCTTAGCTTGCACCAGGCTGGCACTGCTGCTGGGGCTCGGGCGGGCCGCCTGTTCCCTGCTCCGGGCCCCCGGCGAGGTCCACCCGCTGCTCGTCCATGCGCTTGGCCTGCACCCTCTGGATGAGGCTGAAGAAGTCCTCGTCCGGCATGGTGGGGCCCCGGGGCAGCACGTCGGGCGGCGGACAGCGCTGGTCATCGATCCTGGAGGACTGAGTGGACACAGTGCGGTTGGCAGCCTCACCCTCCCCAGGTCCAGTGGTCCGGGTGCTGGTCAACAGGGGCGGCTCCGGAGGGCCGGCGTGCACTGCTCACAGATCCCCGTGTCTACCCAAGAAATTGGTTCTGGGGCCTGCCTCGCTCTGGGGTCTTGTGCTGGGAGCCCGGGCCCTGAGCGCAGTCTTCTGGTGGCCCCACCCCTCATCCCCCAGGAGCCCACGGCAGGCCCATCCAGGAAAAGCAGGTCCAATGATTCCCACTGGGCATGGGGGCGCCAGGCCCAGGAGACAGTGGCTAGGTTGGCGTTGGACGCCTGCTCCCCAGATCTGCTGATCCCCAGGGACGGGCATGCGTGGCCGTCCCTCTGCCAGGTCCTGGAAACTGGCACAGCCTGGGGCTGACCCTGGCAGGCCTGAGGTCTCAGCTTGCAGAGCCCGAACTGTGGCGCTCCCCAGGGCTCCCCCTTGGGTCAGGTGGCCGACCCTGTGGACCTCGCCTGCTCCAGCGTGCAGGCCAGGGAGCCAAGGGGGCATCTGGGCTTCTCTGAAGGGCCTGGAGCAGGAGGGACGGGAGCTGGCACAGGCATGCATGTGGACGGGGGACTCTGGGCCTCTTGGGTGGGGCTGGTTTGGAGGCGGCTGGTTGGATGCCTGGCCCCAGGCCGCGGTTTCTTCTCCGCTGTAGGGAGGACGGCAGACCTGGAAACTTGCTGGCTTGGTGCATGGTGGGCCAAGTAGCCTCCACCGCCAGCTTGTTCCCAAGTCTAGGGACCCTGAACCCCTTCCCAGCAGTGGCTGCACCCCACAGGGATGGTGAGACCCCCAGAGTTTGAGGTCCCAGTTGGGACAACTGTTGGCTCAGCAGTCCCCGCTCTGGCCACCCTACCTGGCTCACCCCCACATAGGTGAGGAGGGCATTCCTGGTGTGGCTGCCAGGCTGGAGCCCCAGCCTTGGCTCTGCCCTCTGGGGCTGGACCCTCCGCCCCTGCCATCCACTGTGTGGTCCCTGGATGGTCCCTGTTTTTGTCCCGCCAGCCGGCTGGCAGCCCTGGATCCCCCTGCCCTCCCCACTCTGGGGGTGCTATCTGGCCCGTGTTTTCCCTGCCGGGTGTGGAGGGCTGGTGGGGAATCCCTGAGGCCATGAGCTCCAGGACCTATGACACCCTAGCCCCCACCCTGAGCTCCTGCACAGCAAGGGGTTGGCACAGCTTGGGGGTGTCCTGGGGTTGCCTTCTGTGGGGGTCTCTGGTATCCCCAGCAGCCTGGGGTTCCCAGAAGTAGGGCTTCAGGCTCAGACACCCCTGGTCATCTGGTGACACTGGCTGAGTCCCCAAGGAGTCCCTCAAACATGACCTGAGACGGAGGAACCAGTGCCCACCTCACCCTCCAGGACACATAAGTTCCCTCCACACAAGTGGATAGCAAAGGGGCCATGAGCCATGCCTGCCCGGACCGCAGCCCACCTGGTACTTGATGAGCATGTTGAAGAAGTCGTCCCCTGGCTCCTGGGGCTCGCCATGGCCTCGGAGGTGCCCTGCGTTGCTGTGGGTGATCCGAAGCCCCGGCAGGCTGCCCACACTGGCCCGCTGGTCGTCCAGCCGGCGGCTCTGGGAGCTGGCGATGAGGTCGAAGAATTCCTCGGTCTGGGGCGAGGCCGTCATGGAGGGCTGGGCTGCGGAGGTGCAGAAGGCGAAGCCTGGGACCCAGTGTGGGGTCAGGCCCGAGGCTCAGGCTTCGGCCACAGTGAGCTCTGACCTCTGAGCCCAGCCCAGCCCACTGTGCTCCTGAGGCCAAGGCTCCCAGGGGAGTCTCCACTGACCAGCCTAGGCAGCTCTCGGCTGCTCCCTCTGCTGTGGCTCCCACGCCCACCTCTGGGGCTTCCAGGGGGTGACAGGAGGACAACGCCAGTCTCCCACGCCCTGCCCACCCCCCTCCCCGAGACCACCCGTGCGGCCTGAGTATGTTCCGGAGGGCAGACTGATGACACGCTTCCCGGGATGCCGCTCTGCAGGGGCTGTGGAGGGCGCCCTTGGTGACAGGGTACTCTGCAGCTGGTCTGCTGGTCTGTCCCCCGAAAGCTCCTCACTGGAAGCAGGACAGGAGCCCTGGTCCCGGCCCCTGCAGACAAGCCCAAGGGAGGGCCCGGCTGAGGGAGGCACTCACCGATCCTGTCCTCCAGGGTGGGGGCGGCCGTGGCCTCAGCAGCCCCAGCCTGGCCGTCATCCAGGGGACAGCGCTGGTCGTCCATGCGGCTGCTCTGGAACTTGGTCAGCAGGTCAAAGAAGCACTCCTCGTCTGAAGACGGGGCCCTTGGGATGCTCTGGGGAGGGAGTGGGGTCACTGCAGCCAAAGCTAGCCCCGCAGACCCTTGCACGAGACCGGGGGCTGCTTGCCCAGGCCACACACTTCTGAGACCCTGGCCAAGGTTGGGACCCTCACCTGCCCCCTGTCGGCTACCCCTCCCCCAGGACATGCCACCCACCCTCGGACCCCCGCCACCCCCCCCCCCGGACGTGCCACCCACCCTCGGCACCCGGCCACCCCTCCCCCAGGACGTGCCACCCCACCCTCGGCACCCGGCCACCCACTCCCCCCAGGGCGTGCCACCACCCTCGGCACCCGCTGCCCTCCCCAGGATGTGCCACCCACCCGCCAGCACCTGCCCGACTCCCCCAACTACTCCCCTCATGGCTGCCACACTCCCCCCAACTTCTCCCCTCCCATGGCTGCCACCCTGGTCCAGCCCTCTGTCCGTCACCTGCCCTGGGCCAGCCTCGCCAGCCTCGGCCTGGAACACTCCCCAGACATCCCGGGAAGCCTCCCGTGCCTCCTGTCCCTATGCCCACCACACCCTGTGTCAGCCCTGCGTCAGCCCTGCCACGAGCTCCCTGTGTCCATGCCCCACACAGCCCTCACCGGTGTCTGCTGTGTGAATGAACTCGAAGGAATGAACCCCGCCCTGGGCCTCAGTCCGCACACCCAAACAAGGGAGGCTGGAGGGCATGGTCTCCTGTGGCCCCCCCGAGGGGCCCAGCTGAAGCAGGTCTACCCCGTGACCCAGCTTCACAGGCCCTGGTCTGCCCCAGGGCTGATGGGTGGCTGTGATGGTTCCAAGCCCCGTCCACCTCCTGACTGGCGCTGGCACACCCCGCCTGGCCCCAGCCTGTCCATCTCACGGCTGGTGGCCTCTTCCAGGCCTGCACAGTGCTGGGCTCACAGCTGAACAAATTAACGCAACGTTGGCGGAGATGGCACCTCCTGGGTACCCGACGCTGCCTAGAATTCCCAATACCTGACTCCCACAGCCCAGGAGACAGGCAGCTGACAGACAACTGAATTCCCGACCCCTGATCCCCACAGCCCAGCTCCAGGGCTCCCGTCCTGCTTCCGGTTGTCTGCTGGAACCAGCCCAGGGCACAGGAGAGTGAGGCCCAGAGACATATGTGACCTGCCCGAGGTCACACTGGGGCAAAAAAGAGCTGGGATTCGGAACCCTGAGTTCAACCGAGGGCCCCTGGCTCTGGCCCCTGAAGTCAGTCCCCAGCTGTCATGGAAGCCTCAAGTGCCTCCTGTCCCTGGGGCAGACCTGGGGAGGGGAGTTCTAGCACCTCCTTCTCCCTGCAGGGCTCTGTCCTCCTGCGGCCTGGCTCCGGTCTATGGCGACACCCCTACTCCCTCCCATTCCCCAGGCAGGAGGGAGGGGAGAACTGGCCCAGGCTGCAGGGAGGGCCACATCCACTTGGGCCAGGGCTCTGGGAGTTGCAGGTCCAGGCAGAGGGTGGCACTGGGGTTGCCAGCATCTCTGAGTGCCAGTGGGGGTGCCACACAGGCCTCTCTGGGAGATGTGGCCTCCTGGTCCAAAAGGGACTGGCTCCCAGGCTGTGATGGGCTTGGGCACAGCTGTGGGGGGGCCTCTGTGGGAGGCCAAGCTGGGCTCCCCCAGGTGACCCAGGGCCCAGGTGAACTGAGCAAGGCCCCTCCTGGGAAAGGCAGGACCCCTCAGGGGCCATGTCCCAGGCACCATGGTGAAGCCCCTCTCAGGGTCCCATGTCGGGCAGCCCTCCCCTTCCCTGAGGCCGGGGCCACCTGTTGAGGGGCTAATGCATCCCTCACATGGTGGGCAGGGGCCTAAGACCACAGGTGCAAAACTGAGGCTTAGTGCCTGGTACGGGGAGAGGCTCTGGATAGTTTGGGGCCCCTTGAGCCCCTCAGGAGCAAGACCCTTGGCCCCAAGGCCACCCGCCCCTGTATTTACATCCCAGTAGAACATATCCAGTGGGACTCGGGCTCCCGCCTCCCTGCTCTAACCCCTCCCTTGCCCCAACCCCTGGCTCCCTCCTTCCTGGAGGTCTCAGAGTTCCTCCTTAAGTCTGACTGTAGTCTCTCCTGCTTTAGCACAAGCCCAGTTTCTCCTGAGGAGGACCAAGACCACCCCACCCGGCTTCACAAAGGTCCATGTGCTCCCTCAGCCTCCACCTGTTAGGACCCCAGGGACCCCAGACTCACGCGGCTCACAGGCTCTCTCCACAGCGGCGGGGAGCCCCACGCTGGGTGCTTGGCCACAGGGAGCGCAGGCAGGACACAAGGTGCCCAGGGCCACCACCACCCTGCCCAAAGTGCCAAGTGCTGCCTCAAGGCTGGGATGCCTGAGGCTTAAATAGGACCCCGGGCAAGGGCTCAGCCCTCCCAGCACCCGCCCCTGCTCACTTGAGCGCATGCACACACATGGGCTCACACGCACAAATTCACACACACACGCACGAGCTCACACATACCACGCGGGCTTGCACACACGCATGAGCTCACACAAACTCACACACACACACAAACACACACACGCAGCAGCTCACACATACCACGCGGGCTCACACACACGCATGAGCTCACACACACGCACAAGCTCACATCCACCACGCGGGCTCGCACACACACCCAGGCGTGCTCCGTAAACACTCCCCCAGCGAGTGCAGCAGTGAACCTCCCTCCCCGCCTCCCCGCCTCCCCGCCCCGTGCCTGTGGGCGGGCACATTGCAGAGCTGTGTGGGAGGACAGCCTGCTGAAGAGCCGTTTTCCTGCTGACACCCGGGCCCCTGGGCCTCCCTCCAGAGCTGGGCCAGGTGGGGAACACCACCTCTTTATTCAGCCTGACTACGGAGGCAGGCACAGAGAAGCTGGGCGGGTTGCTGTCCTCCCCATCTGGATTCCTCTGTCCGGGACGGCCCTTGCTGCCCCACAGCCCTCGGTGGCTCCCCAGTGCCCTGGACCTCCCGGCCAGCTCAGCTCCAGCTTCTGGCTGCTATCTCATTCCTGGTTGGACCCACACTGTCCTCAGCCTCTGAGGCCAACCCTGCCCTGCCCCCTACCCTCCACCCCAGGATGAGTTCTCTGGACCCCCAGACCACACCCAGCCACACCACCTCACACCCCAAAGGCCCCTGCACTGTCTGGGCACAGGGTGGGCAGGGGCAGAGGCTGGCTGGTCAGCAACACCAACGGCGCAGTGTCCGTATCAGCTGCACTTTGCAGACGAGGACCCCAACTCAGAGGTGAAAGCCCTCCCCTGAGGACCCCAGCAGAGAGGGAAGGGGGCCCACCCAGCCACTGACAGCCCAGGGATATGTCCCCCCCCCACTGTTGCTGCAGTCCCCATGCAGGCTGCCACCAGGGTGCCGATGGTCCTTACTCAGGGTGGTACCCAAGGTCCTGACCTCAGGAAGGCCAGTGGGGTTCAGGTCAGCAGAAAAGCCAAGAGGCCCTGCCACGTCCTCACAGGCCCTGTGAACCCCGTTTGTCTGGTGCCAGGATCTTGGCTGTCCCGGGCGTCCTGCCCTGTGGTGGCTACAGGGGCCAGGGGAGCAGGGCCAGGCAGCTGGACATTTGGAACTGTGTCCCCTGGCCCTGCCGGCCCAGACCCAGGGCAGTTTGTTGGGGGGACATGAAGCCCGGAAGCCCTCAGAGGCTGTGCTTTCTAGAAAGCCATCTGTCCCTGAGGCCGGCTGACGCTGGCCTGTCCCACACACGCTGCCAGCCTCCCGCTCCTTCCTTGGCGGCCCAGATGTGGTGGGCAGAGCCAGCTGTGGACAGAGCAGGGGTCTGGGTCCCAGTCCTGCTCCTCCCTCCAGGCCCAGGGAGGTTGGGGGATCACCAGGACCCCCAGGAAGGCCTGACCAGGTGCTCCCTGGGTACCCTTCCCTCCGCATCCCTCCCGTCAGTGGACAGATGGAACCAGCCCAGATGGTTGGGCAGTGCTGAGGCTGAATGAGGGGAGGGGAGGCTGCACCCTGCTGGTAGGAAGGATGGGCTCGGGCAGCCTCGGGGGGCTGCGAATCCCACCCTGGAACCCATACCCCTCTGCAGGTTGGTGCCCACGGAGGAAGTTTCAGACTATTTCTAGTGGTTTGGACCCAGCCGTTCTGCACGGGGGAGCTCCAGACTGACCTCTGAACATGGACTCGGCCCATCTGTGCCCCGAACACCAACCAGCTCCCCCGTGGCTGGAGTGGCCCTGGCACAGCTGACACCTGCCAGGCACAGGCCCGGCCTGTCCCCCGTCATCCCCGAGTCTGACCACCAGTCTGTCTGTCCCCGTCCGTCCGCCGTCCCCGAGTCTGACCACCGGTCTGTCTGTCCCCCGTCCGTCCACCGTCCCCGAGTCTGACCACCGGTCTGTCTGTCCCCCATCCGTCCGCCGTCCCCGAGTCTGACCACTGGTCTGTCTTTCCCCTTCCGTCCACCCATACACTTGGCAGTCATGGCAACTGCCCCACCCCTCCCTCCACCTGTGTGTGCCGCAGCAATGCGGGGGGGCTCCTGGCTAGGCCTGAGGACCTGGGCAGCCCCCAGGCTGTGCTGCTGCTGCTTGCTGGGCTGTGACCCTCTGCTCCACTCATGACCCTTAGCCCAAGTGGGGTAGGGCAGTGTAGGGCCTCCCAGTCCCTGACCAGGAGGAACCCTGGGTGGACCTAGCCCCTTGCTGTCCCCTTACCAGGGGCTCGGCAGCCATGTAAAGGCCACTCAGCTGCATCCCCTCCACGACCCCACTCACCATCGGTCCTGCCCCAGCCACTGCACCGACAAGGAGAGGCCCAGCACCTTGGCCTGGCAGGAGCTGCAGGTGCTTCCACACCAGGGCGTGACCATGGGCATGGCTTGGGGCTTCCCACCGGCCCCTTGGGTGCCCCTCAGGCCCCTCTGCTCAGGGACCCCCGCCAGGTGTCAGAGATCCCAGGATTCCCCCAGGGATTACAATGGCTTCGTCCACCCCTCCGAGGCCCTGCTAGGATACACAGGCTTGACCTCACTGGCCAGAGCCTCCAAGAGCCGCCTCAGGAAGGGGCACCCCATCAGGGCATCTGTGCAGCCCAGCTCTCACAGTGGGGGCAGCCAGTCCCTTTCAGGGACACGCTCCTGTGACTAGCGGCTGGGTCTGGAGGGTTCCAATGAAGGAGGCCGGGGGCTGGGGTCAGAGACAGAGGCCACCTGAAGGCTTGGAAGAGCCAGCCCCCAACTGGTAAACGAGATGGAAACTGGGGCCCAAAGACAGGCAGGGCCTTCCCTGCAGAAGAGCCCAGCCCAGAGTGCCCAAGGGGCTCCTCGGTGGCCAGGGCCTCTGAGGCCGGGTGCGACCACAATGCTGAACCCTCAGCCCTGCCCAGAGCCCCTGCCGGGGTTCCCAGGATAGCACTGCACCAGGTGCACCACGGAGGGACCCCTGCCTCCCCAGAGTGCCCGGGCCTGGCCCGGCTGGTTGGCTGGCAGTGGAGTTGGGGCACCGTTGCCAAGCTCTCCTCCCTCTCGGCCTGGCTCTGCTGTCAAAGACGCCTACCGTGCGCGGCACATGCACCCGGACGTCGGCACTGTCCAGCGGGGAGTGGCTGCCCTCCCGGGGCCTCCTCTCAGCGTCCGGGCCTTCCTGGTACTTCCTGCTCCTCACGGGGATGGGGAGCGAGTCCCTGCTGGGCCCCCGCCAGTCCCCTGCATGGTGGCTGTCTCCATTCTGCTCCTGGGGAGGGGCAAGGCTGTGCATGTCCTGGGCGATTGTGAACCAATGTCCCCATCCCAGGACCCTGAAGGGAAGGCCAGGCCGCCTCCATTTCATGGACGTGCACAGTAGGTACTCAGTCCCCAGGGAGGAGGAGAGGACTGGGACTGTGGGGCCTTGGCTGGGGCCGGGAGAGGCAGGGTGGGGCGTTTGAGAGCCAGTGAGCCCCGCAAATGTCGGCCGGCCTACACCGGCAACGACAGTGACTATGGGCGTCCTTGGGCCTTGTCCCCACAGCAGAACCCTGACGGCCATCCACAACTGAACACAGGCCACACCAGAGGAACCAGAGGAACCAGAGGCTCAGAGAGGTCAGGCTGCCAGCCCAGGCCACACAGCACCCACTGCCGGCAGGCACAGGGTCAGCCCGGGGCCCTACGCCAGGCAGCCCCCGAATCTGTCCGTCTGTGTTCACTGAACCCCAGCCGGTGTCTGCACCTGGAGCAGCTGTCCCCACTTTGGGTGCAGAGTCCGAGAGGGTAGGGAGCAGGCAGGAGTGGGTGTCCCTGTCTGTGGGTCCCGAGGGTGCAGTGACATAGCGGCTGGGTGGAGCATGGGGGCCTGAAATGTGTGAGGACCACACCTCGCCTGGGGCGCAGCTGGCCAGACGCTGAGGGACATGGGTGAGCAGGTGGCAGATGGGCCTGTGCAGGAGGGTACATTTATCCCCCAGCAGACGGGCTGAGGTGGGTGGCGGCGGCTCTGCCTCATTAACCCCGCTGCCCGTGCTCTGGCAGCAGCTGTGCTGACATCGGCCCCGTGTGTCCCTGGCTCACCCGCTCCAGGGGGAGTCTCAGCAGGTCCCAGGTCTCCGCGCTCAGCCTCTGCGTCCTCTTGGGTCTGGCTCCTGAGGACAGAGGGACCCAGTCAGCCTGCACCCCCCTGGCACCTCGCACCGGGTGGGCCAGGCCAGAGTCTCTGGGGGGCCCAGGACCAACCCGGCCGTGGCTTTGTGACAGCCAGCCCCCCTTGTGGAGGCGAGTGCCATGTCTGAGTGTCCTCTGTGTCTCCCCGACTGTACTGTCAGAGTCAAAGGTGACGGGCGTCGAGACGGGGCGCACCCTGGGTGGGGCCAGGTTGGGTCTGGCTTTGGCTTCCCTGTCCTGGAAGGGCCTGGTTCTGGACAGGCCTCTCCCCCGCTACGCACAGGGCCTCCCGGCGTCAACTCCTGCCGCTCCTCCTGGCTGGACCCCTTTCCGGTGGCCCCTGTGACCCTCGGCCACCTCTGTGAGGCCACCCAATCCCCCTCCTGAGGGTGCGTCATGCTGTACCCCAGAGGCAGGTGGGGTGGGCCTCTGGGTCTACCCCTAGCTCACTGCGGCAGTCCAGGCCAGGGTCGGGGAGGAAAAGGCCTCAGATGAGTCCCCCAGACCAGCTCTGCCGTGGGACCTTCCCCAGGCTCCTGTCCATCCCTCCTGGCCCTGGGCTCACCCTACTGGCCGTGTCTCCACCCAAGGGACCCCCATCTCCTCTAGCCGCAGTGGGGTGGTGGGGCGCAGCTGCCTGACCTAACCCTGGCCAGCTACAGTCTCAGCGGAGCCACCCGTGCCTGTCCTGGGCCCCCCGGCAGCCCCACAGCCAGGCCTGCCTCCAAGCGTCTGTCCTAACACGGCCCAGGCAGAGGCGGGTGTCACTCAGCCCTGAGGGGTCCAAAAGGATTTGGGAGTTTGGGAGAGTGGCCCTACCTCAGTCCAGCCGTTCCCGGAACACTCACAGGGACCCAGATCCAGGGCACAACAGACCTGGCAGACCAGAAATGAGGTGGCCAACAGAAAAATGGGATAGAATCCGGGATGTGGGGAACGTCCCCAACCAGGCGAGAAGCGCTGTGGGAAGGCCTGATGCCGTGGCTGAGAGCCAGGGTCTGTGGGCGCTTCCCTGAGGAGGTGGCGGGATGGATGGGGGCATGGCCACTGTGGAAAAGGTAGCAGGATGTTCCAGGCAGAGGGGACGACGGCGGAACGAGGCTGGCACTGAGGACCCTGTCTCTGTTGTCCCAACGCCCGGCACATCCCCAGGGAGCCTCTCACAGCTGGGAGGGCTCCAGCCCTCCTTCCCGCTCACCCACAGCTCCCACCCCCCCCATGCCCACCCTTACCCAGTCTTCCTGGGAACCAAGTGTCCCTCCACCCGCAGACACGCTGCACACGGGCTGTGCCCAGGGGCCCCGCGCACACCCGGTGTGAGTCTGAGGGCACGGCCAGAGCCAGCCCTGGCATCAGTGGGCACTCTGAGAATCCAGTCCTGGCACCTCCAGACCAGCAGACTTGGCCCCATTACTACGCCTCAGAGCTCAGTGCCCTCCTCATCAGACTGGGCCAGCAGGGATGGGCCAGGTGGGGCAGTGCCCCTCTGTGCTCATCCCCCGAGGAGCTCAGCTCCTAAAGCGTAGCTGCTTGGTGGCTGCCTGCACCAGGCAGACGTGGAGGGCAGGCCCAGACACCCCCTTACCCCGTCCAGGCCCTAATGCATCAGGGGGCACAGCCACCAGGGCTGGGGCACTCGTCAAAGTTAGCATGAATAGCCAGGCAGGGTGCCGGGGCCTCAGGTGCACCTGGACCCCACCGTTAGCCCTGGGTTCTGGGCCCTGCCGGAGAACGCAACATCCACAGATAGAGCTGGCTCAGGCGGCCAGTCACTCAGTCATTTCAGGCACTGTACTCCACACACAGCCCCTCCCAGCCTCCCCTGCACAGCTGGGTCACTCAGCCAACATCCCCCTGACCCCAGCCTCAGCGTGGCCCTGATTTAAATATGAGCCTGGCCCCGACCACAAGGGAGGGAGGAAATGGGCCAGAGTGTCAGGGTCTCTCAGGGTCTCCCTTACAGGCCCACGCTGGGGATGAGAACAGGCCCGGGTCTTGCTGGAGGGCTGCTGTCTGAGCACTGTGCCACCGAATGGAATCCAAGCCTCCACCCCCACTGGGAAGAGGGTCCTGCCCCCACTTAGTGAACGGCAGTGATGAGGATGCACTGGGGGCTTCAGACGGCCAAGAAGGCGCCTGGTGGAGAGCGAGGTGCTACCTATGGGGCACAGGGGAGCCTCTGGCCAGGCCTGGCTGCTATAGAAGCCCCTTCCCGAGCCTGTCCATGTGACCTGTGTAAACAGTGAGCACCCTAAACGCGGCTGGGGGGAAGGGGACAGGAGCAGAGGGAGCTGAGGACTTGGGGGCCCAGGCTGTCCTCCACCTCCAGCCCGCTGGCCCCAGACCAGCCCGCGGCGAATGCCTAGGGCTTCATGAGAGCTGGGCAGGGACTGGGAGCTGACCGAGTATGGGCTGTGCACTTCCCTGGCCTGGCCTCCGGGCTCCGAGGACACACCCTGAGCTCCTGCTCTCCAGAGGCCTGAGATGGAAACGTGTGCAGCCAGAGGCACACCTGGGGCCCATCAGGGCCTGAGCAGGACGCTGGGACCTGGGGCCGTCCACTGCGCCTCTCACTCCCAACACGAACACCCCAGGCAGGGCTCCCAGCCCCGCCCTGTGGCCACAGTGGTCAGTGGGATCAGGGTTAGCTTTGGCACATTCAGGATCTGGCCAGGCACTGAAGTGGAGCCGCCCCAGCCTCAGGTGGTGCAGCCTGAATGGGACAGAACGGGGCTGGAGCTGGCGTCCTGTTCTCTGAAGGGCTGCCAGCTGCCCACCCCCACCCAGATTAGCAAGGTCGCTCTGAGGACAGCTCCTGACCCCACACAGTTCGGGATCTGCTCCCCACACCATGGAAATGACAGAGGGGCACGTCTGCTGAGGCAGTCCCTTCACTTACCACACCCAGCGAGAGCCCCGCTCCATCTCCCAGTGTGCACTGCCTGAGAGCCTGGCTGTCCCTCCGCCGCCCCCCAATGCCATGGGGGCCTGACTTGGTTTCCCCAGTGCATCCTCCGGGTCCTGGGTCCGGCACAGCTGCTTCTGCCAGGCCTGGCCCTCCACTAGGACGCTGCATGGATGGGTCCTGGCTGCAGCAGCGGCTGAAATGCCCTTCTGAGACACAGCCTGCGTCTGGCTCCAGCGCAGGCGCCCTCATGACCAGGCATGGACGGTGAGCGGAAGGCCCGCTGTGCCCGGCTCAATGCACCCTCTGTCTGCAGAGTCGGCTGAGGCGTTGAGTGTGAGTCCAGCACCCTTGGCTGAGCTGTCCAGACAGGCCCGGCCCACTGGCTTGGCTTCCTGTCTCTCCTGCCTACGAGCGCAACGTTTGGAAACTTCTCCCAGCACCACCCCAGGGCCACCCGACGCTGACCGTCACACTGTCGTCATTTCTGTCCTCACCCAGCTCCAGACAATGTGCCATGGCCGACTCAAGCCCCCCGAGCATCTCAGTGCCCCCTGTGCCTGCCTGACCCCTCAGGGCAGCACCCCCCTGCCGGCTTGGCTCAGACCTCAGCAACCCCGATTTTCAGCTGCCCACCGTTCCTTTACACCCACCTCTGGTCTGAAATCCAGGCAGTCCCTGCCTCACTGCAGACCCAGAGTCCCACCCCTCCTCACCTCCCTGCAGCCGGATCATCTGCCCCTCACCTGCCTGCTGCCCCAGCCTTGCTCCTAAGTCCCCTCTCCAAGAAAGGGGGTGTTAAGGGCTGGCGTAGGCCTTGCCCCTCCTCTGCTGGGTCCTAAGGGCTCCGCCCCACTGGAGACGGGGTCTCACACAAGGGCCCACAAGGCCCTCCCTTCTTCGGCCAAGGCCCTCTCCTTGTTCCATCAGCTCCAGACAGTCTCCCCACTGTCCCTCCACCCATCAGGCTGGCCCCTGCCTCAGGCCCTTTGCACAAGCTCTTCCCTCTGCCCAGACTGCTGTTCCTCCGTCTAAGCTTGCGGCTCACTTCTCTCTGACCTCCAGTCTTTGCTGGAGTGTCATCATCAAAGCCCTAACTCCCCATGGGATGGTGTTAGGAGGTCCTGAGGTTTACAGGAGGTCATGAAGATGGAGCCCCATAATGACGAGTGGCCTTAGGAGAAGCCACCAGTGTTCTCAAGCTCCCCCTTCTTCCTCCCTCTCTCTGCTATGTGAGGACACAGTGAGAAAGTGCCGTCTGCCAGTCAGGAAGAGGACCCTGGCCAGCACCCAAGCACATGGCACCCCAACCCTGGCCTTGTGGCCTCCAGAGCCGTGAGGAAACGTCTACTGCTGCTGCCCCGGCCTGCGGTGCTTTGTGAGGGCAGTCGGAACGGACCACGACAGTCACCTCCCAAAGCTGCTGCAGCCTGCCTCCCCTGTTCCCTGTTCCTATCCACACCTCCCCTGCTGGGCTTTTCTTTCTCCCAAAGCTCATCCCATGTGGCTCGCTCCCAGGCTGCCCTTTCCTCACCTATCGGCTGCTGGACGCGGCTCAGCGCTCTCAGTACCAGTGAGGGCCCCAGCAGTGCCTGGCACACGGCAGGGGCCTGGTGACCAAGCGGGGGGCATTTACTCTGTATCTGCTGCGTGCAGGACCCTGCATACTGTTTCTCACACACTGTCCCCTCTGGGCCCTCTTAGGCGCATGGACGGAGGGTGCATCCTCCATCCCTGCGGCTGCCCAAGGGCCACTGGGCTGCTGGAACAGGAGGACCGTGCTGCAGTCACGCCTGCCTCGCCCACCCAGGGCCCGAACGTAACAGGTTTATGGGCTCTCAGGCTTGCTGGCCTCTCACCCCTGCCAAGCTCTGTTCCCAGCACTACTGGTGGGTCTGTTCCCTAGATGGGGACACTGAGGCACAAGTGGGTCAAGTCACAATCAGCTGGCCAGGGCTGGAGCCCACAGCCTAAACTGCAAGGGATGTCATGCCATGCACATCCCTGACCCCAAGGCCACCCGTCGGGACGTTCAGGGGACTTCTCCCAGGGAGGCTGATGGCATGCTCCCCCGGGAACTCCTGTGTACCGTGCTCACAACGCCCTGAGCAGGGCCCAGAGGGTGAAGGGCTGTGGAGCATGGTCAGCAGGGCTGAGGGCAGTCGCACACCCTGTGGGACAGGCAGGGTCATCGGGGACGGGCCAAGGGCCGGGGGAGGTCCTGTAGGGCTCAGGGCTGGCTCCCTCCTCCTAACATGCCAATTATGCTGCCCACACCAAGAGCAGCAGCAGAAACTCCGTCGTGCCTGGCACCCTTGCTGGGGTGGGGGATAGGGCAGCCCAGGAGCAAGTGTGGGAGGCCCGGGCCTATGCCCTCTGGCCAGGGAGGCAGGGGCCTCATAGAGGCCACACACCCAGAGAAGCTGGACAAGGGCAGCAGCTGGCAGGGAGGTGCCCCCCAGACACACTTCTGGGGCTTCTCTGCTGGCTGGGGAGGGGCCGGCAGAGGGCGGTGAGATTAATACGCTGACTAAGCCACGCCAAGGTTCTTTGTCCTCCAGCCGCACGGAAGTCTTGCGTTTATCAAGTGGACACCAAACCCACCAGCCTCTGCCACGCCCACCGCCCATGGACACGCCCACAACAGCAAGGCCACGCCCCACTACGTCCCCGGCAAGCTGAAGCCCCGCCCCCAGACGACTTCCTCCTCCCCGTCCCCGCCCCGCCCACACCCCGCTGGGCAGAGCCCTCCTGTGCCCCCAGCCCCCGGCGCCCCCTCCGCACGGGCCAGGCTCTAGCGTGGCTCTGCACCCCACTTCCCTCCTTCTGCTCGCAGATCCACCCCGCGTTCCGCACCTGCAGAATGGGGAGGCTGCGTGGGTCCTTCCGTGGCGCCCCAAACCCGCAGCGCCGAGTCCAGAGTTCCGGCCTCAAGGCTCTGTCCCTGCCAGGCTCAGCTGAACGGGGGTCTCCCCCAGGGCCGCCCAGACTCTAGGGGTGCAGCCTGCCTCCCGCAGCGGCATCGGGGCGGCGGCCCCAGGCAGGCTGCAGGGCTGCCCTGGGCTGGGAGGCGGACCCTTCCCCAGCCTTGGGGGAGGAGGCATCGGGCCGGCTGGAAGGGGTCCCGCACTCGGGGAGGCACAGCGGAGCCAGGAGGGACAGAAGCTGCTTTGTTCCAGTGTCCTCCCACTCCGGCCCCCCTTTTCCTTGGCTCCAAGAAAGAAAACGTTGGGAGGACCCGGAGCCGCAGCCTCCGCAGAGCCTTTTCAGAGCTGCTCCCAGCCCTGCCCCTAGTTGCTACTGGGGTCCCAGATGGTGGCAGTGCCGAGCCAGGGACAAAGGAGGGGCACCAGGGGTGCCTCAGGAGCTCTCTGCAGAGCTCCCCACTCTTAAGAAACCCTGGCCATGGGTAGATATAGGCCTGGCTATCCCGGGGGGCACATTCCAGCTCATCCCCCACCCACCCAGCGCCATCGGTAACAGCACCTGGTCCCACAGGCTCGCTGAGGGCCCCAGAGCCTCTGCTCCTTCCTCTGTCCTCGGCCTCTGTGGTGGCTGACATGCACCCCCAATTTCCCAGGAGAGGTCGTCGTCAGAAATCCATGAGCACCGTGGCACAAAAACCCAGGCGATGGCTGGGCACGGTGGCTCACACCTATAATCCCATCACTTCGGGAGGCCGAGATGGGAGGATCGCTTGAGGCTGGGAGTTTGACACTGGCCTGGGCAACATAGCTAGGCCCTATCTCTATAAAAACATTTAATTATTAAAAGTAAAATAAGAAAAAGAAACTCTGGCAGCCCAGCACCACATCCAAGCCTGGTATTCCCAGCCTGGTCCTCAGCAGGCCTAGGGGGCACCAGGTACGTTCTGGGAGGCAGGCATCCCTTCTCGGGGGCTGGGGCTCAACTCCTGGCAAACTCAAGACCCTCGGGGGTTGGGGACACATGGGTGGGGCAGTTGCTCCCCCTAGACCTGCCCCTCACCCACTGCCAGCCACCTCAGGAAGCCAGCCCAACCTGGCACCACCCCTGGCACCTATTAGTCTATTCGCTTTGTGGGGGATGTTCTGTCCTGTGTGCAGCACTGCTGACCGGCATGGCAGGACCAGCGGTACATGAATGAGGTCACCACGGTGGCCTCGCCTGGCCTTGGGCCTTGCCTGATTACTGCCCCAGGTACATGGGGCTCCCCTAGCCCAGCCCAGCCCAGCCCTCTGGCTGATGCCCTCTCGCCTCCCAGCGGCCCTCTCCCACCTGGGTCTGAGGACAGAAGCCCTCCCTGCACCGAGTGCTCCAGGGGCAGGTGGGGAGTGGAGGCCCCGGAGCAGCCAGCGGGGCAGTAGGTGACCACCTCCTGTCCTTCAGCCAGCAGCCCTGCGGCGCCACCCAGGACGTGGGTGGGAGGGGCTCAGGGTGAACCTCAGGCCTGTGCTGTCCCTGAGGCCAAGAAGAACTGGCTTGCAGGGCCATTTTCTGGCGGCTGCCACCTCAGCCATGCTGGCCCGGCCTCTATCCCACCCCTCCCCAGCTCCCGATCTGGTCTGTGCCTGTGGGGAGGAAGACCCCCCCCCCCACAACCCTGGCACTCACCCTGGGCCTCATAGCCGGCCAGGTCAGGCTTCTCTGAGGCTGCCGGACTGGTCAGGCGGCCGAGCACCAGCTGCAGCTGTGCCACGTTCATGCGGGCCGTGAGCTCCCCATGGCGGTCCCCGATCTGCGGTGAGCGGGACGGAGCGGGCAGGTGTGGCTGGGGGCCCTGCTGTGGGCTCCAAGAGGACCTCAATGGCCCCCAGTACACCTGTCCCTGACCACCTCAGTGACCTGAACTGGTCGCTGACCCCTGGGCCTCTGAGGGAACCAGGACTCACTGCAGACCCGGAGGTGGAGTCTGGGGCTCTGTCCCTGGGTGAGGTGGCCCTACAGGTCCTCAACAGCCCCTAGTCCCACCCCAGAGATGCTCGGGGTCCCAGGCAGCCAGGCCTGTGCCCTCTGGTGCGCAAGGGGCCTGGCCCCGCCCGGCTGCACCTCTCTCAGCCCTTGTGCGCTGAGGCTCCGTGGGACCCGCCCAGGAACATCCACATTTCTCAGGCACTGTTTGCTTAAGTCAAGCAGAAGAGAGGGTGACACGGCGCGGGGGGCATTGCCACATGGAGCCCTGGAGGGCCCTGGAGGCTGTAGCCTGCACTCAGAGGGACACGGGGGCTGCCTGCTGGCTGCCAGTGGAGAAGCTCTCCAGACGAGGGCTCTGCTGATCTTTGCATGCCCGCCCCTCTCCACCCTCACCTGGGCACCTGTAGGCCTCCCCACCCGGCCACCTCCCACACGGGGCTATGGTGGTCAGTAGGGGCTGGCACCATCTTTAGCATGAACAGACTCGGGGTGTGCAGAGGGAGGTGGCGTGGGAGTGGGTGATGTAAGGACAGGCCAGGAGCCAGGAGGCCCAGAGTTCATCTGTGATGTTCCACCCTGACCACAGTAGGAGGGTGCTAATGGACAGAGCCCACAGAGACCCTGTGCAACCTCTCCAAGGAGGAGGAGACGCAGCTGCCCAGGAAACCACCAGCTGGGGGCTGCGGGAAAAACCCCCAGGTGTGGTAGACACGTTGTCACCAGGCCCCAGAAGGACCAGGCGGCTGCAACGGCCCTGAAAGGATGAGGGGCGGCCCAGGCACGCAAAGGCTTGTTCGGGACAGAGTGAACCCGGCCCGTCTGGAGTGGGCTGGGCAGTGCCCGGGGCCTCTGGGGGCAGGCCTGGCTCACCTCCTGGGAAATCTGCAGGTGCTTCTTGGCGAAGGTCAGGGCCTGCGCCGGGCGCCCCATGGACACGTAGGCATTTCCCAGGCTCCAGCACGCCCGGCCCTCGCCCACTCTGCCAGAAAGGGAGACGGGATTCATACCCGCCCTCTCCAGGCCTGCCCCCAGCCCCAGCCCCTCCCCTGGTGCCCCAGCACGACCCTGGCTTCGAGGGTCATCGGGGCCCCCAGGTCCAAGGAGCATAGACTGGAGGGCAGGATAACACCCCCAGCCGGAACCTCCCACAAATTCTGCCACCTTCAAGGAGAAGCCCCAATCAGCTCTGCCTTTTTCATTCCCATTAAAAGGATTAGCGCACAGAGCCCAAGCAACCTGGCCTGTGGCCAGTTCTGCCTTTGTGGGCAGTTTCTGGGCCCTTGGCCTCGCTCGCCCCCTGGCGGCCAGCAAGCCTCCTTCCTTGCACTCCCTCCACCCTCAGAGGCACCCCCAAGTCACTGGGTGAGGGGGTTGCTTTTATGTTGGAGGGAAATGCATCTAACAGGAACGTGATCCTTTTCACGTGGACGATTCAGTGGCATTTTGTCCATTCATGCCGTGCAACCGGCACCTCTGTCTATTCCAGAACATTCTCATCACCACCCCACAAAGGAAAACCCTGGGCCACTTTTAAGCCTCCAGGCCGGGCAGCCTTTCAGAAGACCCCTCCTCTCTGCTGCCTGTGAAAGGTCACAGGCCTGTGGCTCTGAGCCTCTTGTTCTGGCCACCACCTACCCCAGACCTGCACACAGGACAGTACTTAGGGGCCTGTGGTTTGCCAGCCTGTCTCTGTCCAGAGACTGATATCTACATACATACACAGGTGGTGGGGGTCAACAGGGTGGCGAACTGAGTGATGGGAGGAGGATCCCACCCACTTGTGCCAGGGGTCAGCAGCCAGCCCTGTGTCCACACTGTCTGGCTCAGTCCCCACAGCGGTGCTGCCCTGCCCGGGTCACAGCACGGTCAGTGGCAGAGCAGGGGATGGGACCTAGGCCACCTCGCCTGGGCCGCGGTGATTCAGGCTGTGGGCCGGGCTGGGTCTGCCCACCGCATCCACACCACGCACCTGTCGGCCAGCTCCTGTGCAATGAGCAGGTGCCGCAGGTGGTACTCGGCCGCACGCTCATGGTCCTGCAGCAGCGTGTACGTGTTGCCCAGGCTATAGCAGGCCTGTGCCTCCACCGCCTGGTCCCTGAGCTGCCGAGACAGTTGCAGCGTCTTCCTGTGAACAGTGGCAAGGTCAGCCCCCAGGAGGAGGGTTCCAGGGTGAGGGGTGGAAGGTAAGAATGGGGACGCAGTCTGCCCAGTGGTCCCCTGCTCCGGAATCCCGCTGGGGCCTCTCTGGGGTCCAGCTTCATCCCCACCCTCACATGGCCACAGAGCTGGACTGTTGGCTCCAGGGTGACAGGCGGTCCTGGCAGGCTCTGGCAAGTCGCTTGACCACCCTGAGCTGCCACTCCTCCCCAAAGGACTGGGACTGCTGTGCCCACTGCTCAGGCTGAGATGGGGTTAAGTTTAGGGCTGGGTACAGGACCCAGTGCTGACAGCCTCGCTCCACCTGGCAGGCACTGCTCTGGCTCAGGCCAGGAGGCAGATGGCCAGACCTCCCATAAGCCGGCTCCCCCACCGCCTGCCTCCTCGTGAGCTTTGTCCGTCTGCCCTTCCCGGGGCAGCCTAGAACCCCACCTTGACTTCTGGGGAGGGGAGGCAGTCCGATTCCCATCTTGGGGCGGGCACCTCCTTGGTCGGGCATCCAGCTCCCCATGGCCTGCTGTTTCCCTGGGAGATTGTGGGGACCACCTACTTGTAGTACTCAGCAGCCACGTCGAAGCGCCCCAGGAAGACGTGGGCATTCCCCAGGTTGCTGTAGGCCCTCCTCTCAGCCGCCTTGTCTCCAAACTCCTTAGCAATGGCCAGGCGCTGCGGAGACAGACCCGAGGCCAGGCGGTCATGGAGCAGCCCTGGGGCCTGATGTGGGTGGACAGGGGCTGCCTCCCTGCCCAGGTGGCCAGCCAGAGATCTGTGTGTCTGGGGGAGAAGGTAGGAGCCGCAGGACCAAGTGTAGATGAGGCCAGGGCTCGGTGGGGTGCGCCTGCTGCCGGGCCACACCACCCCGCCCTGCTTTCAGGGACCGCCAGAGGGGTGGCTCAGCCCTGCCCCTGCCGCAGCCCGACCCCTCCACCCCGTCACCCTGCCCAGCTCACCTCCTTGTGGAAGGTCGTGGCCTCTGTGAAGTTCCCCAGCAAATAGTGGGTGTTGCCCAGGTTACCGTAGGCCCTGCCCTGCGCCGCACGGTCGCCCAGCTCCTTCACCAGGGACAGGTTCCTCCTGGGGGCCGAGTGCCTCTGAGCCGTGTACCTCCCAGCCCATGTCCTCACCCACCCCAGGCTAGAACTGAGCAGTGGCCTCCGTGCGGCCCTCAGGGCTACGCCCTGGAAAGACAGTAGCTAGGGTGGCCTCCAGTGTCCTCGAGCTCTGAGGTCCGGGGCTTGGTCAGGTCCCCCCAGTCCCAGACAGGGGCAATCTCAGGGGAGGAGCTTGCAGCTGAGAAAGGGGGGCTGGGATGACCTGCCGTCACCGCCCTGGGAGCTGCCGGGAGGTGTGGGCCTGGGGTTGGGGGTCTGGAAGTGTCTGTGGAGCTCAGAAATGCACAGACCAGCCCTGGTCCCTGGGCCGGCCCAGCCCCACTCACTCATAGAACTCGGAGGCCTTGCATAGGGTCTCTCGGACATCGGGCGGCAGGTGCCCGGGGTCCTGCGTGGCATTCGCGGCGTTCCAGGACAGCTGCTTGCCCTTGGCGTGGTACACGTTCCCGATGTTGTAGAGGGCCCTCGCCTCCCCGACCTGCGGGCAGCACGGAGGGTTGGGGGCGTGCCTCCACGGCCCCCCATGGGATGTGCAGAGCCAGCAGGCCGGTGTCCTCACTGTGCCAGCCCTGGACGCCGGGGGCCTTGGGGGCTCCCACTGAGTCACAGACACTAAGGCAGGGGCGGAGGCCTGAGGACGGGACACCCGGGAAGCCAGCCTCCGTCCTCCCTCACCATCCCTCCCTCCTCTGCGGATTGGTGTGGCCAGGGTGCCAGGTCCTCAGCTCTGTCCTCTGATGCCCAAGGCTGAGAGCTCCAGCTGGGACCAGACGCTGTGGCCTCAAGCCCACTCGGCCACCTCCAGCTGGCGTGATGGGTGGCAAGTCACGTCCCCCCAGCCTCAGTTTTCTCGCCTCACAGGGTCACGGAGGGAGGTCAGCAAAGCCTATCTCGGATCCAGCACAAGCGGGGACGGAGCCCCTCTCCCTGTTGTCACCACCACCATCGAACTCGGCTTCCCACTGCTGCCCCCCAGAGCCACCCGCTGCCTCCCGCTGGGCCCCCCAGGGAGTGAGTGACTGGGGGTGTGGACAGATTCAGGGGGAGGTCACTGAGAGGGTCGGCAGAGCTGAGGGTGGAAGATGAGGGCCTGGGCCGCAGTGTCAGCATGGTCAGCATGGGCTGGGGGGGGCCGCTTTGGGGGCCCACACTCTCCCGAGTCACTTGGGATGTAGGGGACCGACCTCCCTGTCATCCCTCCCGTGAGGAGCTGGATGATGGCGTGTCACCCGCCCGCCCCGACCGGATCTGGACGCAGGCCGGGGCAGGGGTGGGAGGCACCCAGCCCCGGACCAAGCCCCCACCTTGTCTCCCTGCTCTTGGGCGATGCTCAGGTGCCGCTGGCAGCAGACGGCAGCCTCGTCGAAGCGCCCCAGGACCTTGAGTGTGTTCCCCAGGTTTCCGCTGGCCTTGGCCTCCCCCATGCGGTCACCGATGGTCCTGGACGGCAGGGAGCAGTGAGGGGCCAGGCTGAGGACTGGTCAGGCCCCTGGGCCGGGGGAGGCTGAGCATGGGGTGGGGTAGCTGGGCCTCAGGGCCTAGTGTGGAGTGGACAGGAGCCTGCGTCCCCTGAGGTGATGCTGGGCAAGTGAGGCCTGAGGAGAGCCCTGGGTGTGGGCTCTGCTGGGCTGGGTCTGGGGCACAGGATCCTGCCCATCATCACACAGGCTGCAGAGGTGCCAGGAGCTATACACAGGACCTCAGGCCTGGGCCTGGGCCTGGGGCAGGGGGCTGGGGTCTGCAGCTGTTAGGGTCCGGGGAGGATGTGGGGGGCCTGATGGTGGAGAACTAACTTCCTGCTAACTCATTCGGGGGACATTTGCTGCATGCCCACCAGACACTGGGCTGGGTGCTGAGGAGCAAGTGTGAGCTCACTGGCCAGTGTGGGAGGGTTGTTCCAAGAAGCTCTGCCCTGCTGGGAGGTCAGGGCGGCTGCAGGGCTGAGGAGGAGGGTGCTGGGCAGGGCTGAGGCAAGGGAATCGTGCTCCTGCAAAGCATGGCCTGGGGGCTGGACCCAACTGGAGACCCCAAGACCCCAAGAAGCGGCGGGGAGTGGGTTGGGGAGACTGGGGAGTGGATGACGCTGGGCAGGAAGGAGGCTGTGAGTAGGAGCTTGGGGTCCATGGGAAATCAGGGACTGCCCCCAGGGCAGGATCGCACCTCACTGAGCAGTGGCCGGGAGTGGGCCTGGGGCTCGGGGCCGGGGAAAGGGTGGTGCTCTGAGCCACACAGGATCACAGACGGGCCACGCATAGTCATGAGTGCTCACACACAGCATGCGGGTCACAGCCCAGGCTCTCGCAAGCAGACACACAGACCCACTCACGCCTGTCAGCTGAAACCTGGCTCCCTGCGGGGGTCCCGGAGCCCTGGCTGCCCTCCAGGTGAGGCCTTCCCCGCTGCATTCCCTTACACCCTGCTCGCCCTGTCCCCCTCTTCAAACTGTAACTGCTGAGGACAGGAAGTGTCCACCTGCCAGCAGGGCCACCCCACTCACCGTGCCAGCAGGAGGTCGTGCTTGTGGTACTCCAGCGCCCGGCCGTGCTCCTTCAGGTAGAAGTAGGCGTTGCCCAGCTGGCTGTAGATGGCACTCAGTGTCTTCAAGTCCTCGGTGCCCACCTGCACGGCGGCCTCAAAGAAGGCCACACCTGCCTTGAAGTCGCCCGCCTTGCACAGACGCTCGCCCTCCAGCGCCAGCTCCAGGCACGATGCCTCCATCCTGCGCAGAGGAACTTGGTGTCATGGCCCACTCCTGGCAAGGTTGCCCCGGTGCCTGGGCACCTCCGTGGCTTCACTACAGAGGACGCCCCTGTGTGGGCTGGGGTCCACGCCACATCTGTGCTCACAGACCTAAGTGTCTCTTTGGGGTACAGGCCCGGAGCATGAGTGGGGCCCAAGGGCGCCCCGGCCAGCACACCTCTGCCAACACCTCCTGTCCACCCCCTATGCGGCCAACGTCAGGAACACCACGGGGCAAAGGTGTGACTGGCCGGAGTCACAGACTCTGGCAAGATCCTCAGGCCCAGGGGCTGGTGCTGGAGGGGGCGTGGCCCCCATACCTTGCCTTCACCCAAATCAGGCTGGAGGGGCCAGGTACCCTCGCCATCCTCCTGAGCAACTACAGCTGCTGGGAGAGGCCCCCCCAATTCCCACCAAGAACCACTGAGGCTCCTAGACGGTAGTGGGGACTGGTGAAGGCCACATGGGGGTCGAGTGGGGTGGGGATCTGATCTCAGCCCCTCCCCCACCCCCAAGCGCTCCCAGCCAGGGCCTGGGGATTCAGTCAGCCTCCAGCCTCCAGGGGAGACCGTGCTGGGGAGGTGTGGCTGATGGTTAGCCAGTCCCAGCCCCTGTCCTCCTGGTCTCCCACCCACAGAGCTAAGCACTCGCCACTGACAGCCAGGACGGGCCTGAGAACCCGCCGTTCCCACGTGCTGCCCACCACCCCCCGCGCTGCTGTGGGAAGATGTGGATGGCGCCCCGTCCCCAGATGAACTCCATCCTGTGAACGGTGCCCAACCCCAAGGACCAGTCCCTCTGCTGAACACCAATGCCCTGGCTGGCCCTGGTCCCCCACCTTCGAGCAGGGACTTCAGAGAAGAAACCTCTCACCCTGGGCCCTGCACAACCCCTAAGTACCCCGTCAGCTGCCACCCTAGCCCTGCTCACCAAGGGACCCCACCCTGGGCCTTGGGGAGCTGCCCTCGGCACTCAGCTGCCAGGGAGGAGTGTGGGGGTCACTCCATGGCTGCCCAGCTCCGCACCTCCCTGCTGCCTGCCCTGGGGCTGGGTGTCCTCCTCCATCCTACTCTTACAGGTCACATGGGCCTCAGGCTGCTGCGCTGCCCTGGGTGAAGGGTTGTGGGGAGAGGGCACACCCAGCAGATGCCATGGGGTACCCAGTGTGAGCAGGCGGGCCTCCATCTGCAGGGTGCCCCCGAGGGTCAGAGGGTGAGAGCCACACAAGACTCAGCAAGGGAGCAGCCTGGGGGGGCCCTGGGAGGTGGCAGACACAGCTGGAGCCCGGGAGGGACCTGATTTCAGACAAGTGGGGAAAGGGCTCAGCCTCGGCTGCTTGCAGGCCAACCCCATCACTCCTGTTTGCTTTCTGTTGCTTTTATTTTTCTTTTTTAAAACTTATTTTGCTATTACTAATTTTTTTTTTTTGAGATGGAGTATTGCTCTGTCGCCCAGGCTGGGGTGCAGTGGCCTGATCTCGGCTCCCTGCAAGCTCCACCTCCCGGGTTCCCGCCATTCTCCTGCCTCAGCCTCCTGAGTAGTTGGGTCTACAGGTGCCCACCACCGCACCTGGCTAATTTTTTTTTTTGTTGTTATTTTTTAATAGATATGGGGTTTCACCGTGTTAGCCAGGATGGTCTCGATCTCCTGACCTCGTGATCCACCCACCTCGGCGTCCCAAATTGCAGGGATTACAGGCGTGAGCCACCGCACCCGGCTCTATTTTTATAGAGACACAGTCTTGCTTTGCTGCCCAGGCTGGAGTGCAGTGATGCGATCTTGGCTCACTGCAGCCTCCATCTCCTAGGATCAAGCCATCCTCCTGCCTCAGCCTCCCAAGCATCTAGGACTGCAGGTTTGCACCATCACGCCCAACTTACTTTTGTTTTTGTTAGAGACGGGAGTCTGACTATGTTGCCCAGGCTGGTCTCAAACTCCTGAGCTCAAGCGATCCTCTCACCTCAGGGCCAGGGCCTTCCACCCACTACCTGCCGGGCGCCTCACAGCCACCTCACCCATCCCTCTGGGAATGGCCATCCGGATGCCACGTGGGTCACAGGAGCCCCATCGCCATGGCAACCAGTCAAGCCCCATCCTGCGGCCAGCGCCACGCACAGGGCTTCCTAATTAAGGCCCGCTTGCCCCGCCCAGCCTCTTGTCAAGTGGTCTCACTCGACTTCCTGCCCCCTCCTTCCAGGCAACGTTGGAGGAGAGGGGCTTCAGGCCTGAGGCCTGGGTGTCTGCGAAGCCCAGATGCTGCTGCTCCACAGATCTGATTATGGGAGCCGCCTCCTGCCTCCCTTCCGGCCGGAGACGTAGCATTCGAGGCTCAAGGCAAAGGAGGCTTCTGGCCTGGGAAGGGCCTAGGCCTAAAAGTCGGGGAAGGGTGCACGGATGGGCCTCACTCATTCTGCACCTCCAGTCTGGGATCCAGGCAATGCAGCCAGCCACCAGGTGGGGTGTCCCCTCCACTCATCCCAAGACAGCCTCCAACCACGCCCTGGCACCCACACCCACGTGACCACACCACCCACTGCCCACCGCACCTCTTCCTCTGCAGGTTTCGCATCTTCTGCACGTAGAGCCACAGCTCCAGGCCCACGGGCAGCAGCAGCGGGCGGGGGCGGGGGGTGCCATACACCACCTTGCACACGGCCTTCTCCGCCAAGCTCAGGGCCAGAGGCGGGCCCTCCACAGCAGGAGATGGCATTGCCAGGCCCCAGGCCCTCCTCCCCCAAGCCAGCCCTCGCCCCACCATGGCCACGGGTCCTGGCGGGTGAGCTGGCCTCAGGCTTCCCTGCCCTCCGACCTCCAGGATGGTGGGTTTAAAGCTCGGCGGGGGACGGCCAGCCCTCCAGCAGGTGCCTGGGGGCCTCCTCAGGCCCTGACGTGGATCAAGGGATCAAGGACAGCTCAGAGGCTGGGTCAGCCTCGTCAGCAGTGGGGCGGGGATCCCTGGGGTAATCCTGTCCAGCGTGCTCCTCTGGGGACTGGGACCAGCGGCACTGCCCTTCTGCCAGTCACCCACCAACTCCTCTGCAAACGTTTATCCAGTTCCCAGCGGAGGCTGCTCTGGCCCAGGACTGGGCTCACTCGGGAGCACCAGAGTATGTGAGTGCCCCCAGCCCAGCACCTCTTGCCCCAGACCTGGCCTGGGCTGGGCAAAGCTGGAATTCTGGGCAGTGGCGGCCCCGGCCCCCTCCCATTTCTCCAGGCCCCTGTGCTTCCTCTGTTCCACCCTGACCCCCTCCGGCCTCCCATTTCTCCAGGCCTGAATGTGCCTCCTCTGCTCCACCCACGGCACCCCCGGCCCCTCCCATTTCTCCAGGCCCCTGTGCCTCCTCTGCTCCACCCCTGGCCCCCCCCTCCGGCCCCCTCCCATTTCTCCAGGCCTGTGCCTCCTCTGCTCCACCCGATCCCCCCTCCGGCCCCCTCCCATTTCTCCAGGCCTGTGCCTCCTCTGCTCCACCCCTGACCCGGCCCCTCCCCAGCCTCCCTGGCACCAGCCCATGGTGCAGGCATGGGGTGGAGGAGTGAGCTCAAGAGTCTACACCATGCCCCCCCCCCCGGCCCCCTCCCCAGCCTCCCTGGCACCAGCCCATGGTGCAGGCATGGGGCGGTGGAGGTGGGCTCAGAGTCCTCACCATGCCAGCCCCATGTCCACCGGGCCCTCTGTGTTCTCCCTCACCTGACTGGCCAAGGTGCGAACGGGGGCCCAGGTCTAACGGGGTCAGGGCCACGCGGGGCCTGGGGGATGCCGCTCCCCAGGTCATGGGGCTTGGGAGGCATGGACCACGCTCCCCTAGCCTGGCTCCTTTCCTCAAACTTCCCAAACCCCCGGCGTCCTTCTCAGCTGGGCTCCCAGCTCCTCCAGCCACCTGTGGCCCATGAGGAGGCTGGAACCCGACAGAGGTGGAGGATTGGCGGGGACAGGTCTGGTCCCTGAGACAGTCACGGGGTCTGAGCAGAGGCAGGAATCCAAGGACAGGTGGGGGTCTTCAGGCCCTGGGCTCTGTCCTCCCCACTCTGAGGCCTTGTGGGCTCAGGGGTCCTACTCAGGCCGGGCCATTTGTCCACCTTCAGGACAGCTTGGCCAAACAGTGGGGCAGGGACTAGAATGCCTCTCCCTTGTCCAGTCCCCGCCAACAGACTGAACCCCCAAACCCTCCATGGTGGCTGGGATGCCCACCGCCAAGGCCAGCTCCCAAGCCAGCACTGCAGCTCCTACCACCTCCAGCCATGTCCCTTAGTCCCAGCCCTGCTAACAGAATAGGCACCTGCCCCTCCCCAGGGCTGTCACCTACTGCTGGCCCCTGTGCAGATGCTCAAGAGACCCTGCTCACAGCTGGCTCTATCTGCCCCATCCTCCAGCCAGACACCCCCAGGGAAAACCACGGTGACTCCCCTTCAGTGGCCGGGGAAAGGGAGAGAGTGAGGGGCAGGACTGGACTGGAAGTATGGCGGGAGAGGGGACTGAAGGTCACCCAGCTGTAGGAAGCACCTTCGGTCAGGCTTGCCAGGAATTCCTAGGGCCCGTCGCTGCCCAGCGGTCCACCAGGGATGGTGCCCAGGACGGGGAACAGGGGAGGGACGAGGGACGCAGTGAGGATGGGGGTAGTGTGGCCACGTGGCCAGAGAGGTTTCGGGGAGCCCAATCCTCACCTGAGGATGTCCTGTCTGGGAGCTGATGGCTGCTGCTTGGTGGGCACCTCTAACAGGGTCACCCCAAGATGAGTTGCTCTACTGCCCCCTCCCCATTCCAGCCCTGGGGAGCACTCAGCTGGCCTTAATGCAGCTGCGAGGCCAGGAGAGGACCACCCAGGGCTTCCCCACTCTCCGGGGCCTCCTCAGCCACCGGCCTGTCCCTGCCAGACCTCTTCACCCCCAAAGCCCTGCTCTGGGCCAGGGGGCCCCTGGCAAGTGGGCCAGAGTTCTGAGCATTAACTGTTCCCACCGACCCAGCACCCAGGGCCCCGTCCCCACCGACCCAGCACCCACGGGCCCTCCGAGGACTTGGTGGGCTCACGGGCACATTCTTCGGCTTCATTCTCAGTGTGTTTTCCAGGCATAGTTCCCCATTTTAAAAGCTGGAACTCCCCTCTCCAGAAAGGAATGTCAGTGTGGGAAGGGGGTAGACGGGGCAGAGGAGACCTTGGGCCAACCCAGAGCTCCATCCACATTGAGGGACCCCAGTACAGCCACACGAGGCGTGCCCAAATGGATTCCACCCACCTCCAGGGCATCCACGTGCCCACCGCCCACACCAGCAGGTGGGCTGCCCCCAGCATGTGGGTTTCAGAAGACAGGAGTCTTTTCCATGTCTTGCTCTCCAGTCCCAGCATGACAGCAAAGGACCCTCCCGTCCGGTCCACGGCCTCCACTGGCCCAGGACACCTCTAGGCATCCATGCCCACCCTCTCTGAAGTCAGCTCTGACCAGGAACCGCCTGCCCAAACCTGGCTGTGGCCATGCAGTGGGGTCCAGACTCCCCGGGGCCCTCATCACAGACCCTGCTGGAAGGCTTGGTGCGTGTCCCCCAAGTCTGGGCCTGGCTCAACCCTGGAGCTCACCTGGACTCCCTGCTTAGGGGGGTGCAAGGCTGGGCCGGGGGTCTCTCTGAGTGGTCCCTCTGAGCACTGCCCCTGCCCAGGGCTGGCTCCTGTCTGGTGTGTCCCCAGGGGACCCCAGGCTTCCAGTTGGAGCCTGAAAAATGCCCGACTCTGTGGTCAGCTGTGCAGGGCTCACCCAAGGCTAAGGTCCTGGATACCAGTCTCTCACAGTTCCACACACACAGTCTCTCACAGTCACACACTCACACTCAAACTCACTCCAGCCAGCGCTGCCATCCATCCCCCTCACAGCACAGCTGCCCTGGAGCACATGCGGCTGTGATCAGATCAGCGGAGGAAACCCTTGAAAATCCTTTAGGGCAGGCCCCTGGCAGCAGCTGCCAGCAAAACCGCCCTCACGCCCCTCCCCTGCGTGGGGCCCAGGAGCCCGGCTAGGGGCTCAGAGCTCCATCCAGGATGGCACAATGGGGCTGTGTCTGGGACCACAGCACACAGCAGACCAGAGGCAGTGAGGCCTCTGTCTGCTGCCAGTGCCACCAGTGCCTCCTTTCGGGTGCCCTAGGCAGAGGTTGCTGCTTGGCTGGGGCCAGAGACTCCTTGGAGGCCAGGCTAGGCGCCCCCAGGGGTCAGCAGCTGGGACCTCTATCAGGGAGGTCACCAGGTTTTAGGGATGTCCACAGGACCATAGTGTCCCTCACTCTGGGGAGCCAGGCCTGCCTCTGACGGCTGCCACCCATTCGCAAGCCCCTGCCTGGACCTCACGCTCCTGTGGCTCTGCCTGAGGCCTGGCACCACCCAGCCTTGCTTGGGGCACCGGGCACCTGTCCGGCTGGGCCCAGGGCACCCTCTAGGGGGACATTGGGAGTCACCAGGCAGGCATGCCACCTGGGGCAGGGCCATCCTGTCATCCCCAACAGGCGTGGGGCACAGAGCCCAGCCACTGGGATCACCCAGGAATGTGCCTGGAGGGCAGGTGCCTTTTCAGGCAGGTACACACCCACCTGGCTGGCTCCAACCCAGCTGGATCCCAATGGGCTGGTGAGGGGCAGAGCCCCATCCATAGCAGTCAGGTCTCTTTGGCCATGATGCTCCTGAGTGCCCCAGGCATGGCAGGGCCAGGCTTGGGAGAGAAGCTCCCCACGGTGCCCCTGCCAGGTGCCAGGGGAGTGAGGCTGGAGAAGCTGCCCGCCCCGCCTCCGGCCCCCCAACCCCCACCCCTGTCCCCTTGGCTTGGGGGAAAGAGGGCTGCAGGGGACGCCCACGCGGGCCACATGCCTGGCTGGGCTCGGCCTGGAGGGAGGGGCGCGTCCCCAGCCACGCTGCACGCCCGCCGGAGCTGCCTTTGTTCCCGGCTGCAGCCTCCCGCGCGTCCCGGCCTGGCCCGGTCCCCGGCCCCGGCCCCGGCCCGGGCCCCGGCCCCGGTCCCGGTCCGTCCTACCTGGAGTAGAGGCGCCTGGCGGCTGGGCCCGGGAGCTCTTCGGCCGCGGGCGGGGCCGGGCCCGCCATGGGTCCGGGGCGCGGGAGCGGGAGCCGGGAGCGCCCCCCGCGCCGTGGCCGTTTGCCCTCTGCCCGCCCTGCTGTCCACCCTGCTGTCCGCCTGTCCGTCCGCGCCTCGTCCGCCCGTCCTCCCCCGGGGAGGCGCCGAGGAAGTGATGTGCGCGGGGCGCCGCCGCCCCTCCCCGCCGCCGTGGCCGTGATGTCACCGCCGCCCGCGCGGGGAGGGGGCTCGGACCGGGCGGCCACCGCTGTGCCTCCCTCTGCGGGGGCGGGGCGGACGCTGGGGGAGGGGCTCCGCGAGGCCGGCAGTCCCGGGGAGGGGGTGGGGGGTGTGGGCCCCAGCCCACCCCACCCCAGGGAGTGCAGGGGAGACGGCCTGGGCCTGGCCTTGCTGCAGGTCCCCTGGGGACTTCTGAGGGCCCGCGGGGGTCCCTGGGTCACAGTGCAGCCCTGCTGGCCTCTGGGCTGCTTTCATCCACAGGCTGCCTGGTGAGCCGCCTGCCTCGCCCACGTGGGGATGGGCTGCTGAGGCCTCCTTGCCTTCCTTGGTGGGCGGCCTACCCCTCGGGGGTCCTCCCCTCCTCTTCTGTGCAGCCCCAGCATGGCTTTGCCTCCTTCTCCAAACTTCCGCCTCTGGCCATGGGGTGCAGGCGGTGGGGATGCTGTCTGCCTGCTTTAGAGAAACCTGGGGCGCTGATGACAAATACAGGCTCTGCTTGGCCCGTGGGACGGTTGGTAAGGCCCCCACCTCTGAGACCCTGGGTGGCCACATCCCCCTCCCACGCTCGCCTGGAATGGGGATGGAGCCTGCTCATTCCTTCCTCCCGGGTACTGTGCAGCCTTAGGGAGGATGCAGGTAGCACCATGGGCTGTACTCACTCGGGGTCCCAGGACCCCAGCCCCTACCGCCTCCTCCTCCTCTGAATTCCTGGAGCCCTGTGGGCCTATGTGGTGTGATGTGGCTTCCTCTCCACCCACCCTCAGCTCCTGATGACTTGAGAGGTCCTGCAGCCAGCCAGGCCCACAGCCGGCCTCACCCGATTCTGTCCTGCCCCCCACCCCATCCTGGGCCTTCCTGGGGTGTCAGGAGACTCCAGGCCGTTGAAAGGCAGCTGTGACCCCGGGTATGACTTGGACAAGTCTAGGAGCAGGAAATGGGCTGCATTCCTTCGGGGCCCCTCCCCGCACCCCAGCCCCTCCCTGGGGGAGCTGCCCTGAGGTCAGGAAAGCGCTGCCCTGGCCAGACCCTCAGCAGATGCCGCCCCAGGACAGTCAGCGGCTTCAAGCATGGGAAGGAAAATAAACAGGAGGTTAAAAAGGGGTCTGTTGGCCCCGGGCTGGTTTGTTTTCCTGTGTAAGGGAGGCAGCAGGAATGAGAACCATCTGTGCCCTGGAGCGCAGCACAAGCTGCCTGCTGGGCCCACATGCCCTCCCCCAAAGACCGCAGGAGCCAGGCAGGGCCTTGCTCCCTTCCAGCCTGGGCCGAGGCTGCTGGCCGGCAGGGGCAGTGGGGCTGGCTGGGGCACCACCCTCCTTTGCCACAGCCCTGGGCCTGGCTGCGGGCAGAGAACAGGCCTTCGATTCAAGCTCCAACCTTCCGGGCCGGGCTGCCTCCTCTGGGCTTCGGGCACCCGAGCCAGCATCATTGTAAGGGCAGGGGCTGCCGGGGGCCTGGCCCGTGCCAGACCTCTGCTCAGCCCTCTTTCCCCAGACACTGCTGCCATCAGGAGGCCCACGGAGGGTCCCCACCACCACTATGAGCCCCTTGTGGGTCCCCTGGGTTAGTGGTGGGAGCCTGGTGACAAGTGGGGCAAATGACATTGCACAAATGGTGGAGGGAGGGAGGGATTCGCAGCCCCGTAGCTGTCATTGCTGGAGGAGCTTCTCCTTGTCTCCTGCCTTGATGCAGGGAACTGGGAGCTTGTGTCCCTGGGCCGGCAGAGCCCCAGCATTATATCAGAACTTGTGGGGAAGACTGCACCCCCGAGGGCTCCAGCTTTGTTGGGCCGAGCTGGGCTACGAGGCTGTGTGACCTGGCACAAGTTACTTTCCCTCTCTGAGCCTCGGTTCTGTCACCTGAGGGCTACCCGTCCTGCAGGGTGTGGAGGGTCAATGAACCGTGGGGTTTGTGCGGTGCTTGTCCGTGTGCCTGGCACACAGCAAGACCAGCTGGGGTCGCATTGTCCTCATATTCGTGCCTGGTCCTGCTGGGCCCCTGCAGTGGGTCCCGGCTGATTAGGGGTACATCCCCGCCACACTGCACAGAGGGGCGTCTCCTCCTATCCAGGGACCTGTTTCTCCTGTCGAGAAAACCTATGAAGGCTCCGGAGACGGAGTGCGATGAGGCCAGGTGACAGGCCTGACATACGGTGTCCACATCCAGAAGGGAGACCCGGGGGGGACGACCCTCCACTGCCACCCCCTCCCATCAGGCTCCGGACACCCTCGAACCTCCCACCATCCACCTTACCAGATCCCCCCAAGAGCGCGGGAAGCTTGCTCCCCCAGGGGACCAGGAGCGCAGCCCCTTCCATCCCTAACGGGCCTGACTCCTGAAGGTGTGTGAGAGGAAAGAAAGCCGTTTCCCATCGACTGGACCTTCTGGCCCCGAGCAGCAGCACAGGGCGCAGGGGGGGCCTCTGGCAGACTTGATGGCTCCGTGGTCAGGGAGGCGCCACCTCCCATGTGCCTGGGGAGGGACCCTCCCAAGCCCCTGCATGGCAGCGCCAAAGGGTTCAAGTCAGCCCCAGCACAGTCAGGGCCCTGTTCACTGGTGGCCATTGTCAGCTCCACCTCCACCTTCAGGCGCCTGCCGCGTGCCTGCTCTCTGTCACTCAGCCCTCCCTGGCACGCACCACTTTGTCCTCACACCCTGTGTGTAAGTGGTGACAGCAGTGGCAGCTCAGGCGTCACCTGACCGGGCTGATTCTAAACCTTAGCTCTTCCTTGACCTGTTGGCCTGGACAAGGCTCTGGGAGGCGACGGTGGGACAGCCACAGGGTTCTTGGCTCAGCCCCCAGGAGTGGGGAGCTCGGGCTCTGGATGGAGGCGGGCACTTGAGGCTGGTGTGGGCCCCTGAGTGAGGGCCAGGCTCGGGAGAGGCAGCCAGGCGGCCCCAAGCCACCCCAGGAACAGAGCACCAGCACACGCCTTCACTGGTTTGCCAGGGCTGGGGGCAGCTGGAGTGTTTCTGTGGTGGCTGTGGCAGTCCACGGCCCCACGACCCTGGCTTCCTCCTGCTTGCACCTCTCCAGGCCCCTTCCCCAACAAGCAGCTCCTGCAGGGCCCAGTGGGGGTTAGGGCCACCAGCAGCTGCCATTACCCATGCTGGGGCCTGATGATTCCTCACCAGCCTCAGCTGGATTCCAAGCTGGGGAAGGAAGAAGTAGGCTGGGAGTGGGGAGGGAGAGAGTGAAGGACTCCCCCCCTCCCACACACACACACATACACACACACACACTCGTAGAAAGAACACTCAGCCTTAACATTGTTTCCCAGTAATCTCACTTAAAAAGAACACTTGGGTTTACCATGTCCACATAATCTCGTTTCTCTGAGAATGAACTTATTCCTCCTCACAGCTTGGGCATGTGTCCCTCCCCATTGCCCAAGTCCCCTCATGACAGCGTCTCCCACTGCCATGTCCTCTCCTTGGGGACCTCCAAGTCCCTGGAGTTTGGGGACTGCAGGGTGGGTGGAGGGGCCCACAAACTCCGCCGGGAGCCAGAAGGAAACGGTCTCTCCCACCCCTGGGCCGAGCGCCTCGCTGGGAGATGATACCCACACCTGGAAATAGCTCAAGGGCTGCGTGAGGCCGCACGACACCCACGCCAGTATGAGACACCTGGCTGTGCGGCATTCCTGGCCGATTACTGGCAACTGCAGGCTTTGTCACCCAGGTGATGTCCCCGGGGTCTGTGGGCAGGCAGGGCACACAGGACGCAGCTCACACTCACTCATCCTGGCAAGGCGGGTCGCGTGGAACTTCCTTGGTCTTCCTCACCTGTGCCCTACCCAGCCTGGCAGATGGTGATGCTGTGAGTGCCGAGGAAACACACACACACACACACACACACACACACGTAGAGACAGGTGCACACATGCCTGGGATAGTCTGTGCTGCTCGGCGTCCGAGGGCAGCTCCCCAGGTTCCCCCAGGGTCTGTGGTAGGGGGGAGTCTTTTAACATCAGCCTAAACCGAACAGAACGAGGAAGGCAAATCAGCTACCCCCAATAAATCCTAGGGAGTCCTTCCAAGGCAAACAAAAAATGCACCCCAGCTTTAGCTTTTGGGGATGTGAGTTGCGAGTTTCCCATCTGTGGAGTGCAATGGCTGGGTGTGAGTCTGGAACCCTCTGGGGGAGAGAAGTCGTGCAGTGCTGGGGTACACATCCCGCCTCCACGTCCCAGCTGTCAGGCCCGGGCGCATTCTGCATTCCCCGCCTGTCACCACCTCCGAGGGTTGTTGGGAGGCTGAGCCGTTAGGACCGTGGCTGGTGTATGGAGGGCACTCAGTAAACGTGGCTGTGCTGGGCTGTGGGCCTCGAAGGAGTCTCGCAGGGCTGCTGTACCAATGACCCAGCACCAGGTGGCCTAAAACAACATGTATTTCCTCCCAGCTCGGGGGGCCAGGGTCCAGAATCGGGGGCTCACAGAGGAGGGTCCATGCTCACCCAGGTCAGTTCTGGGGGCTGCAGGCCTTCCTGGGCTCTGGCTGTGTCGCTGCTCTCTCTGCCTCTGTCTGCACGCAGCCTCTCCTTCTCTCCCCAAAGCCCTAGTCTTTGTCTCTTATGAGGACACTCGCCTTTGTCTTTTATGAGGCCGGGCCGGGCGCGGTAGCTCACACCCGGAATCCCCGCACTGTGGGGGGCTGACGCACAAACACCACTGAACGCTGAGAGGGCTTTTTCTCCGGGAGGGCCCCATCTGTCTAGAACGTCGGGGAAGTGCGTTTCTCTGGCCATGAGGGACCCAGCTCCTGGGCTCAGCCACCGTGCCTTTGAGGTGACAGCACGTTTCATTCATGGCCCACAGACAGCCTTGGGACTTTCTCCTCCTCCGGTGGAGACTCTGGGCAATGTCACCGAGAGGACAGCCTAGCAATCCTGAGGAAGGGCGGGGCTTGGGACATGCAGGGACACGCAGACACGGCTGGGAGGTCCTGGCCTGACCACCAGAGAAGGCGTCCAGCCAGCACAGACAGAAAAACATTCCATGCT